AAAAAAAAAAAAACCGTTAAAATACAGGTCATGAAATTCAAAGCTTGTCCCACTTTTTTGACGGGACAAAACGGGTTAACTCAACAGGTAAGTCCACTTTGACAGTTCTAGATATACCTATTTGATAATTTTGCTTAAATATTGAAAATATGTTATCAAATTATACAAATTTTAAGGAAAAATGACATTTTTTATTTTTGAATTATATGAAAATAACACTTTCTGTCCCTCAATTATACATTTTATACTTTTTATCCCTTAAATATTTATAAAATGACTTTTTAACTTACTCGACCTTAACAAAATTTAGGAAAGAAAAATATCATTTTTTAAAAAAGATGTAAAGTACATTAAGATCGAGATTTGTAAATCGTTTAAAAAAATAAATGTGAAATAAATCATGAAAATAGTTCATTGATACAAGTAGTTGTAGATTTATTTATGGAGATGGGGATTAGGTTGTCCAATGTCATGCATGGCTGTCTTGAAGGAGACCTTGCCCTTAAATGGACTTGCAGTTGCGATTGGTGTATAAATAGCCAAAACATGTCAGCTCTACAATATAATCTGATTTTCAACTTTCCCATTTTTGGATAATCTCATAGCTTTTATTCCCTTCTTTCTAATGTGTTAATTAAAAAAAATAAAAATAATGAACCCCACCCTGCAATTAAAACTTAAAAGAGTTAAATACTATTAATACCCACTATTTGATTATATTACCAGGAACGAGATTATCCAATTCATACCATCGAGTATAATAGTTGTGGATTCTCTTCATCCAGAAAAATTCATTGTTGATCGATTAATGCTATCTACCATTCCTTAGAACTTCTTTCAAATTTCCCCTGACCTCCTGATGTGACACAATTTAAATGGATTATTTAGCATTTAATCAAAATTAAAGTGTGTGGGATATGATTAGCCAATTCATAATACTCAATGAATATAAGTCATGGGAGGAAAATATTAAGAAAATTTTAAGAGGGGTACGTAAATATCATTTTCCTTATAAATTTTATTTTAAGCAATAAATGAAAAATCAAATTGATCATAAATATTATTGGTGTGGTGTTGTTAAATTTGGCCACACAAAAGGATAGATACATCACCATATATCATGTCATGCATGGCTGTCGTTGTACGTTCATTGTATGCAAGCCAATTAATATACACACACAAATATATCATATCATATAATGCATTTGAATATAAATATTACAAATTTTTAAATAAACAGGTCATTTTCATAAATATTACAAAATTTTATTTATTTTTAACCGTTAAATAGATCAACTAGATCAATAGTTTGAATTTGCTTGGATTTGCCTAGTTCTCAAGTCAACCTACAATATGGCATGAGACTCCAACTCAGTCACTAAACCATAAGGTCATTGACATTTATATATATATATATATATATATATATATATAGGACGGTACGTAGGACGACATTAAACATGGGAAATGGTGGCTCGTGAAGTTTGAGGAAGTAAGTATATGTGCAAGTGGATAAGTTGGCGTTTAGTGTAAAGCATTGATAATGTGCGGTTGGGTAACAAAATACTTGTGACGCAAATTAAATTATTTGTTCCACCTTCAACTCGCATGTATGCTTTCCCTGCCTGCTGCCTCTCTGTTGCATGCCCTACTTAAGCTTTAATTTCTTTTCATCTGTACTGTACTTCACAGGTTCAACCAACCCTCTTTGCCTGGATTATTATGGCTTCCAAATTGCTCACTTTAATGATTTGTAACCTAACATCATCGTAACTCTGACGCTTGAACCAACTCAGAGCCTCTCGGATAGCTAACGCTTCAGCCTCTTTAGGTAAAACCGCACCACTCAATCACCTCTTTTAAGAAATGTGGTAGCTATTACTGAGTTAAGACCACAAAGAAGTAAATCAGCATAAGTTGTTCATATACACGGCTGGAAATTATGGAATGTCTGACCACCTGATCTTAAATCAAGTTGAAAGTAAAAAGTGGTCGGAAATAGCAACAAAAGTTTTTCCGGATACCAAAAATGGTCAGAACAAGATTTAAAATCACTTTCAGGTGGTCGAAAATTTCATAATTTCAGTGATAGTCGTCCAACTCAATGCCTCAATCAAATAAAGTCAATAAGTTAGCTGCTTTCTAACTTATAATTTTATGATTATCGAATCAATATTATCATGATTAAGTTGGATTGTCCCGTGCTATTATCATTTTGTTAACCCAACATATGTTAGAATCTATTTGAGTGGGAGTTGAGGAATCCATAGCCATAGAGAGGTACGTGACGCATGTTAGAGGCAGTGCACATGGCGCACCCACAGTCTCTACGGCCATGCTTGTGGACCTCTATCTTTCATCGCTTTCCAAAATTCATTAATATGAATGGAAGATTAGGTCAATTTTACCCGTTAACAAAAACTACAGGACGACTGGAAACAAACAAAACAATGGAGAATTTGGAATATGACCCAAACACCTCAAATCGCCAGCCCTCATGACTTTACTTTTCACATTTTCCCATTCATTTTCCTCACTATTATATTCAAATTTTGTTTATTATGTCTTGGTTACACCTGAATTGGTTAATCAACCTAAAATAAGTTTATATTTTACTAGTAATTGCTCTCCAGTTCGAGTGTCGGGTTCAAATCTCTCTAGTCCTCTGGGCAACATATGTGAGGAGTAAGTTTACACTTCAAACTTATTTATATGATTTTTGTTTAGGGAAAAAGGTTAAATAGGCTCTAAACTATATACGAAAAGTAAAATAGGTCATTGAATTTTTAAAAGTTGCAATTAAGCTCACAATATGTTATTTTCATGCATCAAACCCTAAAAATTGATTATTGACCTACAATAGTATATCACTAGGATTCATGCGAGGCTCCGGCTAACTCCAACAACGCTTCGATGACTAAACCCAACGATCAGCAACATACGAATTATGGTGGCCGAGCAATTACCTTTGAAGAAGGCAACTAATAGGCCGCCTTTTTTTATGAAGAAGGCAACCAATATGTTGCCTCCTCGAGTGGAGAAAACAATCAATGGTCGCTTTTCCCGTGGAAAAGGCAACAACATGCAATTGACGATCGTTCGTTAGTCGCCGAAGCTAGTGCAAAACCCTTGTAACCGATTATATATTATAGATCAATTTTTGAGTTTCGACGATGCATGAAATTAAATAATTTAATTATAACTTTTCAATTGCCTAAAGAGGAGTGATGAGGAGTTGGTCCTGCAAGTTTGAATTTGTGAGTCGTGTATTCCTTTGTGGAAAAAATTTAAATTGATGTGTATTGTGTGCAACAACATCGTTCAACTCTCTTACTTGACGAGAAAAAAATTAACCAAAAAAAAAAAAATCATGTTGAGACTGCCATTAGGGCAAGACTCAAATAAATAACCTAACTTTAAAAAAAAAAAAAAAAAAAAAAAAAAGCTTTTTTGGATTTGAACAAAAATCTTATGAAGTAGAGATGAAAGCGAAGTTATGTTGCTATGAAGATTGAGATTAAAAAAGATAATAATAAAGTACAAGGATGATGAGGATGTGGCATAGGATGTGTACAACAAAGAAGATATGACGTTTTATGTGACATTTAGCATGATGTTACATATAATAAGATGTACAAATTACAATGGCTCAATTATATGTTCTTTTTTAGTTTAAGTCTTTATTTGTTTTTTTGTTTTTTTTTAATTAATGGTTCAATTTTTTTATTTTATTTTTTTAAATTGAGGGTTATTCTAACTGCTATTTTTTTTATTGATAAAAAAAATGTTAATGAGTAACTATATATGACAATGACAAAATAAAGTTAATCGTTCGTAAAGTGTCCGATTTTATTGAATGTTAGAGCATCCTCATTAGTTTGGATTTTAGCATTGGTTTTTGCAGACCATGCAGGAAAGAGAAGGGAAAGAGGGGAAAAAAAAAAAAAAAGAGAAAAGCAAAATCTGAGGCATAAAGAAAAAAAAAAAAAAAGGAGGAAAAAACAAAGCAGTTCATGTACCCGGCTAGGTGCTGGATATGCACTAAACGTGCCCAGTTATAACTCTATTCTGTCATTTCTCTCTCCTGCTTTACAAAAAACTTGGTTCTTGTCTAGCAACTCCAACTTTCTCTCTCTTTCACATGGACAAAAAGACTGCAAAAACCTCCCCAAAAATCATAAATATGAAGGCTCTTATGGATTGTTCAGTTCAATTAATCAAAATAATTTAAAATAAGATAAAATAGTCATGTTTATGACACATGCCAAGTAATGTATAGTGCCAATACACAATATATTACGACATTAATTCAACAGCTAAATCAAGTGGCAGGTTAAACCCTACAAAGTTTACCTAAGAACACATTCCTTGGAAGCTAATTGATTAAAGTCAAATGACAATACTCCAAATAATGTATAAATATGAGGTTTAGACAATACTCCCAACATAAGCATTCTTCACTAAATATATTGTTAATATGTGAAATTGTTTTTTTTTTTTTTAACAACACTCAAACTTGTAACCAAATATATATATATATATATATATATATATATATATATATCCTATTATTAATATTAGTATTTAACTCTAAGTACTCTACACTCAAATTTGGGCGATTTTTGTTGATACTACTGACTCTATTATAATGTAATATATGTTTATATCCACTTTCTCAATATATTAAGCACAAAAAGTTAATATTGATCCCTCATTTAGGAAAGTCGCCACTAGACCACATGATCATTGGTCCTACACAAATTTAAAATTACTACATTAAAAGGAAAAGAAAAAAAGATTTTAAAGCACTCACCTTTGAAAAAAAAAAAAAAAAAAACTGTGTCAAGAGGAAAATGCTATGGATTACAAACATCGGTCACGAGGTTTTTGTGATAATTCCTCCAACAAATATAGACGTTGACGAAGAAAAAGTTTTTTTTTTTTTTTTTTTTTTAAGGAAAAAAAGAAAAAAAGAAAAAAAAGAATGGAATTGGTAATGGTAGCAGTATCATCGTAGCTATGTATAAGGATCGGTGAAAGAGTTTTTACAAAGAAAAAAAGGAAAAAACAAAAAGCGTAGTAGACTGACTCCATATCTGATATCTCTCCCCTGCACCACGGCGGCGGCGCCAGTGACAGTGCCATCCATCTGCAGTATCTTCTCCGCGTTTGTACACCACCTCCAGCTCACCGGCCCACCGGCGTGGGCCAGAACCGCCCTACGCACTCTCTTTTGGCGGTTTCTTCTCCCTGTAAAGGGCTTGCTTTGGTAGCCTTCGTTGTTAGAGAGCTTTGGAAGAGAGCAAGAAAAGAACATTTTCTGGTTGAAGTTAGATTCCTGATCTCAATCTTGGGTTTCCTCATTTCACAAGCTCAGGTGATTATTTGTTTGTTCTTTGTGTCAAAATCGTTCAAGGTGCGATCTTTGCCTGTTCTGAACTGCAAGACTGCATTTTTATTTATTTTTGGTTGTTTTGATGGACCTTTTTCATTTTTTCCCCCTATTTTCAAGTGATAGCCCTTGTTGTGCTTTTGAGTTTTGAGTCGTTCGGTGTAATAAGATGAAAGTGTTGACAAATCCACTGCCTTTGTTCGTCCTTTTCTGCTTTTTTATAGTGTTTTTGCTTTAGTCTTCTGCATTTTGGGGACTTTCGAGGGGAAATTTTCCACTCCAAAGCAACCCATCTCTCTCATTTCCACGTACTTTATTTCAAATACCACTAAAGTTTACTAACATTTTTTTTGTTGACCGCCCTCCTCTCAAGACAGAATTTTGATTTCACATTTAGGCCTTAAGAGGATCTTCAAATTCTTCTCTTTTTTCTTTATATGTATGTGATTCAATTACTAGTATTACTGCCTTCCTTTCCTTGTGTTTGTGTGTATATATGTGAAGTTTCTTTTGGTCTAAAGGTTTGAAGAGAAAGAATTAGACATAGATTCAGATTTCTCTTTATCTTGAGGGTGTATTGGAGAGTATAGGAAGCAGGTCTTATGTTTTCTGGGATAACATTTTCATATTAGGAAAAAAATTCAATCTTTATCTTTAGGTTTTGGAAATTGAGCTGTTTGTGGTTTAACTTAAAATAGCAGTCCATAAAATTGAAATTAGAAGTTTGTAGCATAGCAAGAAGCTTTGAATACTTAAAAGGGTTATCTTGTTTCTGTCAATGTCTTCTGGTTTGTTCTTTCTCTTGGGACTTCCAGCTTTTCTGTCTTCTTTAGTGTTAATATTAAATTGGAAGATTGGGGAAACATTTGCATGAAATCTCTCAATTTGATTCAATTATTTGTATTATACTATTAAAGGACAAAAGCTTAAGACTGCCTAATATTATACTATTATACACTCTATTCACATGCAAAGTCGTATTAATTTCTTGATCTTCCATAGTTTCTGCTAGCACATTTTTTAATGAGTAATTGAATTGATTAATGTTTTCCTGTTTTGATTAGCTGGCTTCATTATACGCTCACATCATCTGTGGTGGATTTGAAATTTGACCGAGATAAAGCAGAACCTAGTTTTCCATTGTATTTTCAAAAGAAAGCTGTGGGTTTTGGTTGGAATCTTGTGACTTGAACAGTCTTTTGGTGGCTGGGTATAAAGTTCAACCTGAGATCAGTTTCTTCTTGGAAGAAGAGCATTTTCGTTAATTTCAATTAGATGGTCGCTTTCTGTTTCTGAGCAAAATGGGTTGTTGTGTCTCAACCAGTAGCGAGAGTACAAGAAGTAATGGGGAGAAGGTTTCTCCTGGATGTTTTGGAATAGGCATGTTTGGGCGAAAGAGAGCGTTTTACAGCCATACGAGGGCATTGCAGCATTTGTCTTCGATACCTAATCGGATATTCACAAATGGAAGGAGCCGCTCCTCTTGTATATTCACTCAACAGGGTCGCAAGGGCATAAATCAAGATGCCATGATTGTGTGGGAAGTAGGTGTTCTTACTTCTTACCCTTCTTCCAATAATGTCCTTTGTCGACTTCTTGAGACTGGAATTTCATTGTCTCTATATGTATCTTTGTAGGATTTCATGGCGGAAGATGTGACATTTTGCGGGGTCTTTGATGGCCATGGCCCACACGGTCATATGGTTGCTCGCAAAGTGAGGGATGCATTGCCATTGAAGTTATTGTCGTTTCTGGAGTCCTCTGAATCAAAACACGGCAGGTCTACTGCTAATTGCTGCAAACGGAACCCAAAATTGGATGTTGTTGATCCCGAGAAGGAGGAGGACCTTACGGAGGATAAAGCGGGCTCTTTTTGGAGAGACGCTTTCCTTAAATCGTACAAGGCTATGGACAAAGAATTGAGGTCCCATCCTAACATAGATTGCTTTTGTAGCGGTAGCACCGCTGTTACTATGGTAAAACAGGTAAGGGAAGTGGCATTTGTATTCTTGTTTTTTATTTACAATTTCATTTTTTATTCATTCTTGTTCTTTTTGCCTATAAGGGATCAAATCTTTTCATGGGAAGCATTGGTGATTCTCGGGCAATCTTGGCATCGAAAGACAGCAATGATATGATGGTGGCTATCCAATTGACAGTCGATTTGAAGCCTGATTTACCTAGTATAATCCTCTTTCTATTACGATTTGTTTGTATAGACTTGTATGAAAAACATATGACCTTGTTTCTTTTGTTGCAGAGGAAGCAGAGAGGATAAAACGGTGTAAAGGTCGGGTCTTTGCATTGCAAGATGAGCCCGAAGTGCAGAGGGTTTGGCTGCCATTTGATAATGCCCCTGGGTTAGCTATGGCTCGAGCATTTGGGGATTTTTGTCTGAAGGAATATGGAGTTATCTCTATTCCTGAAGTTTCTCATCGTGTTCTTACTGATCGGGATAAGTTCATTGTTCTTGCTTCTGATGGTGTAGGTTCTCCATCTCCCCTTATCCTTCTTCCTTCATAATTATTAGAAAGACCCATTTTTTGATGTGTAATATTGTTTTAAACATCGGGAGCTCATTGGTCGCAGGTATGGGATGTTCTGAGCAATGAAGAAGTGGTTGAAATTGTGTCGGGAGCTCCTTCGAGGTCATCTGCAGCAAGAACAGTAGTCGAGTCTGCAGCACGTGAATGGAAGACCAAATACCCGACGTCCAAGATGGACGATTGTGCAGTTGTTTGCTTGTTCTTGGATGGGAAGATGGACTCGGAATCCGACTACGAAGAACAAGGTTTCTCGTCTGCCACGATTCAGAGCAACCATTCTGGCAACGTTGCAGAATCGGACGATGGACAGAACATCATCGAACCGTCCCTGCAGAGAAACTGTACTGTCCGATCAGCAGAAGAGAACGAGGCATACAAAATAATAGTAGCAGATACGCAAACAAATGAAGAACCTGTTGAAGGAGAAACCCAGAATTGGTCGGGATTGGAAGGCGTCACGCGTGTCAACTCCTTGGTTCAACTCCCCAGATTTTCCGGTGAGAGGCAAAGGCCTTAACTTTTTTCGTTTGGAACATATAATGCCATCTGTCTCACAAGTCGTTCTTGCAGCATTCCACTTTCATTGTTCTTGCTACAATTAGTCAGTTTTCTTGCAGTAATCTCAATTGTACATTCCATTTTCATGAAGTATTAGTGTATATACTGTAACATTATGCATGGTGAACAGTAGGGTAATGCTTCTTGTGTTAAGTGCATGGTTTTGTGCTGGGGTTTTTGCTTTTACTTGGAAAAATTGCTTACTGCTCTGCAAGAGTGGTTGGATTTGCAGAATTTCTGCAGTTTGAAACTCAATGTTCAGGTTGCAAGATTTAGTATCTGAAATACTTCTCTTGAGAAGAAGAGAACATGAAACCAATGTGCTTGGAAGTTTAAGATTTATAGTATTGTTATAAGTGTTGGTGCTAAACTATCCATATTTATATATTACTCTTCACTTTTCGGGTTTTCGATAGATTTATTGATGTCCAGCCAAGTTGGTTAGACTGTTGTCTTGGTAACCACATGGTTGCACGTTCAACTACTAGCAGGAGTGGCCTATTAGTCTTCTTGATTTGAGCCAGTTAGCTATGGACAACCTAGACTGGTGATTACCTTCTTGTGGTTTTTGTCGGCTAGTATCACAAGACAGAATTACAAGAGAAAAGTAGGCCATTTGAGCTTCTTCTTTTCAACATGAATAAAGACATTATTGATTCTGCCAAAATTTCTTCCATGTTGAATGTATGAACTAATAACCAGGCACATCATTGGTACTCTGGTAGTGTGATACAAATCAAAGCAATCTAATCATTGAACCAATCTAAAACAAATTACAATTAGTGTTTGGTTTGGTGTTACATGAACCAATTTGTAAAGGCCCTCAAGGCAAAGGTTGATAAGGTCTCCAAAAGCAAGTAACCATAAAAATTGTGGGACTAAAATAAATTTTTAAAAAATCCAAATTCCATAATTATATAATCTTGATAAGTCACAGTTGTTCCCAAGCTTGAGGACACACTTGTATCATCATCATCATCATCCTGCGGAGAATAGATATACAGGTACATTAATGGTGAATATGAATGCAAATTGAGCAAAGAAGGCAATTGCAGAACTAAAAAGCATGTAGAAATCATTGCTCATTTACAAGAAACAATCTTCTTGATAGTCTTAAGGAAATATTTGTTTATAGTTTAGGCAATTATAGATCTAAAGCGGGCAAGTTCTACTGCAGATTTAAGTTTTTCCTTGTGTCGTTTCTAAGTAAACACCAAAGATTAGAATCTAAAGTTTTAAGTTATATGTCTGTCGAGAGTTTCAGCATTTCTGGCAATAGCAGACTGACAATTCTTAAAACCTATTCTATTTGCATTTTTACAAAGTTGACAGATTTAGGCAAAAACTTTGCCCACACAATTCACCCACATTTTTAACACTGGATTGATACTATCCCGGGAAAGTGAAGAACAAAATATGAACACATAATTAAACCGATGGCAAAAATTATCTTTCGAATTTAGTTCCTCGTCTGCTAAAAAGTCCCTGGAAATCTAACAACCTATCAAATCACATGTCCATAATACAGAGAATCAGAGATCTCTTTTGCTGTCGAAGTACACAAATCTTTCAAACTGCTCAATTAACATGGCAGTTGTTTATCCTTGCAGCAATTCTTCTCTGCCAGACCAATAATGCTCTCAAATACTCTATATTTCAGAATTTGAATTCTATTTATAATTGTCAAAAGTGAAATCTTGTATCCAATCATTAAACCCTTCAAAACTCACAGCATAACTAAAACATAAGTTGAGGATATGTTTGGGTGTTCCACAGAACAAGTTGCAAAATTTTCTCATAAAAAGGATGAACACAGACAAAAAGCAAAGCATTGCATTCCAGCAGTTTCAAAAACAGTCTTATAATCATAAAACACATTCAAAAATCAACCCTATCCAGAAATGATTATTCTTCTACAGTTTCACAGGGTATGGGCATCACTCAAATCCACCTTACAAAAGAAAACAAGAAATGGCAACCACATCCTTAGCTCATTAACAAAGCTCTCGTTGCAGGAACAGCTAAAGATCAAACCTTTAACCTTTATCTAGAATGGGCATGGCGTGATTGTGCTCAAAATTAAAATAATGGAATAAATTATAAAGAGAATTACCGGTAGAATCGATCAAAACCCGAACATTTTGCTGACAATGAAGCAGAGGAAACAGAAGAATATGAAGAGGAAAAGGTAATCGACCAAGACGAAGAGCCTGGTCGATCCGTGTTTCCTCTTCCCTGTCTTCTTCTTCTTCGTTTCCTTTGATGGTTCCTCGTACAACTCTAGCTTCGCCATTTCTTCAATCCCAAACCCAGATGGAAGATCTCGAGGATGAAGATTTTAGATTTTTAGATCTACGCTTCCTCTTTCTTGCACACTCGCTTTCGGACTTTCACTAATTACGTGATGCCTACAAATCCTACAATACAATCCATCAACTCATAAAACAAATCTTTATTTTATTTTATAATTAAACATTTTTGTATTTCATTATTATGTAGTATATTCTTTATTAATTAGTTATCCATTCGGTCAATTCATGAGTAATTCTTTAAAATAAATAATTTTATTTTTTAAAATTTTAGTCTTAATTGTAATGATTTTAGTCAATGAAGTAACATTTTCCTTTAAAAAGTAACATTTTTCTTTAAAAATAAAATTTTTGCATTATATATATATACACACACACACACATGGGAAGGGAGAGAAAAAAAAAACTGATTTTTTTAAAAATAAAATAATTTAATAACACTTTGTTAGGCGCGCACGAAACTTGTTTTCACCTGTTTTCTTTCCCCTGACCAGGTTATTGTTTCAAAATCTCTTCTTAACAGATGAACTTAAACCCTCTCTTTTCATTTTTCTCTCCAATTTGTCAGAAATATCTCCTAAATAACTACTGATATTGATACTATTAACAATGTCATTAGAAAAATTCTTTCTGATACTAATGTAGTATGGAAAAAATAAATGTTACTCCGTATATTAGTAATAGTAAATTTGTTGGCACATGATCAATAATCATTAATCAAGAACCATGATGACAAGGGATAGATTTTTATGCTATATTTTTATATATAATATATATCATGGTTTTCAAATGAATAACCTGCCTTACATAGATACATGATTGAGTGACAGGAAATGTTAAAGAAAAATGAAAAAGAAATGAAATCTCTTAATTACATAATTGCCCATTGCACAACACTATGATACCAAGAAGGAGAATAATGAGGATGAGAGGGCAACAAGCCTGCAGATAAAACCAGAATGATGGGAATAATAATGTGGCCTATAGAATAAGGGTATCCCTTTGGCTAGTACACCAATCAAATGCATATATTATAAAGTTCACTGCAGTTCCTTTGACCATCATACCCCCACTTAATTGAAGGATCAAGAAGTTCTTCCACTCATGCCCTCATAATTTCTGCCATGATATCAGATTGGAAAGGGTTAATTCTTGGTCTGAGGAAGTCAACCAAAGAAATCAATTGGCGTGTGCAGGGGCAATATTGACATTACACACTTTGATCACATAAAGAATGGAACATCGTAATATTTGAGTCGAGGTTCACTGAAGTCATACCTTATTTCTTTTCCCCGAGGGTAGTGTAGGCTTGGCTTCTGCTGAGGCTTCTGATATCCGAGCCTCGGATTTCTCATTGGAATAACTACAGTAAATTTTAAAGCATCAATCAGATATTCTCAGGCGATCTTTTTTTATGACAAAAATGGAATGAGTTTCTAAATGTTTTGCGGGAAAATTATAATCTCAAGAACATCAATATCCATCCACTATTTATACCCTTACGTTGAAAGTATAGTGACCCACACAAGTTCCACGCAGTCTACCCAAAGGAGCCTTTGCTCTACTGGGACCACACCATAAGTGATCAGATGAGCAAACGGCCAAAGCTTCCATCCAGCCTGAGAGAAATAAAAACCAAAATAAGTTGTCTCCCTATATGAATCCAAGAACCAAAGTACCAAGAAAGATCGGGAATTTCAAAATATGAGGCATCACCCAACTTCCTGTTTTAGTTGCTTTTCAATAACTTTTCCTACCTTCACAAACAGATTTTGAAGATCGCCATTGAAAGTGACATAAATAATCACATAACACGTTTTCTATTATCCTTTTGAAAAGGAGATCAATCTAATACACATTCTGTTCTATAATGCTCCATTCTAATGGTAGTGGAGTTCTCGAGTTTATAACATAAAAGTAGATATTAATAAAGAATACTTTTCCATTGATGTTATAGTCAAATATTTTCTTACTGTCAACATTGGCCAAAACGTGGCTTGGAGCTCGGTGAAAATATTGTTAGGGGATTCGAAACGCAAGAAACCCAGAACCACATAGTAGATGCTGTTCCAAACTGCAGACCAGACGGTTTGGTCAAAAGCAACTTTGGCAGGGACCACCCACCAATCGTTGAATGGGAAAAGAGCCTGCAAATGGAAGTCAACTAATTTCAGCCAAGCATAAAATTTCAAAGATAAGAAACAACGCTAAACACTAAACATAACTAAGCAACAAAGATCACCTCACAAATGTGGTAATAATAGTGGGAAAGAGATCCATGAAGTGTGAATCCAACAAGGCCAGATCTGAACATGCGTGTCCGATCAAAATCAAGAAGAGGTTTCCCTTCATAACACTTCAAGCCCATAATAAAATCAAAATTAGACCCCAAAAAGAAAAATGCTTGTCCTGTTGTCCACAGACCATAAAATTAAGAAATGAAAATAAGGTTTGAAAATTATCAAAACAAAGGGTTTTTTTGGGGCGACGGACCGACCTGTGCAATCCAATCTCCCAGAGAGTAGACAATGCCACTGATCACCATTTTAGCAAACACAGGATTTGCCTTCAGAGCCTCTTCATAAGCATTCCAGTTATGCTCTGGGGCATACCTCAAGACTTCATAAAGGGTCCATCCCTGAATTACACAACAAATTGGATTGAATTGAATCCTTAGATTAGACCATTTCCAATACCAAAAACCAATCCACAGTTCACTTTCATTAGGGTTAACTTTTCATTTCCCATTTCAGCTCATCACAAAGATAAGCGATTTCAAATCAATCAGGGATTAAGCTAGAACTAACTGAATAAGAAATAACTGGCAAATTTTTGAAAACAAAAAGATTAGATCTTTCAAAGGGGGTTGTTGAAAAGAACCTTTTTCTTAAGCTGAATTTCTCCAAAAACAACAATAAAGCAAATTTTAAAGGACAAAACAAACAGAATTAAGAATACACGATTCCAGATGATCTATGATATCAAAATTAAGCGAAGAAAAGCAGAAGGATAACTCACATGCCAATAATCATGATCAATGGTAAGCAATTTAGTGATGGCAAGAGTACCGGCACCTAGCACAATAGCAGCATTAAGAAACCTATCTCTATCAGACAAAATGGAGGCTATAGCACTCTTGATCGCCTCCAATTTCGTCTCTCCGGGACCCTCCACATTATCCCCCTCGCTGCTTTCTGCCGTACCCACTTCTCTGTCTTCCGCCACCGCCTTAATTGGCCTAAGGGCGGCGGTTGTTGGTGAGAGGAGTGAGGTCAAAGAGGCAGTAGAAGTACTTTGGTTACAGAAGAGGGCGGAATTGAAGGGAAGTATCGTCCGGGGTTTCTTGGGTTCAGAGGTGGAGGATTTTGCCGGGAGGAGATGGGCGGTGACGGTGCTCAGAGCCGACATCGTTGGTGGCGGGAGGTTTATGCCGATACGCAATGTTTGATAAATTATAAAAAAAGAAAAAAATATATATTATGAAGCTATTAACTGCTCCCGCGAAGCCGAAGCTTCTGGCGAAAATGAAAAATGAAATTTAGGTTCCACCGAGATTTGAACTCGGGTTACTGGATTCAGAGTCCAATGTCCTGACCACTAGACCATGGAACCTTGTTGTATGATTTGTAAACCTAAAATTATATAACATAAATTTAAGAAAACAAAATGAGTAATACCATCTAAGATCCTCTGAGTATAATGGTTTTGCCACGTTTAGTCCTAAACTTTCAAATTGACCATTGGTTGTCCTTTGAATTTCAAATTGTTACCATCCATGGTCCAAATTGACCATTGGTGGTCCTTTGACTTTCAAATTGTCACCGTCCATGGTCCGAGATGATCCTTCAACTATCAAATTTAACCACCCATAATCCTTCCAAGATGACCATTGGATCGAGATGATCCTTCAACTATCAAATTTAACCACCCATAATCCTTCCAAGATGAGCATGGCTGGTTAAATTTTTATTCGAAAGACCCCATATATCATTAACTCAAAACAAAATCAATTCTAAAACCCAAAAGCATCCACATTCCACAATGGTGGATATTTGAGATCCAGATTAGCTTGCATCTATAAATGTGTCGATATAATGCAAGGTGTACGTGCCCGTTAAGTATTGTTTGTGTGTCTTTCACACTAGTGTTTCTTTTTTTTAATTAAAAAAAAAAAAATCTTCTCTCTTTTATATCATTAAAAAAACTCTGAAAAAATCTCCCCAAAAAAAAAAAAAAAAAAAAAAAAAACTACTGGTCGAAAACTCTTAGGGATGTCATGTCATAGCAGGGAAATATTCCCACAGGATGTCCTAATTTATCATAGTATGACAGCATCATACTGTGCTTTGTTATTCCCAATCATATTGAACATTCGAGGTATGAAATGGAAGGTCTTTACACACAATTGAACAATGATCAAATTGCAATATCCAAAACATTATAATTACATCAACAATCATATGTACAAGTAACATGAAGTACAAATAATGTTTTTCCCATTGCCTCACACTCTGCTGTGGATTCTTGCTTGAGATGGGAAGAAGATTGAATGGGGCTTGCACCAAAAGTAGACCAAGCAATTAGGGGAGCACATAAAGCAAACCACTGAAGCAGTAAATTCTATTGTATGAAAAACCGGATGTTACACTGAAGATGCAGCGCGGTCTGATTCTATCATGGATTTTATGTAAAACTCGCCTGCCTTGTACGAGGACCTAACCATCGGTCCAGATGCCACATACCGGAATCCCTGAAATACGCAAACGGGCACTAATGTCATTAGCCGGAATATCAAGGTTGAAAAAATCGCTAGGCGCCTGGGGACCGCCTAGGGAGCCTAGAGCGATTAATCGGCGCCTAGGTGGCCGACCGCCTAGCGCCTAGGCCCAATTTTTGCAACACTGATAATATACATTAACAAGAAAAGGATTGGGACGAACCATTTCCATTCCAAGAACTCGATACTTGTCAAAAGCTTCTGGAGTTATGTATTCCGACACAGGCATGTGACGCTTTGAGGGTCTCATGTATTGCCCAAATGTCATTACATCAACACCCGCTTCCCTCACCTTTTCCATTGTTTTAATCACTTGATCGGGCGTTTCTCCACATCCCAACATTATCGATGTCTTGGTCAGTGTACCGGTAGGTGCATATTCCTTGGCCATTATTAAGACATCCATGGACTGCTTAAAGTTAGCACGGTGATCACGTACAACACTCTGAAGCTCCTCAACTGTCTCGATGTTATGAGCAAAAACATCCAACCCAGATTTGGCAACCTTTTCAACACAACTATGGTCCCCTCGAAAATCAGGAGCTACAACCAAAAAAAAAAACAAAACAAGTGAAGGGGTTCAATATAGAAATTAATGTAAACAGTATACTTTAAAGAATCTAACAAAAGATATCGTATTTGTTGAAAAATATAAGGTTGTGTCTGTTTATGAATAGGTGTCAGTTATAGGTGGTTACTTACAGTTATGTGTTTGTATAATGTATATATATATGTACTATGTTTCTTTATTAGAAAGACAGATAATACTAATATATTTCAGCCTTATATACATTTTCTATTCTTTGATTCTTCATCATTGCTTCCGCCTAACTGGCGGGTGGTGTTATTCTCCACCTACCAGGCCATTCCATCTTCCAAATTCAATAGTATTTAAACATATATTATCATGCAAATGTGGGAAAGAAGGTGTTCATACTTAGTGCTTCTATGAGCATATTTGGCTTCAATGCCTTGAGCTTCTCTACTGTCTCAGCAAAATGGCTGCTTCCTTGATCAGGCAAATCGTCACGATCCACACTGGTAATCACAACATAATCCAACCCCCACGAAGCAATTGCCTCAGCCACATTGGATGGCTCGTTTGGGTCAGGAGGAGGTGGAGTGCGAGAAGTCTTCACATTGCAAAATCTGCCAATTTTAGCAGGGAGAATATCCTTAATGAACTGATGACATGTTGTACATGTAAAAGTTTTAATAAATATAGATGATCAAAGACCAAAATTCCAGATTCTAGGCTAGCAAATCTGCTCTACCTTAAACATCTTAGGTTTATCAACCCTTGCTGTATAGCTATCAAACCAACAATAAATTCTAAATATTTGCCTTAAAAATCACTTCTTTTTTCCTGCCCTACACCCGAGGGGTAAATCACGGTGCCCATCAGGTGGAGGACCAGTATCTAATGCCCACAAGAAGTCACCCTACAAAAGGGTGAAACTCACACTATGACTACCAGAACTCGATCATGTGTCCCTATACACAATTTGTCACCGGGAACCAATTGAGCTATCAAACCAGCAATAAATTCTAAATATTTGCCTTAAAAATCATTTCTTTTTTCCTTGCCCACACCCGAGGGGTAAATCACGGTGCCCATCAGGTGGCCAGTATCTAATGCCCACAAGAAGCTACCCTACAAAAGGGTGAAACTCACACTATGACTACCAGAACTCGATCATGTGCCCTTATACACAATTTGTCAGTCGAGAACCAACTGAGCTACCGGGTTCACTTCTTTTTTTCCTTCTTGCACATATTGGAGTTTTCATGGCATTTAATGCTTTCTGATTATTGTAACTCTAAATGCAATACATTCATATAAATGACTTCAAAAAGGATAAATATATAGAAATAGAAAAAATCCAATATATAAAGCAATAAAAATCACCTGCAACCTCGAGTGCAAGTATCGCCGAGAATCATAATGGTGGCGGTGGCGGTGCCCGTTTCGCCGCCGGACCAACATTCTCCCAAATTAGGACACTTAGCCTCTTCGCAAACCGTGTGGAGCTTCAACTCCCTCAGTTTCTTCTTGATCTGCGTGTACTTCTCCCCGCCGGGGATTGCTTCCTTCATCCATTTGGGCTTGGGGAGCGGCTTCTTCTTCGTGCCGACTTCAACTGAATACTCGCTGTCCGACTGGAACCGTACGAAGTCTCCGAGCGCCGGCGACTCAGCCGCTAGCCGCCTCCGCAAGCCATCCAATGTTTGGGGGTACTGTTGAGGGGAAGTAGATGACGGCGGTGCGGCGGTAGGAGCTGCGGAGGAGGCGAAGGATTTCGAGGAGAGACGGCGGCGGGTGGATATGAGTGACCGGAATGTGAGGGTTGCGAAACGGAAATTCATTTTCCGGCGGCGGACAGGGAAGGAGAAAATGGGGATTTGATTTCCGGTGTTCGTCTTGGCCTCGGAAATTCTGAGGTTGTCGTGGTTGGTTGAGTAATCTGAGGAATCTGGTTGGTCCGGTGTCCGGTGTCCCAGTCAAACGGGCCCATGGGCCCAGAAAAGTAAGGTGTGGATTGGTAGCGGGCCTATAGAGCCGGGCTTTTCAAAATTGCGGGCGGATTAGCCCATCAAAATTGAAGAACAAACCCGTGGGGCCCGCTAATGGAATTTCTTTAATCTCATCATTGCATGTTATGTCACAGATTCCTTGACGGTGACAGCTTGATGGAAGACTAACAAGAGACGCATCTTTGACATTTCAATTCAAACAACTTATTTATAATTCAATTTTAATAAAAAAAAAAATTAATTTATATTTCTTTATAATATGTGAATTATTAATGTCATTTTTAAAAAAATACGGAGTATTAATGATATATTTTATACAATATATTATTTTAATAATTTTTTTTATACATTTATTATTGGTTTAACCCCCAAAAAATCAATAAAAATAAAAGAGACTTCAAAAACCGAATATCACATACCATGGCATCTGAACTTGGGAGTATGGTTTTTTCATCAGATTGTATTCCCCTCTCTCTCTCTATATATATTTCGTTGAATTAGTATTATGTCATTTTACATTTTTACAATTTTACATTTGATTCTTAATTATTATTTTTATAACTTTTTTTAATACATCATAACGAAAAAGCTAAAAAACAACATTACATCAATCTAGCACATGTAACACCCATTATCTTTGTAAAAATAAGATGTTAAAATCATTTCCGATGATTCTCATAATCATTTTTTTTTTCACTCTTGATTACTATATCTTGAATTTATACACAAATATGTCTTGGGCACTTAACCCCCAACAATTATTTGGTCATTCTTTGTGCATGGCTTCAAATTTGTTGGAAATTTTAGCCTAAAATGTAGAACTATAATAACTACTATAAAATTAAATATCATACATTTTGAGTCATTTATGTTTGAACCACAAACAATCGCGTTGCCAACACTAACCAAAATCCCTCAAGTAAACATGATTTACATCGTTAAAAATCATCCAACAAGTCAATTCAACGAATATGACATTTTATATGTATAGTGAATGTTGAAACTGTGTTTATAAAGTAAGCATTGAATGAGCAACCACACAAATGAAGAAAAAAAAAAAAAAACTCACATTCGTTTTGATTTATTCGTCAATTGAAAAGAGAAACTTATAAACACTGCTTAAGGGTAAACATTGGGTAAACTCTAGTCTTGTGTAATAACTTACAAATCACACGTAAAATTACATAGGAGCAATGAATTACACTAAAAAGACCCAATGCGATAGACTCAAGTTAGACAGTATTAATAAGAATCAAATTTGTGACATTTAACATTAGAATCATGCTTTATCTTTTTGGAGCAATTCGTTGAAATTGTTAGCTCTTATAATACATGTTGAGTATTTTAGTAGACAAAAGTACTTTAAATTTATTCATTCATAATTTACTATTGAGCTCTCTATCTTATCAACATTATACCTAGCATATTCTCCCATGCATCATTGATTGGATGTACTATTATTCTGCACCCTATGGTCTCTAATTTAGCAAATGAATATATGGAAATAAAAAGATGGAAAAATGAAAAAGAAAATATACATTAAATTTATTCGAAAGAAACCTCAAAATAGATAATTAAATGTGTGGAACATGACTATCGTACTTGAAGGTCATATGTTTGATTCTGGTTAACGATCTCTCAGTCTTTTTAGTGCGGACTATGATTTGTCGTCATTAAAAAAATATTTGAACTAAGTATAGAAAAATATGTTTTTTATCCATAAAAAAAAAAAGTCACAAAGGAGACGTTAAAATGATAAAAAGTTGTAATGATTTTAAATTTGTGTACAAAAATTAATAATTAGTGATTAAAGTTGAAAATGACATTATATTTGAGGGCTTAAGGAAACGGAAAATTCTATCAACTTTTTATGGCTTTTGATTTTAGTATTATCATGGAAAAGTATCACTTTTGTGTTCTAGGGAAATAACATTTATACCCATCAATTATATGTTACAAATTGACTGTTTATACCCATCATTTTTTTTTTTTTTCTCTTATTACAAATGGCGGCTAGTCAGCTGCGGTAAATTTCTGTAAATCTTTAAATCCAAGACCTCACTTCATCAGTCATAAGATTCCGCGCATCGTCACGCTCTACAGAGCATCATCTGAATCACCGAACGACGGTACGACGTTGAGAAACAAGCGATTGAGGTAAGAAACAACTGTCCGGCACGCGCCGCCACTGCGCCTGGTATTGTGACACGAGTGAGCAAAGTGACTCAGAGCTGATATGCATGTACGAGTCACAACGTCTCCCACGTCCTTTTAGAAAGAGAGAGAGTGAGAGGAAGGGAAAGAACTCAAAGAAGACTAGAAGAGTTCATCTTTTCCCCCTCCACCCTCTGCAACTTTCCGCATTGGCTTTTCTCTACTTTTTAGCTTCTTTTTTTCAATCTTTTCTTGCTTAAGAGCTTTTCCATCTCTCTTTTTGCTACTTAATCTTGTTTTTAATTGGTTTGTTAATCAGCTGTTGCTTAGTTTAAAAGAAAAATAAAATCATATTCACTGTAAAAATCAGATTTTCCTTCTCCCCAGTGTTCTTAGTTAGCTCTTTGTTCCTCCTTTTTCCCCCCATTTTCGTTCTTGTTTTAGCCTGCTAAAAGGTTCAATCTTTGTTCAAAGATTTTCGGTTTGATTCTGTTAAAGGTATATGTGGGTATCTATGATTTATTCTTTTATTTCTGCGTGTGTGTGTGTGTGTGTGTTTTCAATAGCTTGTTAAAGTTCTGAACTTTGATAAATTGGCATTTGCACTTTTCCTTTCTAAAAACATAGCTGCTTTTCTGAGATAGAAAGGGTTTTTAACTTTTTATTGGCTATGCAGAGGATTTTTCTGAAAGAAGTGTAGTTGATTGAGGAAAAAGGTGATATTTTGGATCAATGGGTGGGTATGAATTAGCTGTTTTCTGCTTGAGTTTAAAGGTCATGGTGGGACTTTTCTTGATTTTGGCCATTCGTATGGTGGATGGGGCTAATCCTAAAGATGGTAAGGCTCAATGGTTTCTTAATGTTTATAAATTAATTTTGATTTTACTTTGATTGCCTTGAATTGAGTTATTGATTAGGGGGAGTGGTGATTACTGATAAGTTTTGATGCAATGCTGGTCTAGTCTTAGCTAATTGGTTATAAAGTTTTAGGCTTGTTGAATAAAAGTGGTTTCTTTCACAAGAATTTTCCTGGCAAATCATTCTGCATTTTGGTTTTAGCAGATATATCTACTCTAGAAATACTAGAACATTTTTAATTGATTTCTTCTGCAAATAGTTTATGCGAAGGGCCTTAAGGTGGTTACTTTTAGGCGTTTTAGCATTGACATTTCTTTTTAAAATGGTGAAGTTGCTGCGATGAATAATTTATATGCTGCTTTGAAATCCCCTCCTCTACCCGGGTGGAGTGTCGATGGAGACCCGTGTAATGGAAAATGGCAAGGCGTTCAATGCGAGGGTACAAACATAGTTTCAATGTGTGAGCCCTTCCACTACTGCAATCTTTGGAAGATATATCGAATCGAGATGTTAATTATTCTCATCATATTATGAACAGTACAATCAATGCTGCAAATTTGGGCGGTGAATTGGGCAATAACTTAGGATCATTTTCCTCGATCAAGAAAATGTAAGTCCGATGAATCAATTTTATGCTTCTGTTTCCTTGTTTCTTTATATACCTGCAATTTGACTAGTATGGAATGTCACTGTGGCAGAGATCTGAGTAACAACCACATTGGAGGCGCAATTCCATCCAATCTCCCGGTTACGCTGGATAACCTGTATGTTTCAGTCATTTTCTTGAAGAATACATATATTTGTGTATATATATTCCATATGTATTATGCAAATCGCTTAATGGTGTTTAATTTTTTGCAGGTTTCTTTCAGATAACGAGTTTATTGGGAATATTCCTGATTCCTTATCTTCCCTGTCTCAACTATCAGCTATGTATGTTTCTCTTCAATTTGTATGCTTGAAAGTTGTTGTTTTTCCTGATCATTAATTGTTATTTAGCTTATATACGATTATACATTTGTTTAGGTCTCTAAATGACAACCATTTGACCGGAGAAATTCCCGATTCCTTTGAAGGCCTCGTTCATTTGAAGAATCTGTATGATGCCTTACTTGAATTGCTTCTGTGTTGCAATAGCGGGGCTTACTTTTAACAGATTTTCTTTGTGCAGAGATTTATCCAATAACAATTTAAGTGGGAGATTACCACCATCGCTAGGAAATCTGTCCTTGGTGACTCTGTTAGTATTCAGTATTTCGGTTTGATTCTTTTCATTTTTGTTTATGAATCTAACCGCTTTTTCACCAGTCATTTGCAGAATAATCAGATTTCTGGAACCCTCGACGTTTTACAAGATCTCCCACTTCAAGATTTGTACTTTACTCAACTATATTTCTCTCGGATACAAGATACCAATTTTTGCATTTATTTTAAGAGTGTATTATTATTATTCTGCTAACACGTTTCCTCCCTTTCAGAAATATAGAAAATAACCTGTTTTCCGGACCCATACCTCAGAAGCTCTTGACCATTCCAGTTTTCAAGTAAGTTCCATAATCGAGACAGTTCAATTACAGTCTTGAAAACATTTTTGGCGTCTTTTATTTGGAAGGCTGATAAAAATGGGAATTTTTGAAGTAGAATCATCTATATATATTCTTCTTGTGCTAAATCTTGGAAAAAATCAATCTTTGCTGGATTTTCAATCTATTATGAACTGTATTACAAAACAGTGTCATGTTCTAACTAGATGCCCAAAAAAAAAAAAAAAAAATCTTGCAGGAAAGACGGGAACCCTTTCAACAGTAGTAATGTTCCTTCACCTCCGCCAACACCATCTCCAGCACCGCCCTCTGATAAAAAACCTGGAAAACAGGTTGACGGGCCATCGCCAACTGAGCAGCCAAACTCCAAGAAAAGCAAAAATTCAGCGGCTACTAGAAGGATCGTTTGGATTTCAATTGTGGCAGTAGTATCATTTATAATGTTGGTTTTAGCAATCCTTCTTTGTTTGCCAAAGTGCTTTAAGAAAAGGCAAGATACTCACAGAATTCCCAGTCGGCTTGAAATCGCTCCACCTGTGGTATCAAGAAGGAGCCCAAGTGATAATGGTTCCATGGTCCAACCTGGGCATGATTTAAAGAAAGGTTTTTGAATTAAATTGTTTTACTTGCACTTTAGGCTCGGGTTTTCAATGATGAATAACTTTCTTACATGTGTTTCAGCAACTCCTCCCGTGGTTGCATTGAAAGAGGAGCATCAACCAAACAGACCCGAGGTAACTGCAGAAAACGTGAGTGCTATACCAAAGGACAGCCACGAGATTAACATTACCCGATTCGATATTGATGCAATGCCACCACCGCCTCCCCCTCCAGCTCCGACAGAAACTGTAGCTAATCCTCCAACGAGACGACTTCCACCAACGTCTGTGAATGCCTACACAATTGCATCTCTTCAGCAATATACCAATAGCTTTTCTCACGATAATCTTATTGGAACGGGAACACTGGGCACTGTGTATAAGGCAGAGCTTCCTCGTGGCAAGGTACGACTTCTGATTAAAATAAACCATATTAATTGAATATCTCACTGATTATCAATTGAGTTTTCCGTCTTTTCTCTTTGTAGAACCATAAAAACTCACATTTAATTTACTTTTATGGTTCTTTATTATTAGTTGCTTGCTGTGAAGAAACTGGACAAAAGAGTCTGCAATCAGCAAAAGGATTACGAGTTTATAGATCTGGTAAACAACGTCGATAGAATACGCCATGCTAATGTTGTTGAACTCATGGGTTACTGTGCGGAGCATGGTGAAAGGCTCCTGGTGTACGAGTATTGCGATAACGGGACACTGCAGGATGCACTGCACAACAATGATGAATTCAAGAAAAATCTTTCGTGGAATATGCGCATCACGATGGCCCTTGGAGCCGCAAGAGCCTTGGAGTAAGTAAATATTCGGAATTTTCAAGAAAACCGAGAAGGGTAACTAGTATGGAAAAGTAATACGTTGGATAGGAAATTTTATTCTTTTGACATTTATGTTTTTCAATGGTGAAGGTATCTGCACGAGAGTTGTGAACCGCCAGTTGTTCATAGAAACTTCAAGTCTGCGAATATTCTCCTTGACGATGAGCTTGCTGTTCATGTATCCGATTGTGGTTTGGCTCCGTTGATATCATCGGGGGCTGTGAGCCAGGTACTTCTTTCATCTCATAGATCGAGTATTTTTGTATAACTTTGTATCTAAAGATCATGAGTTCTTCAGTTGTCAGGACAACTTCTTACGACTTATGGTTATGGTGCCCCCGAATTCGAGTCAGGGATTTATACGTTAAAGAGTGATGTTTACAGTTTCGGAGTTGTAATGTTGGAGCTTTTAACGGGCAGAATGTCATATGACAGGTAAAACCTGTTATTGAGCATTTGAGCCCCGCCCTAGCTAGGAAATCTCGCTTTTCTACCCAATTTCATTGCCTTTGTATCATAATTAGGACCCGGAGTCGTGGGGAGCAGTTCTTGGTGAGATGGGCAATACCTCAGCTTCATGATATCGACGCCTTGACAGGGATGGTTGATCCTTCTCTTAACGGAAAATACCCTATCAAATCACTATCGCACTTTGCTGACATAATTTCCCGCTGTGTTCAGGTGCATTACGTCACATATCTTTAGCTATACACGAAAATTTTTATAGTCTGTGTTGGGCGTCAGCCGAGTTGGCTGAATTCAGCCACTGCTCGATTTGAGACGTGGCGCTGTGACTTACCATGGAGGGAAGTGGTTAAATGGTTAATGTCTACCTACTTATTACCAATTGGTTTTAAGTAAGATATGACAACCAGGTAACTAAAGAACTCTGTGATTAAGCGTGTTTGACTTCCCCTCGGAAGTAAGCATAGTGCAGCGCTGAGATCCATCAGTCTGTGCGTTCCATATCTGTGGCTGACAACGAATGCCTAGTTTTTATCTGTCATATGGTTTACCTTCTTCGCAATAACACGTTTGCATATATGCTGGTTTTGAACCTTTGTTTATTCCCCCGTGCAGCAAGAACCAGAGTTCAGGCCCCCGATGTCTGAAGTTGTGCAGGACATCATTCAAATGGTAAGGAGGGAATCTTCAAACAGATCCGACGATGGCTAAGATAATAATCTGATAGTTCATGATTGCAAGCAAACTGATCCACAGAAGAATCATGAATCGCGGTTGAAAGACAAGCAAAATGAATGATGCAAGGCCAAGGACTTGGACTCTGCAAACGTAACAAACAGATCTTGAAACAGAAGTCGTAACCAAATATGGAAATGGTGACGACAATGATGATGACCTCCGACAAATTGTTCTCAAGTTTTGCTGCAAAGTTTCATGGACAATGGTTGAAGCATTGAGCCATTGCAGGAAGAATAGTAGATGGACAGATGTTGGGTGTTGTGTGATTATTTTGTATCATTATATCATTCTAGTTATATATCATTTGGAGTGCTGCATGTTAGCCATGCCATGTAAAGTTTAAACTCAATCTTGTATAAAATTGTTAGCTATTGTTAATGCAAGCATGTAAATATGTAATCTTGCACTTCCTATGATTGTTATTGTTGTTGTTTACTATCAATTGGAATTGAGGTAGGTGAAGTTTTCAAGAATTTGCATTAAGTTAATCGGATGTACACCGATCTTAAGTTGTCGATTAGATGGCATGAGTGGCCGTACACTCTTATCCGAGATCGAGAGTTTGAACTCCCTCTTGTATGAAAAAATCAATTTGGCCGAGCCAAATTTGAAACTTTGGTTAAACCACTGTTCTCAGTTTTTCTGGACTTGCTCAATTGAGGGACAAAGTGCTGAACTCTCGACTTCCCTTAAAAGAAATCACAGTTTGCATCGAACCGGCCGATCAAGCTGGTTATCATACTAGGTAATATCATAAAAAAAAATTCTCATCCATGACTCCATGAGAAGCATTTTTTTTTTCCTTCTTTAAATCCAACTCTTATTTTATTTTTATTTGAATTTTTAAGTGAAGCAGTCTAAGTTCGGTTGACACCTATGACCTATATAAGCACAAGCGCGCCTGTTTTCGCTCCCACTCAGGAATCGCGGGATTCTGTGTCGAAGGCTGACAAAATTTCTACAAAAGGAAAACATAAAAACTGAAACTTTCACGTCTCTTCCTAAGCATCAATACCGCATTTTTTGAATCTAAATTCTAAACCCCATGCGATGCCCTCTTCAATCCACATTATACCCATTTTCCCTTTTTCTTTAATCAGATCTGCCAAAGTTTTCCGAAAAGCGTGAATTTCACGTTGTTGTTCTTGATACTGTGCTGATTCGTTCTCATGGCGGGGCGTTATGATAACCCATTCGAGGAAGAAGAAGAAGAAGTTAACCCATTTTCGGTATTTCCATTTCCATGCAATCATGCTATATATGTTATTGCGGCTTTTGATTTGATGGTTTTAGTTTTGAAGATTATCGGTCTCTTAGGATTTTAGGCCTGTTTTATTTGGTTGGATTAGTGATTTTGCATTATATATGGAGCTTATGGATTGATTTTTAGTGAAAGTGCATATTGTTGGTCTGTAGTGAAATTTCAAATTGAGATTCTTGTTATTTGATTAGCTGCTTGGCCTCAGAAGAATATAGTCAATGCCTTTTTATATGATAGGGACAATGTTTTTTTTTTATATGTTCTCTTTGTCAATGGAATTAGTTATATATTCATTTTCTGGCAACATGGTTGTCCTTTCAGATTTGAAATTCTCTGAGAGAAAGATATGAATCATCGTGTGAATGATCCGTTGGTGAGCCTTAAATGTGATGTTTTTTTTTTTTCCTAAGAGTCATGGCACGAAGAATGTGTGGCTTTCCATTTGATTTTTCAGTGAAGTTCATAACTCACACTTTAAGCATGATGTTTGTGTCTGATTTTAGGACCAAAACACTCGAGGTAAAGGTCAATCAGATGGTGGTAGCGGTCCGTTTTCTATGGCAGTAAGTTTATTCTTTTTCTTTTGAATCATGTCCTTTGTAATCTCTTCTTCTCATCCTGGAAATTATTTCATGTATATAAGCTGTTCACCGATAATTTCGTTGCTTATGAATTACTGTTCTTGCTGAAATCACCAGAATCCCGGGAGCAAGCCCTCTGCATCGAACTCAAGACTGTCCCCTCTTCCACCTGAACGTGCTGATACTGTAGATATTCCTATTGATACCGCCACGGTGAAAAACAATGCTATTGATCTTTTTCTGATTTTTATAGTGTATAGGATACTTTTTTACTCTCTCGAGGATTACAATTAAAATGACTTGTTTAATTCTATGAATCCAGGAAATAAAGAGGAAGGAGGAGGAACTTCACGCTAAGGAGGCTGAACTGAAGAGGAGGGAACAAGTAGGATTCTGAATTTTATTTTGCGTTCTTTTGATGCTATAATACACTAACGTAATCTCAAAGTTGTCATCTTTATCTGTGTACAAACATATATAATATATTCTTGGTGTTTTATTTAGGAACTGAAAAGGAAAGAAGATGCCATAGCACGGGGTAGGTCTCTGTAATGTCGTTATATACTTTTAAGTCTTATATAGAACTTAATATTTATATTCTATTTTTTTGTATTTGCTCAGCTGGGATCGTTATAGAGGAAAAGAATTTTCCACCACTCTTCCCTATTATTCACCATGATATTGCGAACGAAATTCCAGTTCATCTGCAGAGGATGCAGTATGTGGCATTCATGACACTTTTGGGTAAGCCTAACTCAGTTGAAGAGTTTTACCGGAAAACAACCTTAATACAAACTACTGGAAATTATAGAATTTCCAACCACCTGAAAGTAATCTTAAATCAACTTGAAAGCAAAAAGTGGTCAGAAATAGCAACCAAGGTTTTTCCGGATACCAAAAGTGGTCGGAACAAGACTTTCGACTTGATTTAAGATCACTTTCAGGTGGTCGGAAATTTCATAATTTTCAGTAGTGACACTACTGTGGTAGGTTCACATTTACGTTTTGGTGACTGGCAGGTCTCATTGTCTGTCTTGCCTGGAACATTGTAGCTGTTGCCTTAGCGGCTTGGATTAATGAAGAAGGTTGGTTGCTGGTATTCGATTATGTTTAGCCACTTCATTAAGGTTAACTTGTGTTTTTTACAGGTCCAATGATCTTCTTTCTTGCTATCATCTACTTCATAACAGGTGTCCCTGGAGCCTATTTCTTGTGGTACCGCCCTCTCTATCGCGCAATGAAGTACTCATCTCTTCTTCCCCCTTCATCTCTTTATTTATTTATATTTTAAATCTGCACATTTAGCTGAACTCTACTGTAAAATGAATGAACGTGCATTACTTTTGTGTGTATGATGGATTGTTTTCAACTGCACTGAATGCAGGAGTGATAGTGCGTTGAAGTTAGTTTGGTTTTTCTTGAGTTACGCGGTAAATGCTTCTCCTTCTACTTTCGTCTTTCTGCTTGAAACCCGCATGTGTTGACATTAATTGAAGCATGTGCTCCATCTCAACTAAAAGCTTATGGTAATAGTTGGATTGCACATTAATGGTTATATGCTCTACACGCCCCCTCACGTGTGCGGTGGGTTCCAAGCAACAGTGCTTGACCTTTTGTCTGGATCTGATACCAAACTGAAGCATGTGCTACATCTCAACTAAAAGCTTAAGCTAATAGTTGGATTGCACATTAATGGTTATATGCTCAACAACATTGATTTCCTTTTCTTTAATTCTTCACGGTGAAGGTTCACATTGGATTCTGTGTTGTTGCTGCTGTTGCGCCTCCCATCTTTTTTAAGGGGAAATCTTTGACGTAAGCTGAATTCAGTACATTATTCGGTGTCACCATTTAATTTTCCAGAATGTGGACCTCATAGAACTTCCTCTTGATCTTCCTATTCACAGTGGTATCTTGCCTGCACTCGAAGTTTCTTTCTGGAATTCTTTCGTTGGGGTAAGTGCATAAAGATGATCTGCATTATTTGTATTTGGGTTTCTCATACATTTGCATTTCAACTGCAGATGTTCTACTTTATCGGATTCGTACTATTCTCCATCGAATCACTGATGAGCATATGGGTCATTCAGGTTCAGTTTATCTTCTCGACAAATTTCATGAAACTTGTCGTTTGAAAACACTCAGTGTTCGTTACAATGTGCAGCAAGTGTACATGTATTTCCGGGGAAGTGGCAAAGCTGCAGAGATGAGGAGGGAAGCTGCGAGGCAAACTATGATGGCGGCGCTATGACACCACAGCTGTGGAGTGGCGGTGGGTGGCGGTGGCGCTCGTCGGGGCTTTGGATTCTTTGATTGCTTTTATATCTTTTCTCTAAATTTCAACCTGCATGCAGACCTGAACAACCCACTGGTACTAGATGAACATATACAGGCTGTTTATATAGTGACACTACATTAGTCTTTGCAGAAATGCTGCATTTACTGCATATTTAACATTGAATTTGACTGGATAGTTTTATACCCCCTTTTTCTTTTTCCTCTTTTCTGGTTAGAACTTTTGTTTGTTTGTTTTTTTATTTTGAGCAACTCTTTCGGATATTTTGTTGTATATTCGTTTTGACATAACATAAATTTTTTTTAGTACTGACTCTGTTACAATGTAGTATTCCAGTGAAATTCAAACTCATGACCTCCCATTTGAAAGAGTCACTTCATGCCACTTGAGGTTATTGGCACTTTTTGACAACATATGTGATACCTTAAAAACAATGAATTTTGTGGGATAAATGTTTGTTTTTGAGAGTGATTATAATGCAATGTTGCATAGATGCTTTAGTTTCTATGTCCCACTGACTCCCAAAATGCACCAATGGACCCAATGGTGTCAACCAAACATTAAGCAGCCATAGTATTAATGGGAGGAATAGTGACAACGGTGCGAATTCAAATCATTATACTTAGAAATTTAACATTTATTCTGCGTTACTATCTAATATGTTTTATTTCATATTAAAATTATTAATGATGGGAAGGAGAGTCGGCAACTCTTGGTCGGATTGCGCAATAAATGAGATTGGGAGTCGGCACAAGGGTCGTGGACATAAATTACCTGGTGGTAGAGACTACATAGAGAATCGGTGGGAACAAAGAGACGGGGTCGTCCAAATTGGTCACAGTCGAATGGGAAGGAGAGCAGTCAGTCAATCAATCGAATGAGTATTCTACGGAGTCATTCGAATGAATGAGGGCTCCAGGCAGCCAGCCAGGTAGTTGACTGGGAGAAGAGGTCAACCTGCTAGGTAACCGGATGAATTCCAAGTGCAATCGTTCAGACAATCGAGCAATCGGTCAGCAACCAAGCGAGAGGGTTAGTAGTCGAAAATGTGGTCAATAAAACCAACAATTAATATTCACTCACTCAACATGAGACAACGAAACAGATGTAAATTGTCACCTAGGATGATCATAGACAAGTGGCGAGTTGTGGCATGGGTAATTAATGGCTCATATTGAAAATTTTAACATATATCTGATATGTTTTATCTCAAATTAAAATTGTTAATTTTTGCGAGACAGATGTAAATTGTGACTTGGGAAGATTGGGTACAAGTGGCGAAGTGGGGCATGCGATTAATTAATAGGTCATAGAAGAATGTGTTTCCAGTTGGCAGTTAACCTACCTTAATTCCAGCTGGACAATTTCAAACCGTCCAAAAGTTATTGCTTAGCCCAATGGGTCACAGGTGTATGGCCTTTATTCATTCCTTAGACCGGACTATATTTAGTTTGGTGTGGAGTAGTAAGTTTACCCTATCACATTGAGTATACCAAAAAAATATCATTAAAAACAATTAAATATTAAATATACTTATAAAAATGCAAAGTCAAACACCTATCCAATTTCATTTATAGAACATTTATTTCATCTACAATATCCAAATCCAATAACAAAAATTTAAACAAATCCAATAAATTTTTAAAATTTTATAAGTTATAAAAGAAAAAATCATCATAAATCTTAATATGACACACATCAAATATTGATCATTTAACCGTACAATTGTATTAATAACCATTTTATCATCTATCACAAAAATATTGAGTTGTTACCCTACAAGCTTGAATCTTGTGATTTGTGATTTGCAGACTGTAGTGATGAATTCATTGACCATTTATATGACTGATTATATCATGCACCTTAAGATTCACCTTGTGATGTGAACAACTTGATACAAGTTTATTTTTACTATATTGTAAATTCATTTTTTTTCAAAAAGTATTACATTGTACTTTCCCTTATAAGTAACCAACACTTTATTCTTGTTTAGTATTACATTTTTCAATATAAGTATTAAATATTCACCTTAACTCGACCCGTCTCACTGATCCTCATATAAGTTGTTGCCATCTGCATGAGTAGCTCAATTGATTTATGGGCAACAGATTGTGGACAAGGACGCAAGATTGAGTTATAGTAGATTAGTAGTTGCAATGTGGGAGTTACACCAAATGTGGTGAGTTTCTTGTGGGCACTAAGTACTGGTCCTACCACCTAATTGATTGCTAAGTCACTGTAATTTAACACAATTATAAATTTTGTCAAGTCAGGATGTGAAGGTCCCTGGGTGATAAATTTCATATTTTGTGAGTAAGTATTGACAATTCGGTCCACACAAGTAAACGATTTTCATGTATTTTCAGTATCTTATCCGACTTGGATTTATGTTGTCTTTGTTCTCTAAAAAGATAAATTTTAAAAAATACGAGTTGACCTAAAAATTCAATAACATAATTTTTTTCAAATACCAAAAGAATAATTGGGAAAAAAAAAAAATTAAAGTCAACAGCTAAGGCTCAACTGCCCACTGCCGGGATTTTAACTCCCCTGCGTAACTGTATTCTCTTCACGTGCCTATAAATACCTCACCACCAAATTGAACCACCATTCATAACTTCTCTCGCAACTAAACCCTCCATCTCCCAATCGCTCTCGATCTCCAATTCAACCATGGTCTGCTTCTGCTTCCTGGTCGATCAGACGAAGCAGGTCCGCCGGAGCAAGCCGGCGGCCGGTACCTGCTCCCGCTGCGGCGGCGGCGCTAGCGTCGCCGACATGAAGACCGCTACGCGCTTCTGCTACGTGCCGTTCTACTGGAAAAACTGGAAGGCCATCGTCTGCACGTTCTGCGGCGCCGTCCTCAGATCTTACCACTGAAAACCAATTCGATCAGTTTTCCGATCAATTCGAAAGGCTTTCGGATTTTCCGGCCAGCGCTGCGCTGCCCTAGCTTTTAGCTCGCTCGCCGGTTTGTACTAATAATTCATAATTCATTTTTTCATTTTTTTTTTTCTGAATGATTTCTCCTTATGTGATTTGGCATGGGAAATCATAGCTAGGCATAATGTAATCCGCTAACTATTATTAGTACGTTGGTCCATTTTCATTATTAGATGTGAATTCAAAAAATATGTAATATAATAAAAAGTTTTGTAATTTTATTTGGTGATACGAACACAAAATACAATAATTACACCAACCATACAATATTACATAGCTGTCATATTTAAAGCTTTATAAAATTTCTGAAACATTCACAGCAACTTACAACGCTGAAACTGTACTCGATCTTCACACGCAGCCATTAATATACACAAGCTGGTGTCACTGAATTCGTGTGGAATTAGTCGAGTCAATTGAGATTAATGTCGAGTTTAAATTTTATAAGAATTTTTAATTTTGTGATACATGGTAATTATACAGAGCAATATTTTTTTAAAAAATATATATATTGATGTCTTAAAAGAAATTGTCGAGCAGATAAAACATAACTCAGATATAAATGCACAATAATTTTCTAATATAGTTTACCAATAATAATTCAGGCACGTGCATGTCACATGCAAAGCCAATATGCATGCCTGCGATGGAAGGAAACGTATAGCTGTAATTTTGCTGTCCATATTTAATGTGAATGCGAAGTAGCTAGACGTCTTTCCCCATCTAGCTATCATTTTTATGTTGATACAATTATTATAAGAGTGATCTTACCATTCCCTCATAACTTTACTTTTAAATATTTAAAAGTATTTATGTCGACATTACATGATTGGTTTGTTTTAATTTGTATTTGATTAATTAGTAAGTGAATCCTTTCAAAAATATATATATATATATATATATATATATTAGTAAGTTAATTAATCTTTCAATTTGTGATGGAACCATAAACCAAATCATAAATGAGCAATGTTACAAATCCCTTTTGTATTTTATCTACAAATTTTTTGACTTCCTAATATATATGTCATCATGTAATTGGTAGTTAAATTTATTTATTAGTTAGTAATAGGTTAGTCAATTTATTGACACTCAATGAATGAAATACACATATCATAAAGGAAAAGTTTAGAGCTAGTAAAACCAGGAGGAGAATTGAACATTTTCCTTCCTAAATAACTAATAAATATAAATAGTTTTAATGTTTCACTTTATAATGCATATAAATATTAGAAAGCTAGCAAATTTAAGAGCGAAAAACGAGTCATACTTGTTAACTATTCATGGTAGATAAGAAAGATTCTCTCAACTATATTTCCTAAACCCTAATTGCATATCCAAAAGCGGAAAGATTCTCTCAACTATATTTCCTAAACCCTAATTACATATCCAAAAGCAATCCATAATTGATCAGGGAAATTATCTTGTCAATATTCAAGCACTTGGGTTAAGACTAATGGTGACATTGAGAGATTTAAGTTATATTTTTATAAGCGAACATCTAATATTGAAAGAGTGATTTTACGTTTTTCTCATAAATTTATTTTTAAAAATAAGTCATATTTGTTAATTATTTATGTTAGCACGTACTACTACAGAAATTACATATAATAACAGTTTTATATCAAACCGATAAATAAAATTATAATATTGTTTAAAAATATTTAACGTCAATTTTCATAAAAAATTGACGTTGTATATATAACACAAATAAAAAAATTAAAAAAAATAATTTAAACTATACGACTTACATAACCGACATCGTATGGTGTAATTTTATTAAAAAATTTCATTGATTAAATAAAATAACGGCCGTCGTATTTAAAAATAAAATAAAATAACTAAACTATATGACATCGGTTAGTTACATAACTGATCGGACATCGTATAATGTCTTTTTTTATTTTTAGATAATTCATATAAGGTTGTCTTTTAACCGACATCGTATATTAAGTTTTTAAAGAAAAATAAGTTTGACTTATTACTCGACTACAAGTTTGACTTGCCAATTTGGATATCTGCGTCGCCATTTAGCTAACAAGTCAAATATATTGTCGGCACAAGTACTGCTCCAAATGGTTGACTTTTTCTATAATTTATTGTTTTCATTATATATATAAAAGATCAAATACAAACAGGTCTTCTCGTATGAACGTGCGACCATTTATATATATACTGGATCAAGTATGGACAAACATTTTTGTATGAACGTGTGTGGGTATGCACCACCAGATATGTATAAATGCACCACTTCGTGTCAAAAATGCACTGAGTGAAATGCACAAATGCACCACAAAAATACACCACACCCTGATAAATAAACTAAACATTTTGAAGTATATATTACTTTTTTTCATCAAAAGTATTACATTTTCCTTTATAAGTAATGTTGTCAAGTGTTGTTTTCAAAAATAAAAATAAAATATTGTAAGTGTTTGTTACTTATAAAAGGAAATGCAATACTTTTGAAGAAAATGTACGGAATAATACTTTTAAATACAAATGTAAAAGTATTACACTTAACCATATAAGTAATAGACATTTTATTCTCAATTTAGTATTACATTTCATCTTTACCCGACTCATCTCACATATAAGGATCCATAAGACGGACACACAAATTTTTGCTTGACGTCTAACCTTTTACCTGCAATTCTATTGTTCAAGAGACAACACGACTAAGAAGACATCAACTATAACTGGAGATCAATATTACTTCTGCTCCCGCTATTATGATGTTAAGCTTTTTGTAATTAAGAATTTTTAAATCAATGTTAGGCTATATTTATTGCAGATAATATTTATCCCGTGCACATTTAAAATAACTGTGAATTTTTCTCATCACGATGAAATTCAATTCAAAATTTTATTTTTTTAAAAGAGATGATTTTTTTTTTTTGAAAAACCATCGAAGAAGACTTTTATTAAATCAAAAGAGCAATACAATTGACAAATTATGCCCTGGACCCGTGTCCACAAAAAACGACGTCGTTTTTCAAAAAAAAAAATGCGTCATTTGGTTAAAAAAAGAAAAATACGCGCGTGTTTTGGCGTTAACGGCGTTATTTTTTTTTGGATTATGAATGTACAGTTATGCCGTTATGAATATACAGTTATGCAATTATGAAATTATGAACACAGAGCTCTAACATTATCAACTTACAATTATGAACACATAGTGATAAAATTATGACCATGGAGCTTTAAAATTGTGAATATAGAGCTTCGAAGAGTATGAATGTACAGTTATGGAGTTATGAATGTACAGTTATAGAGTTATGAATCTACAGTTATGGAGTTATGAATCTACAGTTATGAGATTATGAATCTACAATTATGGAATTATGAATGTACAGTTATTGATCGAATTATGAACAAAGATCTCTGACATTATGAACTTACAATTATGAACATATAGTGATAAAATTATGAACATAGAGCTCTAAAATTGTGAACATAGAGCTTCAAAAATTATGAATGTACAATTATGGAGTTATGAATGTACAGTTATGGAGTTATGAATGTACAATTATGGAGTTATGAATGTACAGTTATGGAGTTATGAATGTACAGTTATGGAGTTATGAACGTACAATTATGGAGTTATGAGTGTACAGTTATTAACATATAGTAATAAAATTATGAACATATACTCCTATAATGAAGCGGTCTGAAATTAAAAAAAAAAAAAAAAAAAAAAAAAAAAAAAGAAGAGATAACAGTGCCTAACGGCACTGTTACTCGTGTCCAGCATGCATGCTGGACACGGATCCAACGCATACCGATTGAATACAATCTGGTATGGAAGAAACCTAATAAAACTTTAGCTTTGATATATCACTACGTGATTGCTATATCACTAAAGCCCAATGAAAATCAAACTGAGGCCCATTGGATAATGTCCTATCAAGAGGATGTTCTTAGCCCAAACATTATTGTTTTGTTGGATTAAAGTCCATTCACTCATAGCCCAATAAGGCATTTGGGGCAAATTATGTTGTGCAACCGTGTTGTTGCAAAAACGACGTCGTCGGTGCTGCTCGCTACCTTTCTTCGCGGGAAAAACTGCGTTGTCGAACAAGAGGGAGAGTCACCATCCCCCACCGCTTGCTCTGCTTGCCGAGAAACTAGTCACCGCCGGACTGCTGTTGATTCGCCGGAAACACATAGGAGGGAGGTTACGTCTTGCTGCTCGCCGGGAAAAGGTCGCTAGAAGGAGAACCATGTGCCATGGCCGATGACAGGAACTAAACCAGTTGGAGACGAGGGCTGTAGTGCTGCTAGCCAAAGCTGGAGAATGACCCGTAATCTGCCCTGATCGCCAGGAAAACAGAGGTCGCCGGAAGCATGAGGGAGGTCACCGCCAAGCTTGTCGGTACTGCTGGAGGTCTCCGCCATCACCAACCACTTCCCTCTCCGGACACCAAGTTTGTTTTTCCTTAAATTACCTTTTTGTTCTTAAATAAAATATATGAAATTACCCTTTTGTCCTTAAATTTAACAGCTTATGGATAGAAATTTAATAGATAACCAAAATAGTTAACATTTTCAAAGTCGATGACTTAATTGGGTAAGAAAAATTGTCGATAATCAAATTAGTAATTTTGCAATAGTCGATGGACCATTTCAGTAATAAATTCTTACATTTTATGTTCATTTGACAATATATATTATTATACGAGTTATGAATTTTAATTTCATTTTCCACACATACTAATTTCATTACAGTAATACTAAAGTATCAGTTTAATTATACTATAGTTTCATTTGCTTTCAAAAAAAAAAATACTATAGTTTTATTTAACAGTATAATAATTTTTTTTTTAAAGTCAAAATTCCAATTTTGTACTAGTGTAATGCGTAAGTGCGTATGAATACGAGGGACGACCATGGACAGCGAAAGACCACTGTCTGCTTTACTTCCTTGCCTTACAAACCAGCCGTCAAAATCAGAGAGGCGTATGAATAAAGCTTTTCCCATAAACTGGTGTGTTTTTTATTCTAAACTCCAAACTAAAACTCTTAATTACAGCATATAAAATTGCTAAGCATTAAGCAATAGTAATAAAATACTCCAATATTTTGTCTTACCCACAATTTAAGCAATCTGTACGATCCACTCTCTTTCTCTCTGTGTTTGGTGCCTTTTTTTTACAGCTACTCTTCTCGTTCAAATTGTAAAGAGTCCTGTCTCTTCTGGATTGCAAATTGTAGAAACTATTTTACCCTGTTTTGATATGGGGAAGAGAAGAAAGTTTCTTGATCTTTAGTGTCACTTTGTTTTTCAATGGCATTTCCTTTTTCTTTCAGCTCTGCTGGCATTTTCTGTATAAAGATGAGTTCTTGAATCAGACCCACTTTTCTTTTTGAGTTTATTTTGTTCTCTTTATTTAATCCTGTATTATCTCTCTGTTTAAGAAGATTTCCAATAAATCTGTGTTATTCATTGGATCTGATTTTGAGAAGTTTGAGCTGAGAAATCTGTTTATTGATCTGTGTAGAATCTAATTTTTGGTTTGGGTTTTGTTTCCCATATGAATTGCTCTCCATTATCAGCTTTTGCTTTGCTGTTGTTACCTTTTCATTTTTAAATTGGATCCCCCCCACCATTTGGTGCCATTGATTTGTAAGGTCAGCTTCCCTTTCAGTAGGTGAATTCCATCTTGCCCTTGAAAGCTAAAAACTTGTCCTCTTAGTAGTGGAATTGATTTAGGGTTCTTGTGAACTTCAGCTCTATTGTTAATCAATTTGATTCCCCAGTAACCATCTTATCAACACTAAAGTTTGAAGCTTTAGAATTCTTCATTTTTCAATTCATTCGAATCTTGAGGCCTTCTCTGTATAAAGAACCTGAGTGTTACTATGAGGAAAATTGTGAATTCTCACTCAGGAAGGGTGTTCAGTGACAGAAAGTGGAAAGTTCCATTCTTTACATGTTTGCTTGTATCAGTTACTCTATTTAGTGCAACCATTTGTGCCCTATACTCGTCGACTTATGGTAGGGATCAGGTGGAATTCAATGTGATTCCATTTGATGAGCCAGAAGACTCGAGTGAATATTTTGTGGAATCAGATTTAAGATCAAGAGTGTCGAACGCAGTTCCAAGAACCGAACCCCCTAGGTTTGCTTATCTTATATCGGGAACCAAGGGGGATAGTCAAAGACTGTTGAGGACTTTGCAAGCGGTTTATCATCCGAGAAATCAGTATATTCTGCATATGGATCTCGAGGCTCCACCTCGTGAGAGGTTGAATTTGACAATGTCGGTGAAGAATGACCCTATTTTCCGTGAAGTAAAGAATGTCCGGTTAATGGAACAATCCAACTTGGTGACTTACAAAGGCCCTACCATGATTGCTACTACACTTCAAGCTATATCAATAATGTTGAAGGAAAGTTCGGATTGGGACTGGTTTATCAATCTCAGTGCTTCCGATTACCCTCTAATGACTCAGGATGGTTAGTGCTTTCGCTCTTTTGATACTTCTTTGATCATTATTTTGCCTCTTTAATGCTTTACAATTACAACAATCGTTTCTATATTCGTTATTTTGTTAATGTGGTACTTATCATCGTTAAAGAAAAGCTGAAATTGTTTTACTTTGAAAAAATCGAGAGTAGTGCTTGTTAAAACATCGCCATTGTTGCTGATTACTGCAGATCTACTTCATGTTTTCTCAAATTTGTCCAGAAGTTTGAATTTCATTGAAAACGGGCAGCTTTATGGTTGGAAATTGTAAGTTATTCAACACGGAACTGCTGGTACATAAGTATAATCTTCGCCCAATTATCATTAATTAATTTAGTTTAATGATGTTTTCAGAAGCCACAGAGGAAAGTCGATCGTAATTGATCCCGGTCTGTATTTGTCCAAGAAATCGGATCTTGCTATGACTTCTCAACGTCGATCACTTCCAACGTCTTTCAAGGTGTTCACTGGTAAGTTCTCTGACATGACTTTTTATATACTCCGTAGCTTTTTTTCTGCTTCGGTTTTACTCAATTTCATTCTATAACACAATATTTATTAATAGTATGAATTGAACTATATGTTGGCTCTGTTTGGCAGAGCTTATTTAGGAACTTATAGTTTATTTTAAACTACTAATAAGATATAAGCTCTGTTTAGAGTGATTGTTTTGTTATAGTATGTATGTTTCTTGAATAGTAAAAATAAACGGATTCTGGGCATTTGAGCAAGATGTTCGATTTACTGCACAGGCTCAGCGTGGGTAATTTTAACTCGCTCTTTCGTGGAATATTGCATATGGGGATGGGATAACCTTCCCCGGACCATACTCATGTACTACACAAACTGTATATCCTCGCCCGAAGGCTATTTCCACACTGTCATTTGCAATGCAGAAGAGTTTCGGGACACTGCCATAGGCCACGACCTGCACTACATTGCATGGGACAACCCGCCCAAACAGCACCCGATCGTGCTGACACTCAAGGACTTCAGCAAAATGGTGAACAGCAGTGCTGCATTTGCTAGAAAATTTCGCAAGGACGACCCGGTTCTAGACAAGATCGACGTCGAGTTGCTTGGTCGCAAGAATCGGTTTGCACCCGGGGCTTGGTGCGTTGGGGGCACGGAAAACGGAGGTGATCCTTGCTCTGTGCGCGGGGATGATTCGGTTTTTAGGCCCGGCCCTGGGGCGAAGAGACTCGAGGGCTTAATGCAGAAACTACTATCTGAAGACTTTAGAAGTAAGCAATGCATGGGAAGAAGTTGATCTGGGAGGCATGATGTTTGAGAAGCTCTTGCCAATTTTCAAATGCAAATAGTTTTCTCACAAAGGTGAGAATCTGGATAACCCAAAGTGTACATTGTTGTAACAACAGATCATAGTTAAAGTGTAAAGATTTTGGAATTTGATTTCATCATTAATTTTTCTTTAAATAAACTATGCTCTTCATATTTTAGTTGCTGCAGGCTTTCCCTTAAACCAACATAATCGATGATTAAATTGAGTCTAAACACGATTCAAGAGTTAATACCTAAGTTGGTTTTCAACTATATTGGTTTTTATTGATTTAGTCTTAAATTACTTTTTGTGTTTAATTGGGACATAGATTTCGATGATTGTTACTAATTGAGTTATCTACTTTGTTGGCTATTAGAATTAAAGACTAAATTGAGAAAAATAACTATAATTGATGACTAAATTAGGTAAAATTACTATATTTGATGATTAAATTAGGTAAAAGTAACTATATCCGATGACTAAATTGGGTATTAATATAAACAAAATTTCCAAACTATCATATCAGAGGACTTAATTAGATAAAATCATCATAGTCCAAGACCCAATTAAACAAAAAAAGAATATTTAAAGATAAATTGAGAAAAATAAAAATAATCGAGAACTAAATTGAGTATTAACTCAGATGGAGAGTTTGCAATAGTTATACCATGGACCCGGGTTCACCCGAATTCAGAATAAACAATTTACATACTAAATGTTTACAATTTTACCTTTTATAAAATTATATTATAAACATTTAATATGTAAATTGTATATTTTAGACCCTAATTCAGAATACACAATTTACATACTAAATGTTCACAATTTTACCTTTTATAAAATTGTAAACATTCAATAGGTAAATTGTATATTTTAGACCCGGATTCACCTTGCAATGTGGACCCGGGTTCACAGAATAATTTGCCGAGAGCTTGCAGGGGCAATTTATATCCTACACCACAGCGCGCGTTGCACTATGCGCCCAGATGCAAAACGACGTCGTTTTAATTTTATTTATTTATTTATTTTTGAAATTTCCCGCCCCAGTGTATGTCAGTTATTTTTTCTTAAAAAAAAAAAAAACCCTGTTCAAAAATGTACATAATGTTATACTAAAATACACATAATTGTATACATGAATGTACATAATTATATAAAAAAATATACATACTCTTTTTAAAAGATAATACACATAATCTAACATAATACACACAAATTTTCTGATTCGGATGTACATAATTGTATAAAAAGAATGTACATAATTGTATAAAAAATGTACATACATGTATAAACAAATATACATAATTGTATAAACAAATATACATAATTGTGTGAACGTTATACAAAACGATTGACGTCGTTTTGGGAGACGCGCGGCGCACAGTGCTACGGGCGTCGTGGTGTAGGGTATAACGATTGGCTTGCAGGCCATGTCTTCCTTCATGCAATCTTAGGCCCAACATCAAAGCCCAATATAAATATTTTCTTTTTATAATTTTTTTTTGCTCGGAAAAATATTGACTCATTCGCCCAATATATAAATGCTAAAACCCTAGCCCGAAGAATTAGGGCTTTTCTTTCCTACGTTCTAAATCCGGCGTGCGTGCGTGCTTATATACATTCAGCTTCACTTCCATAACGCTACCATGAAATTGACTCTTCCAGAGCTCAAAACTTCAGTGATCGACCATGGTGGGGTTTGTACACAGTCCACCCGGTGAACAGGAAAGTTCAGAGCCAAAAACTCAATCCGTTTCAGAGCAGGGGAAAGCAAGCGACCCGCTTGTTGAACAGTTGCTCTTGGACGTTGACGACTATTCTTTGTCTTTCACTAATTCTTTTCTTGATTTTGATTATTTAAACGACTGGATTGACCCGAGATCTGACCCGTATAGTATGGAGGCAGGCGATTCCGGGGCTGTCAATGCTGGTGGTGATTTCAGTAGTAATGGAGCTTGTGAACAGGTAGAATATTCAGAGGGACGTGAAAAGATGGGTTCTTTGAGCTGTTTGGGACCTGAGAAGAGTGTGCATGGGAGTTTGGACAAGGGAGTGGAAAAAGATTGTGGTGGGGAAGTTAAAGTTAAGGAGGAGACAGTGGTGAGCTGTGGAGATGGGAAGGTGGGGGAGTTGGGTTGTTTGATTGAGGAGGAGATGGGAAAAGTTAATTTAAATGGTGTCTCAAGTTTAAAGGAGGAAGATGGAGTTATGGACAGAGATATGAACAGTGTGGGGATTACTGAAGATGGAGGTGAGGGTATTGCCATGAATAATGGAAACCAGAAGGGAGTAACTAGTAATGAGTTAGTGATTGGTGAAGATGAGAGCAGTGGTGATTCTGATTCTGGGTCTGAGACTGAAAGTTCATCTTCTTCATCTTCTTGTGCCTCCAGTAGTGATGATGATGACGACGATGAGGAAGAAGACGAGGACAAGGATAATAGCAATAGAAAGGGTTCAGAAATGGAAGAAGGTGAGATCCTAGCACGTGGTGCAGATGATATGGTTGCTTGGAGCCCAGATGATGATGATGATGATGTTGAGGAGAGTGGTCCTAAGGGCCCAATAAGGTCTAAGAATGAGGTTAAGGTAATCAATGTTGCCTTTGTATTCCATTACCTCTATTGTGTTGTGAAAAGTCACATCTTATTTTGTTTGCTTAATACTTGTGCAATTGTGCATATGCCCCTAAATAACTTATGCTTAAGTTTGCAGTTTGCTTTATAGATTTAAATGGGAGATAATTAGGTTCCTGATATAGCAGATTACAGTTAACCATTTAGCTAACTCTGTACTAATATATTATGTAAGAAAAGAAGCTGCAAAGAGATGATGCTTTCTAAATGTTGAGTCATTTTGACAGTTTATAACGATGTCTGCTTGACATTTTTGGGTGGATGCTAAAGAAATAAGCAATGAACCTGTTTTCTTAGGTAGAATTTTTGAAATTCTAGATGTTATTCTATGATCAACGCGTGCTTCTGATATTTGCCCAGACAAACATTGTGGCTATACTATTTCTGTACGCATTTACATGTAAAATAGTGCTTATGCTCTGCACCATATTGAATATTGTAATGTAATTCTTTGAAATCTCAAGATTTTCATAGCTAGCTCAAGCCCTTGCTTTCCCTTCTTTCTCCCGTTTAGTTCAACATTATGTTGAGTGTAGTCAGTACTCAGTGTTGGTTGGTGAGTTTTTTTTTAGCTAAATTAGTTGGTCAGTTATCTTGGAAAATCAAGTAAATCATTCTGTTTGTCAAACCTGATAAATAATATGCATGACTACAGAAATTTGACAAATTTATACTGTGTGGATCCCGAATGGATTTAGCCACACACAATTTTTGTATTTCATTTTCACATTCTACTTTGTCACCAGGAAGAAGCTTGAATTTTGCTTATTTTATGTTGTGCAGGACCTCCCTTATGTTCCTCCTGTGAATGTGACTATACAACCACATCACCAGACCTTGCCAGTCGGAAATATTTCTTCGGTAAGGCCATGAAACCAAGAAATAAATGAGACTATTAGATAGCTATATTGTAACACATGCTACGTATATATATGCCTGTATAAGTTCAGATGGCTTATCTTACTTGTCGATGTTATGATGCAGATAATTGGAGCCCAAGTCATTGTTGAAGGGGTGGAGAAGCACAATCCTCTCAACGAGGGTTCCATTCTGTGGATCACTGAAAGCAGATCCCCACTTGGGATAGTGGATGAAATATTTGGGCCTGTGAAGAACCCTTACTACATTGTTAGGTACAATTCTGAAAATGATGTACCTGTAGGAATCCAACAAGGCACTTCAATTTCTTTTGTCCAGGAATTCGCAAATCATGTCCTTAATGACAAAAATATTTACAAAAAGGGATATGATGCATCCGGAGAGAATGATGAAGAGTTATCTGAAGAGGCAGAATTTTCAGACGATGAAAAGGAAGCTGAATACAGGAGATTGATGAAAATGAAAAAGAGGGGCACAAGTGAACAGAAATTTGGAAACAAGACAATGGACAAGAAGAAAGTAAAAAATCGACCTGTGAATCAGAAACAGAATCAAGCATTTGCTCCACAAGCATCAACTGGTAATGTTAGTGGAAACCTTGACCAAAGCCAGCAATGTGTTCCTCCACCTTTTGCAGCATCGGGTGATCAAAGGAATAACGTAACCACTGGTGGCCAAGCACAAGGTTCTGGCAATGGTCCTTGGTCAGATCCTGCATTGCCTCAGCTGCCACAATTCCATGGTTACGGTGCACCTTCTAGTGGTCTGGGAATGAATGGAATCCCTTGTCAGCAGCCACAGAACACTGGGCTTCCTTCTTTCCCCGCACCAACCCAGTCCCCCGGTTTTGTCCCACCTCAGCAGCAGCAAAGGATGGCCTTTCCGGGTGTCTTACCTGCTATGAACATGCAATGGCCACAGCAAAGTCATCCCCATCCTCTTTTTCAAATGCCCTTTCCAAACGTGTTACCACTTCAGCAACAAATGAATACTGGTCAAATGTTTCCTTCTAACTTTATGCCAGGTGGACAACCAGGTTTCAACACCGGTTCAGTTCCACTGGGACAAGGGATGTTCAACCAACCACCATTTGGATTGGGCTTACATAACCAAAACACTCCTCTCCCCATGAATTCGGGCCAGCAAGCGGTGCCACCCAATGGACCTCAAAGTGGATCCAACAATGATTCATGGACACCTCCCGACTCTTCTTGGAATTCTAATCAACCTAGGCACTCTCACGGTGGCAGGCAAGCAAACCGCAGGGGTGGTGGCCGTTTTAGAGGTGGACGAGGCAGGCGACACAACAATTGACTGTCAAAACAAGTGGTATGCATGCCCCCACTGTCCCAAGAAAAGAAAAAGAAAATTGTAGAGAGGAGTATGGTGTGATCATATAAAGCTCTTGTTAGTTCTGGCTGTATTACCAGAATCACAATATGTGGATGCTATGCAATTCCAAATACTAGTAGTTTTATGAATTATTAATTAATATTAAAGTGAGAATGTTAGCATTATTACATTTTGTTAAGGAAAACACATGAATGTTTGTATCCAAACAGATTTTTTCCCCACAAATAGCTGCCTTAATATGCCCAGAATAAGTTTTTCTGGATCGGTGTCAATCTTGTTTTTCTGGTATATATAAAAATATATAAACACAAAAAGATTATGAAAAAGTTACCAAAATAGGGTATTGGGGAATGGGGGGACATGATATGTGACCATATCTCCTCATCAATTGATGGATTTTATTGTCCAATGTAGGGCCTCTCCCAAGATACTACAAGCATGCTAAGCCTAAAACGAAACTAAAGGTTGCCTGCCATTATAGTTTGTTTTGGACGAGGCATCAGACAACAGTTGAGTTCCGATCTGGCTACTTGTTTGCCACCTTTGTTACTTGTTTTCGTTTTCTTGCAGGTTTTTTATGGTGTCCTTTTGCCCTTTCATCTAACCACCACTTATGACTTATCGTAACTAACTATATATTTTTGTTGGTATACATTAATTCAGTGGTTCAATTGTAAACTGAAAGTTGAGAACTCGGGGTCAGTTGAAGGTCTTATGTTATTAGAATAGTAGAGTACCGATCTTTTTTTTTTTTTTTTTTTTTCAGTACATTCAAGTAATAAACAGATCTTTTTGGTTATATATATAGCTTAATTAATTAATGCGGATGGAGTAACAGTAGCTCAAAGCTGTTAATTAGCATTTATTAAGGTTTCATTACTTGACGTAGGTAGAGGTGGAACTTATGGTTCAGAGAAATGATATCTCAATAACAGCTACCAGATTTCTCTACCGGCCGGACATACGCTGCAGTCTCGATAGTTGTTTAATTATTAATGTATGAATTGATGGATGAGCAGATTATACTGTGTAGGTTTTGAAAAAAATTAATGCTTTTTAGGTAACTTTGAATATTGTTATTTTACACAATTTAATGCTATTGGTGTATATATAGATTTTGGGTTTTCTCTCATTTGCTAATGTGCTATTTGGAGTATATAGCTATCAATGTGCAATCCAACTATTAGCTTAGACTTTTAGTTGAGATGGAGCACATGCTTCAATTTTTACAAGCGGTAAAAAATTTATTAGTTTCTTGTTTTATTGCTTAAGTAATTTTACAAGCGGTAAAAAATTTATTAGTTTCTTGTTTTATTGCTTAAGTAATGAGTTTTTAGTTTATGGTCAAAGTGTAGGAAGGGATTGAGAAATCTTCATCCTTATAAAATCTTCCTGAGAATGGGAATGAAGAATTTTTTAAATTCATAATAAGGATGATGATAAGAGCAAGAAGCGAGGATGAAATTGCATTCAGAGGCGAGAGATATGTCATCGCGTATTTCTTACATGGTGACCATTTTTAAGAACAACTAAATATATTTGTATGGTTGTACGAGGTACCGTACAAAATCGTAAAATTTCTCATAAATTTTACTAAATTGACTGAAACTTTTTTAATAATTTTATTACATATTGATATTGATATCAAAATAGAATCTTATAACTAGAAAAGATGTTTGACAATAAATTATATATTTATATATAAAATATATATAATATAAAAGGGAAATCTTTTAGCATATGGTAGTGCAATATAATCTCATGAAAAAGCATGGGAATAAAGGTAGCAAGGCCATAAACAAATTACAAAAGACAGCTGACCAACTTAGTATATATATATATATATATATATATATATATATATATATATATATATATATATAAATAAATAATTTGAGAGTTCAAATATTTAATATAATTTCATCTAATTAATTAATTAATTTATACTAATTTGATTAATTAGCTCCTAATACTTTTGTGTAAATTATATTATGAATTAGGGTCCACCTTCCATTGTAGAGTCTGACTTAAGATAAGGTTGTTTTATATTAAGTTGTTAACCACATCAATTAGTGCATTATGTTTATTCATCTTAAACATTCATCATGTTCATAATATTTGTTTTATATATTCATAAATATAAACTTTAATGTAGGTAAATATTAAATTCCGAGTACATCTTATATATACACACATGCACTAAATATATTAATGTATTTTCATTGTCTAAATAGTAGCTTGCAACTTTGATTTTTTTCCTTATAGTTAGCAAGCGAACTGTTCGACCAACTTATTAGTTTAAGTTATCCTAACATTTCGGTTAACTTAATTGATTGGATTATAAAACTGGTCCATTATTCAACTGAAAAGAAAGATAACTAATTATCAAATCATGATTAGGGAAAGCGAGCAATGCAATTAGGGTAGGTGGGTGCAGAAGCTACATGAATATGAATATATTTAATTTACGAATATATGAGCATGAACGTGAAACAAGAAGACATGGAGAGTAGACTAGGTAGACGATAGGTCGGCCAACCATATACCAATTTTGAAAGTGTTTTCGGCAGAATTGATGTTAAAGTCTTTCCTTTTTGAAAATTCTCTGTTAACCTTTTTACTTGTCGAAAAGATTGCCGTGTCCACAGCCTGCGTGTTGCCTTTTCAACCCCTCCGAATCTTTCAACACTTATCTCTCACTGTTCAATTCCTTCCTCCATATACATACTGATAGGGAATAATCTTTGGGCGTATGATTGTATATTTATTCGATACGTATTTTGTATCTCGTGAGGGACACTACTTCTCAATCTTAACTGATCTTGTATGGGTCTAATCCGACCCGAGCTAAGATACAAAATCATCTTTTCAGATTATTAGTTATTGTACAACGCCTTTCAAGCGTGCTCGGTCTTGACGTTGAGGATGGGACCAGATACCGTTAACATAATGCCTTCTGCACTAGAGGGCAAAGTACCAATAATGTAACACTGATTTGCCCGACCACCTCATAATTAGGTTTGTCAGGAATCATTCCCCACGTAAATTTACTAGAGGAGCCGTGCGACTATATCAGTGCATGTGGAAAATGTGGCGGGCATGTCGAACACTAGCGCATGACGGACATGTGCCACTCCTAATTCCTATAAATAGCACATTTAATGCGTGTGGAAAGAGATTTTTTGGAATCGGAATTCTCTTATTGGCAATACCTTTTAGCTCGAGAATGTCTGACCCACTATCTAAGTCGCCCGAGCTCACACACCTACTTCGTAGTTAATAGGAGTATTTCCAAATCCTTGTGTATTTCCCACATCACATACATTAGTTTCTTTGCCAACTTAATTTTGATTTACTAAAATGTCTGTAACCGCTATAACTTTTGGATGAAGTTCATCTTATAAGTCTTATAAAAAAAAAAAAGAACTACAATAAGAAAAATCAAAGTGCATCCAAAGTTCATAGTTGATCAGATGAGTAGCTCTAAATTTAAATCGGAAAGTGTTTATAATTGATCGGTACAAATTAAGAATGTCCATAAATAACGTAGACCTATATGTTTCTTTGCCAACCTGTCAATTATTAACTTGTATCTCTGCAGTATGTACGTAGAATAGTCAAACAACGTTAGTTATATTTGTGTTTGCATGAGGTGATGTGGGCTACCTGTAGAAAAAGAGTATGAAATAACATGGCTTTGGTTGGTTTCTTGAATGTGCAGAGAGGGTGAAACGCAGATGACAGCACACCATGAATTAGCAGTGAAAAGTATATAAGTATTACCCTATCATCATAAGCCTGTCTAGTCCAAAATAATTTAATGATAATTATTATAAATAAAATATTTTGTAAATAAAATAACAATTTTATTCTTAATATTTACCAAAAAAATATATAGTTATTTCCATTTATTATAATAATTGATGATTTTACTATTCAATAACATAATTTTTTTTCTTAAAGAATTATACCTCAATCTCAAGGGCCCTTACTGATCATTCTGTCCTAGTCTCATAGAGATTTGGTATGAAAAGTTATGGTGAGATGAGTCTCAACTGACAATCTAGTACCATAAACTATGGTCCATGGTGCGAGGTTAACAATTGACGTACATGTTCATTTTTAATATATTAAAGATTCATTTTTTATATACGACAAGTTCTTTTTTTAAGGTTAATTATTTTTTGTGTATTGCAAGTTTATTTGTAGTATGTTTAAAAATGAACATTTATCAATGATTTACTTTACAATGTAGATCATGGTCCACGACATAATTTGCCATCAATTGACCTTTAATTAGCAGCTAATAGAACTCTATTTGGTAATAAATATTTTTTTTTAAAATATTATATTATAAAAGGGCTAATTATTGATATGGGTGCGCTAAATAGAACAACATTGTATGCAAATTGCAAGACTAATCAAGAAGGTAGATAGGATGGTGTGGTGGGGTGGGGGTTCGGGGGGGGGGGGGGTACGGTTATGATTAATTAATTAAAGACAGCCACTTTAAAACATGTTATTAATCCCCCCTATGATATTGATACCACCCCACCGCAAGTCCAAGGTTAAGATCGACTCTTTCAACATTAAACAAACAAATTAAAGCAAAATACCAAACTACTAACTAGCAAGTTGTCATGCAATAATTAATTAATATTAATTATTGCATTTACAGAGCATTATAATATGAAGAGTCGAGTGGTTAATATATTACATAGTACACATTAAAACACCATAAAATATTAACATTTCACACTTGATTCGATGATTACAATTAACTATCGTGGGTTGTTCTTCTCCATGTCTCCATCACTATTTACTACTACTATTACAACAACAACAACAGCCGCCTTTCAAGTACACACACATATATGTATGTATGTATATAATGCACGGCTTCCTACCACGACAATAATCTGGAAAAAAATGAGAACTATTCATTTTACTCGCAGATTTAAAAAAAAAAAAAAGACTTTGAAGTAATGAATGCATGGTGTATTATTACAAAGTGCAACAAGTAAAACTGAAGAGCATTATACTCGATGGTACATAAAATTGCACTCAACATATACAACTCAAAATGTATTTGATGATATCTAAACGTGCATTGCACTTTCTCCTATTATTTGGTGCACTTTGCACTTTCTAGTTTTAGTCATTATTGCATCTTAAAATTTGTGATATTTATCAAAATGCTAACATGTTTTTTCATTATTAGTTATTAACTCAGGTATGTAAAAGTAATTAGAATACAATTGTTTATAAAATCAAATCTAAAAATAATAGTCCAAATAGTAAAATTAAAGTTAAATCCGGATACAATATATGTGAATATATGTGAATATATATATATATATATATATATATATATATATATATATATATATATATTCAAGGTTGCCCTTGAATATTAAACGTCTAGTTAAACATCATCATTATGTAACAATTTCAAAGTAAATTATTGTCAATATAATGCTATCAGCAAACGCATACCATCAAACTTGAACTACCAAGTTTGGACCGTTACATTGGGCTAGATCTAAATCAAATTTTAATTCAACAATATTTCATCAATAAAAAATTTATTATTCACTTATATAATGAATTAGCCTTTAAAATAATTTTATCATTCTAAGAATCTGATTAGAGCGACCACAATAATTGTCTGTGTTCAGCTTTTTAGGAGAATTTAGGTGAAGTGGAAGAAAGAGAATGAGTAAAGAGAAAGATTGAGGTCATATAACACGAATTTAGCTTTTGTATGTGCAGTGAGCCCCACCATAGCGCTAAAGACAGTGCCATTTGTCGCATGAGGCACAACAACAGCACCTAACCGGACGCGTTACCATAGTTTTTTTTTTTTAAACTCTTTTTTTTCCCCCTCTATTCTCTCTTATTTGACATCTTAAAATTTGTGCAAAAAATCAACTATTGAGGATGCCCGAATTATTATAAAAATTTCCACTCAGACTCCAACCAGTCCATGCATCTTTTATGAGGTTGTGCAGTGTTATTTCATGTCCCTAAATGTACAACCTCATACCACAACATACGAGGCATATCTCCCTATCGAATTTCTTCGTACAAACTTTTTCCCTATACAATAGTTGTCTCTCCCTTAAACTTTAGGGTTCTTTTATATATATATATATATATATATATATATATATAGTAAAATAAGAATACATATGGGAGGTTAAGGATCTTGTGGTTCGCGGACACTGAGTTACTTTTCACGCTGCCTATTATAATATAACTTCCTTGTCTCTTCATATTAATAAATTAGTACATTTTCACTTCCTACTTTTTTATCTTGTAACATGGTATAACTCTAAATCCCTATCATTGGCCCGTTTTGTACTACCATTTATAATACAACTCTTCAACTCATATAATATAAGTCATAACTCTCAACCACTTGACCACTAAAAGTCGAAATTTCAACTTACATAGCAGCCCATATTGTTGTAAGGCAATCCATTTTTATGTTTATTCGGAGTGATTTACTAACCCTCTTTCCTATCTTTGTAATGTTTTGTCTTCGGAATTTAAGATGTGTTTAGAAACCCGAAAAATTATGTTTAGAATTTTCAGTGTTTGGATGTGCATGGAAAATCAAGTCAACGAAAATTATTTTTTTTCGTCAAAATTTGGCGAAAATCATTTCCACAGGTTGACAACAATCACTTCCGGTAGAAACCAGAAACTTTTTTTTTTTTAAAATAAATAACATTACTTTTAATATTATTATAAATATTTTTATATTTTAAATAAAATAATTAAAATATTTAATTATACAATTTCTACTCATTTTTAAGAAAATGAACCAAAATATCAGGACAATTTTTCAGGATGCAATAAATTATTTTTTAAAAAATGACTCATTTTTCCGATTTTTGAAACACAAATTAATGAAATGCTTTCTTTCAAAAAAAAAAAATCCCAAATGAATGCTCGACTTTTTCTCTCTCTAAAACAATCCAATCCAACCCAAGTAACCCAGTTCTGCTGTACAGTCCAGTCTCGCTCTATAAAAAGCGGTAAAGCATATATTTTTCAACGCTTTCTCCACCAGATCTCTTGGACTCGGCTCTTGGAGATGCGTGCTCGTTGAGGCCATTTCTATCATCGCCACCGCCACCCATCTGGTTCTGGGTCTATTCTCTTTCTCTCTCTTCTCTACCCTTGCGTTTCATACACACAATTAGCTCTGTGACGCCGCTCGGGTATACAAATATATTAGATGTATTGCGCATACGCATAAGTGTGTGTCAGTGGGTGGTGTATGACTATATAAGGGCATTTATTGTGTTTGATTTTCCTTGTTGTTTTCTCGCTGGAAAGGTTCGATTTTTATGCGATATTGCGATATACTTTTTTTCTTTTTGCAATAATCCCTTCTTTTGTTTTCTGTGTTGCGATAAAACTAATACAGAGCGTTCGAGGGGGATAGAGAAAGAGAGAGAGAGAGTTGGAGTGGGAAGATGGAGAATGGAGTGGAGAAGAGGCAGCGTGTGGAGAGAGCTGCGGTGATGGCGGCGTCGATGTTCAGCGATGAGGAGGTGGGCGCGATAAGCGGGGTGAAGATAGAGGATGATTACGTGGAGGTGACGTGTGGGTGCACCAGCCACCGCTACGGTGATGCTGTTGGGAGACTTAGGGTTTTCTCCAGTGGCGACCTTGAAATCACCTGCGAATGCACTCCCGGTTGCCAAGAAGGTCTCTACTTCTCGTTTCTTTATCGCACGCTCACACGCTCTTTTTGTCATCTTTGCCTCTTCTTCTCAAATGGGCTTGCGCTTGAATGCATGTTTCATGTGTTCCTATGCTCAGATTTTATCTTAGGCCCTGTGTTTATCCACTATGCTTCTTCTTCTTGGCTTGCCTACCACCATTTCAAAATCAGTGTTTTCTATAGGATATGCATTTCCAACTGTATGCTAATTTGCCTGAGAGAACACAAGTCATAGTAGATGCATATACTCAAAAGCTACATGGCCCGCTCTATGCTTGGTTAAGTAAGTTGTTCATTGCATTCTTGTATGAAGTTTAGATTGAGCAATCTGTTGTAGGTTCAAACTTTTGAAAGTTATTGAGCTGAAGAGAAGAACCTGCATTGTGGTTTTCAATATGAGCAACTTTCTTAAAAGGGTTTTGTGGCAAAAGCATCTATCTTTGATGCAGAGTTTTCTTTGATGATCATTATCTGTGCCTTTCCCTATAAGGGTTCTTGGATATGATATCATGGTTGTTTTTTCATTGTTAGATCGTTATGTGTGGTTGTGAAGGAGTGCCTTGGCTTTGCTGTTTATACTGATGTTATTTTGGGACCATGATCACTTGCTGGAAGTCACCATTTCCTTGTGAATGTTTAGTTGAACTGCCATGTGGGTGGGTTGTTAGGTTTTTCTTCGCTTATTTATAGCTTCAAATCTGAACATGATAGAATTAGGTTTTACATCATGGCTGGATTGGTTATAGTGTGCAGCGAAGGAAATAAGTCCCGGTGACTCTGGTACATGATTTAGATTAGCTTATACACTGTAGAGTAACAAGCCAAACAGGCACAAATTTGTTCTTAACAAATAACTTGCCACTCGGGATATTGAATTTCTTCATCAATCATTTGCTTATGCTTCCAAATTCTCAGCGGAGGTGTATTTATATCAAACGCAAAACTAAATCAACTAACTCCTTTTTAATTACCCCTAAGTGCTGATCAAAGAATTTCACCTATCACCCAATTTGGTATTTTGGTAGCAGTCTCTTGAATTGTTAGTTTAGTAAGGTAAAAGTCTATACTAGCTGGTATCGATTACCTTTTGTGTTTTGTTTGCATGCTTATACTATATGGATTTAATCCCATGCTGTGAAAAATGATTGCCCCAGTCTAGACATTGCGATGCTGTATTGTATAAATTTATTGGTCTGTTGAAGGACAAAATGGGAATAATTACCAAAGTAGATACTGGTATCATACTTGCAGTATAATCAGTGTTGATTGGCTGCCTTCATATCTTCTTTACCCTTTTGCTGTTAATTCATGTGTCTATTTATCATTTAGCACATCCTATTTATGATACTTCTTAAAATCTCTCTATTAATATTTTCTGTATTTTTGTGAATAGACAAGATGACACCAGCTGCTTTTGAGAAGCATTCTGGAAGAGAAACTGCTAGGAAATGGAAGAATAATATTTGGGTTATTGCTAACGGTGAGAAGGTTCCTGTGGTAAAGACTGCACTGCTCAAATATTATATTCAATCTTCGAAACATGCAAATGGCTCGAATAGATCTAGCAATGGAAAAGCCTGCCATCGTGATGAATTTATCCGATGTACTGTCTGTAACAAAGAGCGCAGGTTCCGTCTTCGTACAAGGGAGGAATGCCGAAGTCTCCATGATGCTTTGGCAAATGCTAACTGGAAATGCTCTGATATGGCTCGTGACAAGTATGTTTCTGCTTCCAACTGTCTCCCATTATGAATAATAGCCCTGGGTGATCTATTGCCAGTTAGGCTGAGAAGAACCTTGTCTTCTTTCCCTAGTGTTTAAGAAACAGAGCTAGTGCTGCCTATACAGCTTTTTAGCTGGGGTTTTATGCAGTGCATAGCCCCACAGGCCACACTATATTATTTCTTTGGATGAACTGCCCTTTAACTATTACAAATTCTCGGTCCAATTCCTTAATTGGCATTGTTTGGCTAGTCCTATGATAAGAAATAGTAGTTTTTATTAGATATCATGCTGTAGACTCTCTGCATTCTTTTAACTGCAGTCTAGAGGAGGTTTTCATATTAGAACCATTGATTTATGTGAGTTTTTTTGGGCTTTGACTGGAAATTTACAGACTATACTATACCTTATAACACTGCTGGAAATTATGGAATTTCCGACCACCTGAAAGTGTAATCTTAAATCAAGTCGAAAGCCTTGTTCCGACTACTTTTGGTATCCGGAAAAAACTTTGTTGCTATTTCCGACCACTTTTTGCTTTCGACTTGATTTAAGATCACTTTCAGGTGGTCGGGAATTCCATAATTTCCAGCAGTGTAATATCTGTGCAGTGAGTTTTGAGCAAAATCCATTTCTATTCTTGATTTAATGTGCCATAGAAACGCCTAACATGCAGTCGGGTTATGTTGTGTGTTGTAGAGTTACATGTGATGACGATGAGGAGCGAGCAAGCCGGAGGGTGTACAGAGGATGCTCCCGCTCTCCAACGTGCAGAGGGTGCACCACGTGCGTGTGTTTTGGATGTGAGGTTTGCCGATTCCCGGACTGCAGTTGCCAGACTTGTATTGATTTCACTAGGAATGTCAAAGCTTGAGGAGGGAGGGGAGGGGCCAACAGCCCCCCCACCATTTTCCCTAATGCCTTAAAAGTTAGCTTTATAATCAAACCCCAATTTGAACATTCTCTCCACAATTAATTTATTTAAACTCTGCACAGATGTTCTGCAGGGAGGTGTTGCTAATCTTCTCTTATTAAAAAGCTAAGCCAATTTTTATAGCCCTTTAAAGTTTAAATCATATTAGGTTGGTTTACCTTCTTCATTTTGATTTTTGAGTGATGACTTTGCCAGTATACATAACTCCTTTGTTTCTTTGCAGAAGATTGATATTTCATTCTTTGAATTATTTAAATGCCCATCTTTGGGTTCATATCAACACATGCATGGGGATATTTTTGTTAGTAATCTCACAAATTTATGGGAATTCTTGTTAGTGGTTTTACGTTCTTTTATAAATTTATGAAAATTTTAAAATTTTATAAAATGTTTTTCAGTATAGCTGTCATATGAATTCATGCATAGAAAAAGAATGAGATCATGAAAAAAAGTTTATTCAAATGGCTTATAGCTTAACAATTTTTTTTTTTTACCATAAATGTCACCACATGCGTCTTGTGTGTGGGCCATGTTGGACTATGGCAACGTTGTCATATGAATTTATGCCTGAAAAGAAAGAGAATGAAATTATGTAAAAAGAAATAAGTTTATTCAAATGACGGTTCATCTTAACAACTTTTACACGAGTGTCACTATGAATTCACACTTATCATATCGCATATGTAGATTATGTTGAACTAATTGAAGCATATGTTTTATTTTGCCTAAGCTGATAGTTGGATTACACATTTATGTTTATATATATTATATGTTCAACAGGACTGGCATGTTGTAAAAAAAATAAATAAATAATGACAAAAAGTTGATTCAAATGGCTTAAACCTGAATTCAAGGCTAGACCTCGACACCTCGTTAGTGACGACAGATCACAAGCATCCTTTCGTTGCACTCCTAATTAATGTCTGTAATGGCCAATTTGCAAGAAGATTTGACCATTCAAATTTACATTGGAAAACAGCCAAAAAAAATTTTAAAAAAAATCTGCAGAATAAAGTAAATGTTTTGGAGTTGTATTAATTAATCTGAAGATGAAAAGAAGTGAAAGTAAAAAGTGAGAAGAGAACGAGCTGCCTGCGATTGCCATTTGCCAATGGTCTTGCATGCATCTTGCTAATGTTCACACTACGTGGCAACCACTCATCAAGAATGAAGCCAAAAGCCAGGGGGTGGGGTGGTGGGTGGCAGTTCGAAAGCGTATTTCTGATGACACCCAACACGCAAGCTGTGCTGCTGCTGCTGCTGTGTTTCTGCGTGTATATATATAGAGAGAGAGAGGGAGAAGGATAGGGAAGGAGAGAGAGAGAGAGAGATGGCGGTGAAGGGCGGACACGGAAATGGCAGCAGGGGAAGATCGTATGGGCTGCTGTTGATGCTGGCTTTTGGAGCTGCCATTTTTGGTGTTATGATTCTTCACAAGCTCAGAGAGAGGCGCATCTACAACCTCCTCGTTCAAGAGAAAGATCATCAGCTCCAATCCCTTCAGCTTCTTTTACAGGTCTATTACCATAACCAACTTGTTATACCGTTACTGTATACGCATGCATAATAATCTCAAAATTTTGAGAAGATAATATATATATGCATATATATGTCTCTCGAATTTTAACGATTGTGAAGTGGAACAAGTTTTTGATGTGTTGCAGAAGGAAAAAGATAATGCGAAAGATGCGAAGCGGCAAGTGGAAGAGACGAAAGCAAAAATGCAGAAGCTTCGAACTAAGAAGATGGATCTGGAAACCGCCATCTTAGAAATGGAGTCCACCATTTCTTCTCTCAGAGAAGAACAGAGAACGATAGCGGCGACGCTGGAGGAGAAACAGAACGAGATCAAGGTGCTGATGGATCGTAACCGCGGCGGGGAGAATCGAGAGAGAGCTAGGTTTTCGGCGCTGACGGAAGCATTGCGGCAGAAGGAAGCTGAAATTGAGGAACTGAAGCAGCAGCGAGTTGAATCGCCGGTTAAGGTGTGGTCAGTCAGCGCCGACGATCCATCAAATCTGCCGATCAATTTCACCGCCAAATCCGCCGCCGGAAAGTCGAGCGATGCAGACGCCGGCTCTAATGAAAACATCAACAGCGGCGGGGAAACTGGAACACAAACTGAAGTTTCCAGTAAACAGTATCATAAAAAGGAGGATTCACAAGAAGTTTCTAGTAACACAAGTAACGGGAATACCATTAACAGGAGTGAAGTGAGAACCATTATAGGCGATCAGGCAAGAAGCATTGTTAATTCTGAAAGCAATGGAGTTATGAAGCTTGGAAACGCGTATAGCTCTGAAATCCTAGGGAGAAGAACACGGGGAAAGAGGAGGCGGATAAGCATCACGAACAGAGGTGGTTCAGAGATCAGTCTCATGAAATCTGAAACTGAAGGAGTTGATAGCATGAGAAGTAGGAAATCATTTACAGAATCAATGGAAAGTGAAAGGGATAAGAGAGCAGAAGATGACAAGGAAAGGAGAAATGAATATACTCTTGAAGATCCAAAAGCAGAACTACCCAACAGAATAGATGCTGAAACTGTGAAATCCAACCTGGACAGAAACGACCTGGATGCCATAACAGTAGCAAATGAAAAGTCTGCAGATAGAGGAGACAAGCGCGACAGAATTGATAATGGCGAGACTGAACGGCAAGTGGATGAAGGTCAGGAAATTAAGGTCACAAGCACAGAGTATGAGAAATCTCCAAGGAATCTGCAAAACATGCCTGCAAATTCAACAGTTTTTGAAGACAGCAGATTATTGAACAAAACTGAGAATCAGAAATCAGAAGAAAATGGGCAACCTGAGGTAACCAACACAATAACGGACAACAAGGACACAGAGGATCATGAAGCTTCAAGGATTACTGAAAGGGACCTCAAAGAAGATGATCCTGAGGTCGAGGATGATCAAGAAACAGAAACAGAAACAGAAACAGAAATAGAAACAGAAGCAGTAACTTCAAGAAATCCAACCTCTGATGCAGAAGAAGATGATGAGACTGAATTTTAGTCTGCTTTCCCAAACACTTCATGTTTTGCCTCATGTTATTGTAAGACAATTTCACATTTGTTACTATTACTACTATGAGAGTATGAGATGCTATTTATAGTTCATTTCCACCAATCTCTTCTTCCTTGCAATTCTAGACAATTTGTATTTGCCTCTACAACTCAGCTGATATCTAATATTTGCCACAGACCATAGAGCTCAACAATATTCATAGAGAGGATCATGCAGTTCTTTATCAAAGATCATTTAGTTGTAAATAAAATATCATTGAGCCTTTTATTAGTAAGAGGTACATTTTGGTTTTAGCAGGCATTGCAGATTGAAATCGAAAAGAATGCCAACTAAACCAATGCAGATGCTATCCATAAAAAACTTGTGCAATAATCTTCGACATTTAGGGTCCATTAGCTGTCAATTAGCATTGCACATATAAATGGGGAAAGATAAAAACAATAAATGGCGTCTGAAACAACTGCATTATTACAGGGAAGTTTCCCAATCTGTGGCTCGCAAAATCCCAAACTCACTAATGCATCCCAAGATTCTGGCTTTAATGAGATGCCTGCACCAAATTCTGTCAAATGAAAAAGACAATTCAAACTCAAAATAGTGAAAGAGAGACAACAGAGTCAGCAGGAATAAGCTCCAAGTGCTGAAGTATCCGATTTAAAACTTAAATGTGTAAAATAATTTTAATATCATGTTAAACTTAAACAAGTGAATTTTTTTAGTCTTCCAGATCCTCTTTGCTAATGCATTATGAACTAAAATCCCTAACTCACAATCATAGAGGAGAGGAATTAAGGCCATAAACAAGGAAGGCCAACTCATGTTGTCCAAACCCTGCCATGTCTAGATGACCTCCTTGTATTATTTTGTGCTGAACTCAATGTCATCGAAGTTTGCCTAACAGGTTTGTGAGAGTACTTAAGCATCAATATTATTACTCATATACCCTCTAGAAATTTCACATTTCCCCATATATGAAGTTCAGAACCTTAGTCTACAAGACACCAGCTAAGGCAGATGTATAAAATACTCCGTAATAAAAATATATATACATGTTAAAGCAAACCAAATGACAAGAAACTGAGATCATAGTTTTTGAAGGAAGAAATGTACCTCTTCCTTATTTTTCTTCCCTCCTGTGAAGAGCTTGTATCCACCATAGAAAACCAAACCCCATCCGGACAAAGAGATAAGTACAAACTGCATAGCAATAGTCCGGTCAAACATGCAAATTTTACATTTTCTCAAGAGTCAAGATGTGCTAAAAGCTCTAACACAAAAGATGAAACTGAATATTCAAGGAATAAGATACAAATTTATTCTTGGCAATATTCTTTTGGTGGATTCCCTGAATTTTCTCATTATATTATTGGGGTGGGAGATATCGGTGATTGTATCATTACCACAAATTCAAAACCAATAAATTAGTCCAGTTAACAGAACAAAAACTAGCCACACCCTTTCAAAAATTTTACAAAACAAGTAAATGAGATTTTCAGTTCTTAGCTCAATAGCCAAAAAGCTAAATGCTAATGCTTGGATAATGCCATTATAGTATCAGCAAATAATTTTATGCACTTTCTGTTCCAGAGAGGAAAACTAATTAGAATAATTAACCAAAATTTTATTCCCATCTAGAATTGCGTCATTGCTCCTCTAAAAATTGCTGCACTATAATATTTTTCATCTGATTATTTCTGTCACACGTAACAAATTAAAATTGCAACGACTAACGCAATGTCTAAGCAGGGACAAAGGAACACTCACATGTTCTTCCTTCCATTTAGACGGACTCGTCGGATCTTGCCAAAAATTCACCTTAGGAGGTCCATGGTGATCTGGAATCACCCAAAAGAGTTACTTATATCGAAGCGTATACTCACGATTTCGTGATCCGTACAGCATCCAAATACGCAAGAAATTACGAACGCATAACCGAGAATTAGATCAAAATGAAATTGAGATTGAGAGAGACGAGTACCGGCAGCGCCGGCGAGGCCGCGGCGGGGGACAAACGATGCAGCTTGAGCTGCTGAACCAGACGTCGGAATTCGATTGAAGGCAGCGGCTCGACGAGCCGTCATCATTGCCAACGAAGTAGCCATGGCGTCGCGATTGCTCTCTCAGAGACTCGGCGATGGGAACTGTACGGAAAGACCGCGTAGATGGAAAATGGGAAATAACCTCTAGATATTGACCACGTAGAAAAATGGGGCTCCTACGCAGTTTAAACGACGTCGTTCACACCCCACTTTAACGGAGAAATTTATTACTCATTTATACTAAACTCCCCACAAATTTAACAATATCCATAAACGCCCTCAATTTCTAACTTCTAAAGCTAACCTTAACCCAGCAAGTTTATTACGGAGTACTTATTAGGTAAGGTGGCAACAAAAAAATTACTCCGTATTATTTTTATTTTTTTTATTGTCACAGAAGGTTGAAAGCTTGCTAATTTTGCAAATTTTCAATCCATTATTTTTACTGCCATTTGGCAGCAAAAGCTAACTTTTTAAATATTTTATTGGTATTATATGTATTTTTTGAGTACTAGTATTATATGTATTAATTTATTGGAAAATATATAAATTTATAATTGTTATGTGAAGGTGGGACAGTTTTTGAAAATGAAAGAATATTACACGGATGTAGAGAAAAAAGTGAAGTAATTTTAAATTTGATGATGTGGATGTGGACCTACTTTTAAAAGTGCGATACATTTGCAGGGATAATGATAGTCTAAGCCCTAAGGTATCTATCAACATTAGTACCGTCGTACCAATATAACTTCAAAGTAAATGGGTTAGGGTTTGACTGTGTATTGACTAATGCGTAAATATTGTCTTCACTATGCTCACTACAAATCAAAACTCTTTTTCAAAATTTTTTCTTTTTATACTCGTATAAGATACACAGTGTCAATTAACACTTAGGCTTTCTTTAAATAAATATCATATCACACCAATACTATGTGGTCTAATGGTACCTGGGTTGGATTTTTATTTGAAAGGTTGTGAGTTTGAGCCTTAGTAATAGAGCTGTGACAATCTTAATTGGATTATTGTTATTTGCTATACAAATTAATAGGGGGCAATACATTTTTTCCAAGTGAAAATATAAGCAAATTAATAAGCACTTTATGACCTATTAATTAGTTAGGGCATGTTCAGGACATCTCTGACTAAAAAACACTTTATACTATCTAATTTAATTTTGACAGGAAAACAATAATTCCATAAAATAAATTAAATCATAAACGATATGCTCTTGTGATTGCTTCTCTGGGGATGGCGGCGTTGGCAACAACGGCGACTCGCACGGTGGAAGATCAGGATCTATTGGAGAGAAGTACAAAGAAATCTAAGACCAACTCGGATCTCCATGAAGGAATGGAGAAGGAGACTATTTTATCCAATTGTATTTCATCGTATTCAAATTAATTTAGAAAAATTTAAATTTGATCTATTTAAATGAAAAAGTATAATGAATATAATATCAATAGAGAATTAGAGACGATATGTAATTTATAAAGACGTATCTATTCAAACAATTTTATCCAATTGATTATGTTTCATATTTTATAATGAATAATTTATACTATTTTAAAGTATTTATGACTTTGTCTTATTTCGATCACATTTAATCACTTACTTCCCAAAATAATTGTATACAAACCTTACAATGTATATTTTTGTACTAAAAGCAATACAGTGTGAATACAGACTTTTACCTTTTATCTATTTTGCAATATTACAACCCATATGCAATAAGATATTTTTTTTTCTATATATATACCTATGTGTAATTGTTATTGTGGAGTGACACATTTATTTATGCATATAATGCTACAATTCCGTCTACTCTCATCAAATTATAGAATGTATAAAATAACTCTAGACAAAATAGACAATTCCGACCTTAGCTCAGTTGGTAGAGCGGAGGACTGTAGTTGAATTCGAACGGAAATCCTTAGGTCGCTGGTTCGAATCCGGCAGGTCGGATTTCTTTTTGCTCTGCCAAGAAAGCTCAAACATGCTAAAATAAAACAAAACTACGCCGTTGCCGGGGATCGAACCCGGGTCACCCGAGTGACAGGCGGGAATACTTACCACTATACTACAACGACTCCTGGCAACATGCGAACCAATTTATTTAAAGCTCTGAAATTCTACGATTACATTTTCGGCCCGGGTTATCATCTTTATCATAACCAACTAAACTATTTGACCTGGGATTTGCAAGACTATTGGCATAAACAGCAATGTAATAATTATATTTTTTTTTTACAAAGGAAGGGGGACACCCACATATACTATCTACACCTTCACCAAGGCTTGAACCTAAGACATCACACATAAAGGGCTAATCGGATACCAGTGGACTACAAGCCACTTAGTATGTAATAATTATATTTGAAAGACCAATGTGCCAACTGACGGTCACTACTAATCAAATTTAGGCTATGCTAATTAGTAATTATTGGTAATACAAAAAATTTATAATGTTTTAAGTTTTTTCTTAACACCGTTAAATTTAACAGTTAAGTTATTATTAATTGCAATTAAAATTATATTAATGTAATTGATTGCATTGATAACTTATACATTGAATTTTTTTATTTTTTTGTACATTTACAAATACCTTTTAATTTTATAATTTTCTTCTTAATTTTGTCTTATATCATTTCAAAATATCCAACGGGCAACCGAAAGACCATCATCGCTACGAGGGCATTGCCCGAATAACATTTTTTAAGAGAACCTCCCGTCGTGCTCGTGAGAGAAATTTTGCATGACACCTTGGTGGGATTGGAAAAGGCCTGCATGCCCTCTTAAACACCAATAAACAATATTATATTAGAAGCAGTAGTAGTTGATGTTTAGGCATCGCGATTGTTGGGGTGTGTGGCGAATTCGCATTCCACGTACGTAACACTACTGCACATATATACATGCAGTATGTAGAGAGAGTGATATATCATCTAAAGGAAGTTGATGGGAGGTCTGAGCGGCTATGGCGATATGATATGAATATATGATGTTACATATATATAGTTAATTTGGAGTCCCAATTCCGCAAACCCTTAATTGGGTCATTATATAATACCTAGCTTAGCTAATAGCTAGCCATTCAAATTCACATCAACCATAAATATGGCTCAATCATCATCTCCACTACCCACCTACGCCGCCGTGCTTGAGCAATGCTCAGTAGCGCCGCCACCGGGAAAAGTCGCCGCCTTTTCTCTTCCTCTGACATTTCTAGATCTACAATGGCTGCATTCCTCCCCTGCCCATCGCCTTATGTTCTACCAACACGCCGTCTCAAGAACACACTTCAAAGATACTATCATTCCCCATCTCAAAACTTCCTTCTCCATCGCCCTCCAATATTTCCCTCTCATAGCAGCCAAGTTGGCCGTTCCTTCCGACTATTCCACCCCGCCGGAATTTGTATACAGTGACGGTGACGGCGTTTCTCTTGTATTCGCCGTGTCGGACGATAATAGCGGCCGTTTTGATTGTTTATCGTCCAACCATGCAAGAAACTGTAACGAATTTTATCCCCTTATTCCCACGTTACCGTCAGTTCGACGTGGTATGTTTGCCGCCAAAGTGACGCTATTCCCTGACGCCGGAATTTGCGTCGGAATCGCCAGCTACCATGTAGCCGGAGACGATTGTAGTATATTTGGGTTCATGAAGGCGTGGACTGCGCTTTCTATACTCGCACACAAATCGTCACCCCTTTCACTTTCCGATGAATATCTGCCGTTTCTGGATAGAACCGCCATTATTGAAGACCCTAAAGGACTCAAAACTCTGGCGTGGAACCAAATGAAGCATGTCAAGATTAACGAAGAAGACGCTGACGACGACGGTGTTCCCTATGCTGACGTCACCGGCAAGGCACGTGCCACGTTTATCGTTACACGAAACGACATTCAAAAACTGAAAAATCACGTGATCTCAACAAAAGTAGTACGACGACAACCGCCGTCCTCGTTCGTGGTGACGTGTGCGTACATGTGGGTCTGCTTGCTGAGGTCACAATGCATCAAAGATGACGACGACGATGACGACACCGTGTACTTCGTTTGTGCAGCGGATTGTCGGGCGCGTTTAGACACGCCATTGCCGGCGAAGTATTTTGGAAACTGCATCGTGCCGTGCATAGCACGCGCGAAGGCCAGGCGGCTTGCGGCGGAGGAATGCGGCCTTGCGGCGGCGGCGGAGGCGATCGGGGACGCCATTGAGTGGCAGTTGCAGGGCGAGGAGGGGGTGCTTAGAGGAGCCGAAAACTGGATGAGTTTCTTCGGTACAGTGAATCATGAAAAAATCCTGAGTGTTTCTGGTTCTCCCAGATTTGACTATTATGAAATGGATTTTGGGTGGGGAAAGCCCAAGAAGACAGAGATTACTTCCATAGATACAGGAGGATTCCATGTCGGGTGCGCTAAGGAATCCTCGGATATTGAGATTGGTGTGTCTGTACCTGCGACCAAAATGCATCTTCTCAAGACTCTTTTCGATGAGGGCCTTCAAGCTTGAATGTTTATAAACTGATTTAAAATCCCAGTCTTTATATTCCTGAAGTTGTTTGCTATGCACTACAATAATATATACATTATCCTATACTGTATTTTGTAACGTTTGACAAGTTATAGAAATTTGCTATTTGGATCATCTCACATCATTATTCTACCTTCTACTTGCATTACTAACTAGAGCTATCTAACATTTCCCACCAAAGACTTTTATTTATAATGTACATGCTAATTTGTTAGATTTAATTTATAATTTGTTATGTATTACTCAATATATTTATAATGTGTGTTAATTTCTGAGATTTGTAATATGTTATGTGTTACTACATATATTTAGGGGTATAAGTGTGTAACACAAATATTGTCGGTTAAATTTTTTTTGTATGTAGTATCTGGCTTTCTGTCAATGCCCCTTCACTGAAGCTCAAACCTACTACCTTGAATATGGGAGTCCAACATTGGTGTCATTAGATCACAAGGTCTTGACACAATTAAATTATTATTAATTGCAATTAAAACTATATTAATGTAATTAGTTGCATTGATAACGTAACTTATACATTGAACTTTATTTTATGTACATTTACAAATGGGTGTTGCTATTTGCACCCCCTTTGACTAAAATGGGTATAAAGTACATTGAAAATCTAAAAAGGTGAAAAATTATAATAAATACATAGGTGGTGCAAATAGCCTAATGGGTGGTCAAAATGCTATTTGCACCCCCTTATTCAAAGTTCAAACCACATTTATTAGATTTAAATAATAATTAATTAATTCAAAATTTAATTCATTAAAAAAAAAAAAAACTCCCCCGGTCACCTTCTCCGGTGAGAAGGCAGGGACTGCCTTCTCACCGGAGAAGGTGACGCTAAGTTTTTTTTTTTTTTAATTAATAATTTAATTGTAAAAAAATATATAAAATAAATATTATTCTTTTGACAAAATTAGGGTATAAAGTACCTTGAAAATGTAAAAAGTTAAAATTTTTTAATAATTATATAGGTGGTGTAAATAGCCAAAGTGATCTTCAAATTGCTATTTGCACCATGGTCAAACCTCATTAAAACATTAATTAACTAAAATATTAAAAAAGAAAGAAAATTGAAAAAATAAAAATAAAAACGAACCTGTCTTCTCCGCTGAGAAGGCACCCATCCAGTGGGTTGCCTTCTCACCGGAGAAGGCAACCTGGGTCGCCTTCTCCGGTGAGGAGGCAGCCCATCTAGTGGGTTGCCTTCTCACCGAATAAGTTTTTTTTTTTTTTTTTTTAGTAATATGATTATTAAATAAAAATAAATATTAAAATTAATGATTGACTATATTTAATGAGGTGGTGCAAATAGCACTTTTGTATTTGCACCACCTATAAAGCTACTACACCTATTAAATAGGTGGGTGTAAATAGCAAATAGGGTGGTGCAAATAGAATTTCCCTTACAATTACCTTTTAATTTTATAATTTTCTTCTTAATTTTGTGTATATCATTTCAATTTTGAGGACTTATTATTATTATTATTATTATTATTATTATTATTATTATTATTATTATGAGTATTGTTGAAATTCATTTTAAACTGCATAATTTTTTTATAGTGTTAGTTTATATAAAGCTCTTAGCTCAAATATTGTGATGGTTAAAAACAATTTAATATTTTTCTTTTATTTCTTTGAGTTTTAATAAAGTTAAGTAATTTATTATTCAATTACATATAATTATATATTTGATAGTGTAAATATTTTTAATGTTGACTACTATTGATGATGATCTCAATTCCTTAATATACTATTCAACTACGTATAGTTAGAATAAGACGTGATAAATAGATACAAAATATAAAATTATAAACAAATTAACAATAATTTAATTACCAATTATTTTTAACTTTGATCATTCTTCCAAAGTTTCACCTCTGTGACCAGTTGAGCTGTCCATGCGAGTAAATTTGTACCATCATCTTTTAGCAATTGATCATTTTAGATGATGGGTTAAATTACTTCACACTTATCACGAGAAACCTAATTCATATTTGATCATGATTATATATATATATATATATATATATATATATATATATATATATAGTTAATTGAATAGTCTGTTATTAAATTTTACACTAACAGAATACAATGACATTTAGAAAAAATAATACTCCGTAATTTAATAAAGGGTAAGTGGAAAAAATTTTAAAAAAATATTAAAATTAAAATAATCTGAATTATTTATTTCAATAAACAATTGAACTAATATTTTTTAGTTTCAGTTATAAGTTTAACTTTATTAGCTTTTATTAGAATTATTATTATTATTACACACACACATATATAATGCCACAATCCGTCATAATATATAATATCTCTCTAGGACAAAGAAACAATACCGACTTTAGCTCAGTTGGTAGAGCGGAGGACTGTAGTTGTATTCTTACGGAAATCCTTAGGTCGCTGGTTCGAATCCGGCAGGTCGGATTTGTTTTTACACTTCCAGGTAAGCGCAAACTTGCTGAAATAAAAAAAAATACTTCGCCGTTGCCGGGGATCGAACCCGGGTCACCCGTGTGACAGGCGGGAATACTCACCACTATACTACAACGACTTCTTGTCACAGTTGAAACATTTGCTTAATAATTCCCTTATTCATAAAAAAAAACTGGACGATTACATTCTGGGCTTGCCGTCTGCGTGTTATAATCTATTCATCTTCGTCTCTCGATGGAGTTAGGGTTACGTGCTCAGAAGTTGCAGACTCAAATTTCCAAACTGAACAATGTCAGATCACCACCATTTTCCGGAGGAACTCCAGATCGAGATCCTCAAAAGGCTCCCAGTCAAGTCCCTTCTACGCTTCACCGCCGTTTCCAAATCGTGGTACTTCATCATCACCAGCACCGCCTTCATCTCCGCCCATTGCCGCCACCATAGGAACGGTAACTCCGCCGCTAACCTCCTCCTCCTCCGACGTTATAACAAATCCTACAAAGTGGAAAAATGTTCCGTACTCAGCCACACTGACCGCCAATTGCTCAGCCTCAATAATTCCCACGAACTCAGCTTCCCAATTTCACGCGTAATCAGGTATTTGCGTACAGTTGGCTTCTATAACGGCGTCTTTTGTTTATCGGAGGATCAATGTAGTGATCCGCATTCTGTAACTTTGTGGAATCCCAGTATTCGAAAGCTTAGGACCTTACCTTGTCCCTCTATTAGGCCCGCTTGCCAATTTAGGTTTGTACTTGGATTCGGTGCTAGTCCACGAAGTGATGATGATCTTAAGGTGGTGAGAGTTGTGTATGAAAGGAAAGGTGTTAATTTGGATATAGGACCAGTCATCCCACCTTTGGTTGAGATCTATTCTCTCAGCACTGGGGTGTGGAGAAGGATAACAGCACCTGGGGTTAACTACTATATAGTCGATTACATTTGGCCTCAGGCCTTTGTCAATGGAGCAGTACATTGGATTGGGTACAAATTGCTTGAGGATAAAAGTTTTCAGAGTTTGATAGCAGTTTTCACCATGACTGATGAGTTGTTTGATGAGATTATGCTCCCAGATGAATTGCTTTCGGTGGACCCATCAAATTTATCTGTTATTGTGTATGAGGAGTTTGTTGCAGTTGTTAAGTATAGTAGAAGGATACAGGGTGATTCATGTGAATTGTGGATAATGAAAGAGTATGGAGTTGTGGATTCTTGGACTAAGCTGCCTACTATAGAATTGGTGGGAGGGATGAAAAAACTTGTTGGCTTTAGGGAAAATGGTGAATTATTGCTATCTACTAAGAAAAGTGGGCTGGTTTCCTACTGTCCAGATACTAGAGTCGTCAATGATCTTGGCATTTTGGGAAACAACCGCTCATTTTATGTTCATAAATATTTGGGGGAATTCCTTGTTTTGCTTCGAGAACAAATCCCCCTGTGAATTGAAGAGAAGATAGAGTGAGTCAGTTCTTTTAAAACATGAAGGTATTTTCAGTATATCTAATATTTTTGAATAAATCTGCTAAATTCAACTGGATGCTTAACTTTCTTCTGATGACAGGTTAATAATTGCTTTTTTGAGAGGTTAATAATTGTTTAAAACTCTTTTTAATCCTTTCCTTGCATATCTTTCTCTTTGGGTTATTCTATCAACTGTTCTATATGTTAGATATAAAAAAGTTATAGAACTTTACTGTTCTATATGTTAGATATAAAAAAGTTATAGAACTTTTTTGTCCTTAGTATTGCAGGGCGTAACATATCTACAACATTTTTGCTCTTAGGGCATGTCAGTAACCAAACTATTAATGTTTTCTTTAGAGCTGAATCAATTTATGCAAGTTACATTTGAACAGATACTGCAATGTAATAGAGTGAGTATCATTCAAAAAAAAAAATTATGCAAGTTTCAGTATGCTTGAATTATATTTTGATTGGGATGAATTGCATCTTTGCTTAATGATTTGCTTCTTATTCTCTGCAGGTTAGTGCAATGTATCAAGCAGAAGAAAGTCAATAGCAATCTTTGGTGGACTACACAATGGCAAAGCAAGTTTTTCTTTCCGAGACATACAATAACATGCAGCGATGTATTCTATGCTTTATAGTATAGAGATTTCTTATTTTATAATCGTTGATGCTCAACTTTGAATATTATGCATATAGTCTGACTAATTAATACATCAAAGTTAATGTTAAATTTTATATTCTATTTTTTGAAAAAAATATACTCAACATGTTCATAGTATATGTTCAACAATGGTGACAACTCTTTGATTGGAATGAAATTTGTACCTAAAACCTTCCTTCTAGAAATCAATGAGTAAGTTAATAATAAGTTAAAAATAACAAATAGTTAACGAAATAGTCCGTTACTATAGTTTATAGTGACGAAATGCGAGGACATTTAGAAGAAGTAATAGATATAATTGAGGGTAAAGTAAAAAAATAATATGAACCATTCATTTTAACAAATAATTGGACCAATAACTTTTAGTTCTGATTATAAACTTAATTTTATTAGCTATTATTAGATTTATATAGCATATATATAATATAACTAGTTTTTTACGCGCATTGCGCGATTGGGATAATGCCCAATGTTTTTTTTTTTTTTTTTTAAATAAGTACTTTAAAGTATATTAATGCAGGATTATATTGAAATTGTTCATGCATAGATAATTGAAGGTTGAATTTGCGTATTTAAATAGGTAATTCTTCTCCCAAAGGTTGAGTCCTCAACGCCAAGGGCCCCCCACACTCCGACCTGACAGAGCATTGTGGGAAGTTGTAAATCACGGTGACTCAATGGTTCAGTAGACAGGGCCAAATGCTGATACGCACAAGGAATCTGCCCACTTTGGACATAATTCTCGCACTGCCGCCGCCGAGGTTCAAACGTTGGTCTCTTCTCCCAAATACTACCCACTAAACCATTGAGCTAAGCCCGTGCGGGTTAAATAGGTAATTCTCAGTTTACAAATGCAAGATAATATAATCAAGATTGATTATATTTGCCAATAAAATAATTGTATAGGTATAGTTGAAACCAAATACGGGACATAAGGGAGAACACATAACAATTAGGGCATAAAATATTAAATATATACTAATATTGTTTGAGGAGATTCCGACATTAGGATTTGTGGTTAAGTTCTATTAATACTTTAATATTAGAATTAGATTAATGGTGTAGTTATAATTCTATATTAGACTTTAATATTAGAATTAGACTAACGGTGAATTAACGGAAAAGTTAAATGGATAATCATATAATTAAGGATAAATTAGAAAATCTTAAAAGAAAAAAATTATAACCTGAACAATATGAACCATTCATCTGATTTAATAATTTGGCGGTCATTTTTTTTCTACCCAATGTTAATAATTAAATAAATTCGTTGGTCAAATCCGCTAACTGCTGATTGTCAAACAAGGACATTGCGAGGTAGTTCTCACTTCAATTTGTTGTGTAATTTGAATACTCTCTTTGTCACAAAATCTCTCAAAGTAGTTAATATGGTTGGCTTTATTAATTATATTTTTTTTTAATTTTTTCATGGTATTAATAAAATACTTGGTAAATAAATATATAGCATTATTTTGTATTATAACTTTGATATTTAATTAGAAAAATAGTGCACAAAAAACATAATAGATAATGTAGTGAATATAATCAATTGATGAATTTGAATGTAAAAATTTTTACATTTGAGAAAAATAAAGACAATATAACTAATGAAAATATTTCTTTTAATTAATTTATTGACAATTAATAATTTTTTTTTTCACTGAATAAAGACATTGTAAGGACAATGTAGCAAATATAATCAATTAATAAATTTGAATATAAAGAATTTTTATATTGAAGAAAAATAAAGACAATATAACTAATAAAATTATTTCTCTTATTTAATTTATTGATAATGAATAATTTTTTTTTTGAATAAAGGCATTGTGGACACATAATTCTAAATTAAAGAAATGCATATGTATTATTTTTTTGTTGTAACTACTAAATTATTATTTATATAATTTAATAAGAGTAAAATAGAGTACTAATTATGCCAACATTGATTAGGATGAGGTTCAAACTTAAGACCTTTTTTTTTTTTTATTGAAATCAAGGAGTAAGTTAACGGTGAACTAACGGCAATTCTTAAAATTTTAACGGAATTAGTAACGGTGTGTGGGTATTTTAAGAAATTTTAGTGTAAAATTTAAATCTAATCAATCTTTTAATCAATCTGAGCCATTCATTTGATTAAAATCTGTGACCGCCATTTTTTCTACCAATTATAGGCCTAACTCTCTTGGGCTCTTATTAGTATAGTAGATAGTAGATATATAATGCTACAATTCTGTCTACTCTCATCATTCATAGAATTGAAACCATCACTTTAAGGCAAAGAACCAATTCCGACCTTAGCTCAGTTGGTAGAGCGGAGGATTGTAGTGGAATTGAATCCGGAATCCTTAGGTCGCTGGTTCGAATCCGGCAGGTTGGAATTTATTTTTACTCTCCCAAGAAAGCGCAAAACGTGCAGAAACTGGGGATTCATCATTCTCCGGAGGAGCAAAGTTGAAACAAAAGGCTACGCCGTTGCCGGGGATCAAACCCAGGTCACCCGCGTGACAGGCGGGAATACTCACCACTATACTACAACGACTTCCAAGTTTCAGCGACAGCTGAATGAATGAAATAAGACTCGACAATTATATTCTGGTTAATCTTCGACTCTCTAAACGGTGGAGTTAGGGTTACGTGCTCACAAGTTGCAGACTCAAATTTCCAAATTGAACAATGTCTGATCACCACCATTTCCCGGAGGAACTCCTGATCGAAATCCTCAAAAGGCTCCCAGTCAAGTCCCTTCTACGCTTCTTCGCCGTTTGCAAATCGTGGTACATCCTCATCTCCAGCCCCGCCTTCATCTCCGTCCATTGCCGCCACCATAGGAACGGTAACTCCGCCACTAACCTCCTCCTCCTCCTCCGACGTTATGCTACATCCTACATAGAGGAAAAATATTCCGTACTCAACGACACTGACCACCAATTGCTCACCCTCAATAATTCCTTCGAACTCGACCTCCCAATTTCATGCGGATACGGGTATTTTTGTACAGTTGGCTTCTATAACGGCGTCCTTTGTTTATCGGATGATTATTATTTTTATAATATGGCTACTGTAAGCCTGTGGAATCCCAGTATTCGGCAGGCTAGGATCTTACCTTTTAGGCCAGCTCACCCATTTAGGTTTGTACTTGGATTCGGTGCTAGTCCACGAAGTGATGATGATCTTAAGGTGGTGAGAGTTATGTATGAAAGGAAAGGTGTTAATTTCGATATAGGACCAGTCACCCCACCTTTGGTTGAGATCTATTCTCTCAGCACTGGGGTGTGGAGAAGGATAACAGCAACTGGGGTTAACTACTATATTTTTTATTACAATTGGACTCAGGTTTTTGTTAATGGAGCAGTACATTGGATTGGGTACAAATTGCTCGAGGATAAAAGTTTTCAGAGTTTGATAGCAGTTTTCACCATGGCTGATGAGTTGTTTGATGAGATTATGCTCCCAGATGAATTGGCTCTGGAGTACCCAACAAATTTATCTATTATGGTGTTTGAGGAGTTTGTTGCTGTTGTTAAGTATACTGAAAGGATACATGCTGATTGGTGTGAATTGTGGATAATGAAAGAGTATGGAGTTGTGGATTCTTGGACTTGGCTGCATACTATAGAATTGGTCGGAGGGATGACAAAAATTGTTGGGTTTAGGAAAAATGGTGAAATATTGCTATCTACTAACAAAAATGAGCTGGTTTCCTACTGTCCAAATACTAGAGTCGTTAATGATCTTGGCATTTCTGGAGACAGCAGCTCATTTTATGTTGATAAATATTTGGAATCCCTTGTTTTGCTTAAACCGCAAACCCACCTTGTGAATTGAAGAGAAGATAGAGTGAGTCAGTTCTTTTAAAACATGAAGGTATTTTCAGTATATCTAATATTTTTGAATAAATCTGCTAAATTCAACTAGATGCTTAACTTTCTTCTGATGACAGGTTAATAATTGCTTTTTTGAGAGGTTAATAATTGTTTAAAACTCTTTTTAATCCTTTCTTTGCCTCTTTCTCTTTGGGTTGTTCTATCAACTGTTCTGTATGTTAGATATAAAAAAGTTATAGAACTTTTTTGTCCTAAGTATTGCAGGGCTTAACATGTCTACAACATTTTTGCTCTTAGGGCATGTCAGTATGGATTTGGACAAATAACCAAACTATTAATGTTTTCTTTAGAGCTGAATCAATTTATGCAAGTTACATTTGAACAAATACTACAATGTAATAGAGTCCGTAGCATTCAAAAATAAATAAAATTTATGCAAGTTACAGTATGCTTGAATTATATTTTGATTGGGATGAATTGCATCTTGCTTAATGATTTGCTTCTTATTCTCAACAGGTTAGTACAATGTATCAAGCAGAACTGCAGAAGAAAGTCAATAGCAATCTTTGGTGGACTTTGCCCGTACACAATGGCAAAGCAAGTTATTCTTTCCCAGACATACAATAAAATGTTGTTTCATAATGCACTTTTAAAAACTCTTTTAAATAAAATTGGATGTTAAGATGCAGCAATATATTCTATGCTTTATAGTATAGAGATTTCTTATTTTGTAATCTTTGATGCTCAATTTTGAATATTATGTATATAGTCTGACTAATTAATAGATCAAAGTTAATGTTAATAACATGTTCATAGTATATGTTCAACAATGATAACAACTCTAACTAAAGTTTATACTGACAGGATGCGAAGACATTTTAAAAAAATAATTGAGGGTAAAGTAAAACAATAATAAAAAAATATTAAAATAAAAATAATATGAACCATTCATTTTAACAAATTGGACCAACAATTTTTAGTTATGATTATAAACTTAACTTTATTGATTATTATTCTTAGATTTATTTATATAGCATATATATATATATAATGCTATAATTCTGTCTAGTCTCATCATTCATAGAATCCATACTATCACTCTAAGGCAAGGAAACAATTCCGACCTTAGCTCAGTTGGTAGAGCGGAGGACTGTAGTGGAATTTGAACTGAAATCCTTAGGTCGCTGGTTCAAATCCGGCAAGTCGGAATTTTTTGTTACCTCACAAGAAAGCGCAAACGTACAAAAACTGGGGATTCATGTGGAGGAGCAAAGATCAAACAAAAAGTTTCACCGTTGCCGGTAATCGAACCCGGGTCACCCGCGTGACAGACGGGAATACTCACCACTATACTACAACAACTTCCAATTTTCAGCGACAGCTGAATCAGTGAAATAATATCTCGACGATTATATTCTAGTTAATCTTCGACTCTCTAAACGGTGGGGTTAGGGTTACGTGCTCACAAGTTGCAGACTCAAATTTCCAAATTGAACAATGTCTGATCACCACCATTTTCCGGAGGAACTCCAGATCCAAATCCTCAAAAGGCTCCCAGTGAAGTCCCTTGTACGCTTCACCGCCGTTTCCAAATCGTGGTACTTCCTCATCACCAGCCCCGCCTTCATCTCCGTCCATTGCCGCCACCATAGGAACGGTAACTCCGCCACTAACCTCCTCCTCCTCCGACGTTATGATAAATCCTACATAGAGGAAAAATATTCCGTACTCAACGACACTGACCACCAATTGCTCACCCTCAATAATTCCTTCGAACTCGACCTCCCAGTTTCATTCGGAAACGGGTATTTTTATACAGTTGGCTTCTATAACGGCGTCCTTTGTTTATCGGATGATTATTTTAATAATATGGCTACTGTACGCCTGTGGAATCCCAGTATTCGGCAGGCTAGGATCTTACCTTATCACTATATTAGGCCAGCTCACCCATCTAGGTTTGTACTTGGATTCGGTGCTAGTCCACGAAGTGATGATGATCTTAAGGTGGTGAGACTTGTGTATGAAAGGAAAGGTGTTACTTTGGATATAGGACCAGTCACACCACCTTTGGTTGAGATCTATTCTCTCAGCACTGGGGTGTGGAAAAGGATAACAGCAACTGGGGTTAACTACGATATTTTCGATTACAGTTGTACTCAGGTTTTTGTTAATGGAGCAGTACATTGGATTGGGTACAAAGGGCTGGAGAATAATTTGCAGTGTTTGATAGCAGTTTTCACCATGGCTGATGAGTTGTTTGATGAGATTATGCTCCCAGATGAATTGGCTCTGGAGTACCCAGCAAATTTATCTATTATGGTGTTTGAGGAGTTTGTTGCCGTTGTTAAGTATAGCGCTGATTCGTGTGAATTGTGGATAATGAAAGAGTATGGAGTTGTGAATTCTTGGACTAGGCTGCATACTATAGAATTGGTCGGAGGGATGGAAAAAATTGTTGGCTTTAGGAAAAATGGTGAATTATTGCTATCTACTTACAAAAATGAGCTGGTTTCCTACTGTCCAAATACTAGAGTCGTTAATGATCTTGGCATTTCTGGACACAGAAGCTCATTTTATGTTGATAAATATTTGGAATCCCTTGTTTTGCTTCAACACCAAAACCACTGATGGAAGAGAAGATTGAGTGAGCCAATTCTTTAAAAGCTTAAGGTGTTTTTTCAGTATATCTAATTTTTTGAAATTTTAATGCCATGTACTAGTGTGGTTTGTGGATGTTTAATTTACCTGTTGAAAATAGAAAGCACATTATATATTTTGATTCTTGAATGTAATTCTAATGACACCTTTTCAAAATTACTTATACAATGTCTTAGCAAATTACATAGGTAGAGAAGGTAAGAGAGTAGAGAAATTATAGACTACATAAGCCTCCAAAATTTCACCAAATTACAGAGTATTGTTATCATCTTTTTGGAATCATTATATTTTTGAATAATTGTTTAAAACTCTTTTTAATCTTTTTCTCTTTCCCCTTGTTATTTCGTAAGATAATATGAAAGATTGAAAGGCTTAGGTGGTATTGAAAAATTTCTATCAACTGTTATGTATGTTAGAAAAAAATAGTTATAGAACTTTTTTGTCCTTAGTATTGCAGGGCTTAATGATGCTTTAACATGTCTACAACATTTTTGTTCTTAGGGCATGTGGATTTGGACAAATAATCAACCTATTAATGTTATCTTTAGAGCTGAATCAGTTACAGTATGCTTGAATTATATTCGGATTGGGATGAACTGCATCTTGCATAATGATGTGCTTCTTATTCTCAGCAGGTTAGTACAGTGTATCAAGCAGGAGAAAGTCAATAGCGATCTTTAGTGGAAAGTCAATAGCAATCTTCAGTGGATTGTGCAAAGCGAGTCTTTCTTCCAAGACATACAATACCATGTGGTTTTCAACTTTTCATAATGTACTTTTTAAAACTCTTTTAAATCAAATTGGCTGCTAAGATGCAGCAATATATTGTGTGCTTTATAGTTTAGAGATCAATCTGCCTTGGTGTTTTGGTGTCAGGGCATTGTTGTGAATGAAAAATGTTGAGTGTCAAGAAATCTTATGAGCAGAAAAGTTTTTCCAAAAAAGTTCTTAGAAGATTTAAAGAAGTAGCAAGTATTTTGGAAGGTTCTTTATAAATTAATAAGGAGAGTTTTCAAATATTATTGAGGAAAAGGAGAATAATTTTTAGAAAAACTAACAAGGAGAAGAGTTTTTGAAATGTCAATGAATAGAATAATTTTTCAAATTTACTCGCAAGGAGTAGAGATTTTTTAAAATAACTCTTGAGCATTCGATTTGGAAAAACAAAAAGCTACACCATGCCAAGGATCAAAGCAGGGTCACCCTTATGACAGGTTGGTATACTTACCACTATACTACAATAACTTCTGTTTATTACTCAAGAAAAGGTTTATTTAAACCAAAAAAAAATAAAAATGTAACAACTTCTGTTTATTACTTTATTCAATAATAGGTTTATTTAAACCAAAAAAAAAAAAAAAAAAGTAAAGGAAACTACGACAAAACACTTCACTGTTGCCGTGAATCGAGCGCGGGTCACCTGTGGAACATGCAGAAATACTCGCTACTATACTACTCGCGACAACTGAAACAATTTATTAAAAAGAGTTAATTACCGATTTGGTCTCTTAACTATTACGAAATTACCGATTTGGTCTTTGATTATATTTGTTACTTAATTAAGTCCTTCAACTATGAAACGTTAACTAATTTGGTCCTTTGTTCGTACATCCGTTTATCTTTAGTTAAATGTGAGGGTACTTTCGAAATTTTCATTAGTCCTGCGCCATTTATGCCCTGATATTATTAGAATAACCCTAGATTCCATTGGGCGGCGATGAAACGTGTGGCAAAGGAGGTGGAATGGAGTGAATTTGTGGAGTTTTCTTGTCTGGACCTGGTGGTGGAGGGGGTTAATAGTGCATTGGCGACGGCGGCGACGACGAGTGTAGCATATGAGGTAGTGGAAGGAGTAGGGATGGCATTGGTGGCAAATCTTGCATATGAGGTGGCGGAGGAGACAATATCGTATGTGGCGGAGGCGGCGAATGTTGCATATGCGGGGGTGGAGGAGACGAGACCAGATGATGTGGAGGGGGTGAGGATTGCATTGGTGGCGGCGAATCAGGCGAGGAAAACGACGGCGAAACCTTATGAAATTTTCCCACCACCACATTTAGCCTTGCTACAATCAATCGGTTTGCTCACCCACCTTATGACAAGCTTTCTGAGCTTTAGGCCGTCATGACAAACAATTACTCTTATCCTCCAACACAACCTCTTTTCTTGAACTCGGATCACACCCTTTCTCCTCCCCATTAAAATGATTATACGAAAACGTAAAATTTTTCAAATTCTACCGCCTGCAAATCTCGTCCGGGACAAACACAGTCAAAACATTCCCAGAAACATCTAATTGCACAACCTTCTCGAGCCCACTAGTAATTACGCAAAGCTTGGGTAGCTTGTGGAGCGAATGAAATTTCGAAACTACCCTCACATTTAACTGCAAATAAATGCCCGCACGAACAAAGGACAAAATTGATTAACGTTTCATAATTGAAGGACTTAATTGGATAACAAATATAATCAAGAACCAAATTGATAATTTCGCAATAGTTAAGGGACCAAATTGATAATTAACTCTATTAAAAATTTCTTATGAATGAAACAAATCTGGACGATTACATTCTGGGCTTGCCGTCCGCGGGTTATCATCTTCGACTTTCTTAACGGTAGAGTTAGGGTTACGTGCTCACAAGTTGCAGACTCAAATTTCCAAATTGAACAATGTCTGATCACCACCATTTTCCGGAGGAACTCCTGATCGAAATCCTCAAAAGGCTCCCAGTCAAGTCCCTTCTACGCTTCACCGCCGTTTCCAAATCGTGGTACTTCATCATCACCAGCCCCGCCTTCATCTCCGCCCATCGCCGCCACCATAGGAACGGTAACTCCGCCACTAATCTCCTCCTCCTCCGACGTTATGACAAATCCTACAATGAGGAAAAATATTCCGTACTCGACGACACTGACCACCAATTACTCACCCTCGATAATTCCTTCCAACTCAGCTTCCCAATTTCATGCGGAATCGGGTATTTTCGTACAGTTGGTTTCTATAACGGCGTCTTTTGTTTATCGGATGATTATTTTAGTGATTGGCATACTGTAACCCTGTGGAATCCCAGTATTCGGAAGCTTAGGGCCTTACCTTGTCCCTCTATTAGGCCAGCTTACCCATTTAGGTTTGTACTTGGATTCGGTGCTAGTCCACTAAGTGATGATGATCTTAAGGTGGTGAGAGTTGTGTATGAAAGAAAAGGTGTTCATTTGGATGAATGCAGAATCCCGCCTGAGGTTGAGATCTATTCTCTCAGTACTGGGTTGTGGAAAAGGATAACAGCAATTGGGGTTAACTACTATATGGTCGATTACACTTGGACTCAGGCTTTTGTCAATGGAGCAGTACATTGGATTGGGTACAAATTGCTCGAGAATAAAAGTATTCAGAGTTCGATAGCAGTTTTCACCATGGCTGATGAGTTGTTTGATGAGATTATGCTCCCTGATGAATTGGCTTCAGAGAACCCATCAAATTTATCTATGATGGTGTTTGAGGAGTTTGTTGCAGTTGTTAAGTATAGTAGAAGGATACAAGGTGGTTCGTGTGAATTGTGGATAATGAAAGAGTATGGAGTTGTGGATTCTTGGACTAGGCTGCATACTATAGAATTGGTGGGAGGGATGGAAAAAATTGTTGGCTTTAGGAAAAATGGTGAAATATTGCTATCTACTAACAAAAGTGAACTGGTTTCCTACTGTCCAAATACTAGAGTCGTCAATGATCTTGGCATTTCTGGAAACAGCCGCTCTTTTTATGTTGATAAATATTTGGAATACCTTGTTTTGCTTCGACAGAAAAACCACCTTGTAGATGGGCAATATGAAGAAATCAGAAATCTGTGAATTGAAGAGAAGATAGAGTGAGTCAGTTCTTTTAAAACATGAAGGTATTTTCATAGTATATCTAATATTTTGGAATTTTAATGCCGTGTGGTTTGTTGATGTTTAATTTACCTGTTTGCTCCCTTGCCCCAAGGGGCTCCCAACCTGTTGAAAATAGAAAGCACATTATTTATTTTGATTCTTGAATGTAATTCTAATGACACCCATTCAAAACTAGTTATACAATGTCTTAGCAAATTACATAGGTAGAGAAGGTAAGAGAGCAGAGAAAGTATAGACTACATAAGCCTAAACCAAATTACAGAGTATTGTTATATCTTTTTGGAATCATTATATTTTTGAATACATCTGCTAAGTTTCACTAGCTGCTTAACTTTGGTCTGATGATAGGTTAGCTGTTAATTGTTTAAAACTCTTTTTAATCATTTTCTTGCATCATTCTCCTTGGTTATTTCGGAAGATAATATGAAAGGCTTTCAGTAGTATTGCAGGGCTTCTTTAACATCTACAACATTTTTGCTCATAGGGCATGTCAGTATGGATTTGGACAAATAATCAACCTGTTAATGTTTTCTTTAGAGCTGAATCAATTTACGAAAGTTACAGTATGCATGAATTATATTCTGATTGGATGAACTGCATGTTGCCTAATGATGTGCTTCTTATTCTCAACAGGTTTCAAGCAGGAGAAAGTCAATAGCAATCTCCAGTGTACTGTGCCCGTACACAATGGCAAAGCAATGACAAAGAGTCTTTCTTCCCGAGACATACAATAACATGCGGTTTTCATAATGCACTTTTTTGAACTCTTTTAAATAATATTGGCTGCTAAGATGCAGCAATATATTGTATGCTTTATACTTTAGAGATCAATCTGTCTTGCTCACTCAAATATTTGGTGTTTTGGTGTCAGGGCATTATTGTTGTGATTGAAACTGTTGTGATAGTCTGACCAACATTTTTTTAATATTAGTGCTCAAAAAAGTTGTAATTTGGTGTCAAAATTAATTTTTTATTTTTTATTTTTAAAAAAATTCAATTGATTAAATGTTTAAAATGATTTTATGTATTTCTGTTAAGAATACTTGATGAGTCAAAAATATATTTTAGTTTGAAAATTGTATCTCAAAAGTTATTTTGTAAATTGTCTCAAAATTATGTTAAGTGTCAAAGAAGATTTATGAGTAGAAAATTTTTTCTAGAAACAACAAAGTTCTTAGAAGATTTAAAGAACTAGCAAATATTTTGGAAGATTTCGTATAAATTAATAAGGAGAGCTTTCAATAAATGATTAAACACTATTTTTTTTTTTAATAAAAATCAATTATTTTAATATATATTTCAATTAATTAATTCTTTTGGGCACAAGTAGCTATGGTGTAATGATATTAAAGTAATTAGAAAAAAATTGGGATTAAAATTGTACGAATGTGATAAAGATAAATGTTTTTAAAAAAATGATCAATGAATCTAAGTATTATTATGCTATAACATTATTATTTTTTTGGTACATGCCCGAATATAGTATATTGATACCAACTTTTTTTTTTAAGAGAGAAACCTGCAATCACTATTATAATATGTCAATATGTACATTGGCTAAATTTCGCTTATATGTAATAGTCACTAAATTATATAGGAAAGGTAAATAAATTATACCAGAAAAACTTTTTGAGACAAACTCGACTGAGATGGTGTTGACAATATAATAATCAAATTCGATACTAAAATAAAAGAAACGAACACAAATTACAGTGTGACCAAACCAATATTTCCAAATCATAGTATTCACTTTTGGTTCAATTAAAAAGAAAGGAAAACTCTCCGTCTTAAATCTGTAGGACAGCTGTTTCATCCAAAAGAGGTGTTTATCTACAATTCAGCGAGGAGATTAGTCACTCTGTCCGATGTTGGAAACTCCGAGTATACTTAAAAAAAAAAAAAAAAAAAAAAAAAAAAAAAACCTTTAAAAGGTCACGAGTTTAATTTTTGTCCATAGTCGAGCCCGGTTTACCCGGCGAAATTTCTCTTATCACTCCAAGAAAAAAAAAAAAAACATTATACCATTCATTCTTTTTAATTTCTCCCTGGAAGGATTCCAGTTTCCATTATAAGTGAGTGTTTTAATAACTGGTCCATTGATGATGAATTATGATAATCCTATCACTGACAGTTTTAAGAGTGCAACGCAAATAAAGCACAGCCACTGGTAAAAAATGTGAGGAATAAAAGAAAGGCAGTCAAAAGCCTTAATTGGTTTCTTGATTGTAGCAAGTCTTACTCATAACTGATGCCATAATTGCATATTATCTCACTTTGTAACTTTTCCCAGACTCCCACTAATAAATACCCACACCCCTTCTGCAAATGCACATCACCATTGCTAAAACCTTCACCCATATAATGATCTTCATCCTTCCAGCAGCCATGGCAGAAGATGACCAGAAGCTTGATCTCAGACTGGGATTGGGTCACTGCACCCTCCCAAAGGAACCAAAGAAAACAAGTGGTTTTGGTGTTTCTTTGGATCTCTCCTTTCCATTATCACACTCAAATGACCAGAGTGGTGTCGACATTATTGAGAGCTCCAAAAGCTATGAAGTTGAGGGAATGGAATCCCAGATTTCTTACAGCACCAAGAGTCATACTGGGCTTATGAGGAAGAAGTTGAGGTTAAATAAAGAACAGTCAGCATTACTTGAAGAATGTTTCAAACACCAAACCACCCTTACCATGGTATTAATGGGTTCATTATATTACCTTTCCTTCTTTCCCTAGTTTCTTGTTTTCTTTCTTCGATCTGAAGTAGTCAGAAAAGTTGTTTCAGACCGAAGAAAACCCTAAGGTTGGAAACTCTAAACCTTGTTAGATCTTTAAATTGCATGCTAAATACTTACATAATTGTAGGGTCGAAAACATGAACTTGCAACAAAGTTGAATCTCAGGCCAAGACAAGTGGAAGTTTGGTTTCAGAACAGGAGAGCAAGGTGATTCATTCATTCTCTTTTCTTCATATCATCTTTTTTTTTTTTTCTTTTCTTTCTTTTGATCACGAGAAAACCCTCATTACCATCTCGAGGGTATGTATTGGGTAAATTCTGTCTTGTAACTCTAACCAAACCAGTCTTGCTCCCCGGAGTCGAACTTGGAAGCTTTGGTTACAAAGCCAGAAACCTAACCAACTTAACTAGGATTGCGCGATCTTATTTTCATCCCTCTTGAGAGTTTAATTTACATATTTACAGGACTAAACTGAAGCAAACTGAGGTGGATTGCAACCTCATGAAGAAGTACTGCGAGAGTCTGAATTACGAAAACTACCGGCTGAGGAGAGAGTTGCACGAGCTACGATCCTCGTTTAAATTCGACAACCGGCCGCCACCGCCATTTTCCGATCAGCCTCCGAAGGCCAAGACTACTACTGTAACTTGTCCATCGTGTGAGAAGACGACCGGACTCCTCTCAGGTGCCGGCGGCGACCAGAAGGATGAAACTGAATTGGTGGATACAGTTTTGGAACTTAAAAACTGATCCATAAAATCTAACCAAATATAATTCTATACTTTAACTTTTGCAATATTCCCATGCATATTCATGCAATTGAAATTCAGTATCTTAATAATACATATTCACTTGAACACATATACATATTATATTACATTGATGTATCTACGTTTATATATTTGCAAAATACTTATTCATATCTATATATTCACACAAAGCTCAAACAACTCGAAACTTTAATTGAATCAAGCTCGAGAGTTTAATACTGACCGCATTATACTTATTCAGATCTATATATTCACACAAATTAAAGCTCAAACAACTCAAAACTTTAGTTGGACCAAACTCGATTACACCTCTGTGAAATTATTAAGATTTTAATATTACGCACATTAATCGAATTACAAGCCATTTTTGTAGGCCGTTATGTGTGTGTTACAACAATTATACACAGATAGGTCTATATATTCAAACACAGACACTTTGATCATCCAAGGAGATAATGGCACAACCTCTGGATAAAAGCTTTAAGTTGAGCAGAAAGCAACACTATATTGCAGTGATCTGTTCTAGCTTGTGGCAGAAGTGAAAGTCTGGTCTCATCATCAGCCCAACTTGATGGCAAGATGTTTTAGCTATTCTCCTCGATCAATCTTCCTTCTTCGATCTGGATGGTCAGGATTCTTCTCCCTACCTAGTCTTTGGTAACCCACCGGCGGCCGCGTATTTGGAAACCACCAGAAGTACAATCGCTGCTGCTTTCGCCACCGCTTTCGCTTGTGTATCCTGTTTTCCGACGTTGTTTCTTTTTCCGAGAGGGTGTGGGTGTCCCGCTGTCACTGATGCTTCCATTTAAAAGAGGGTCGTCTATTCCACGTATAACCCTCTGGGCTTGGGATGATGTCGTCGCCATGGAACTATCGTCCTTCGCTCTCTTGTTTTTGGCGTGCTTCATGTTTTGAGAGATTTTATGCAGTTTCTGATTGAACTTTGTGAATCCCTTCTCCATAGGCTCCACGGCTTGATTTACAGTGAATTTCACATCATTCACAATCTGGACACAAAGGCGTCGATCTCATTAATAAGCATACACATCGATCACTTACTCTTAAGCGGGATTAAAATGTTACTCCACCTTCTTATCAAAAGAGGCTCGCGAAGAAATTCACAAGAGAAGAGGACATACTTACATATTCACCAGCACCCATAAAAACATCCCGAACACTCTCTCTGATTGTTGTTTTGTTAGAATCATCAATACTAGGATGGGGAAGACGCAGTTTAGTTGGACGCTCACTGTCTCTAAGCTCCTCGGGATCTATTGGGCAGTCAGCAGATAGGTAGTCCCCTAGTACTGATACAGCTCCAGCAAAGCGCTCACCCATCAACTCGTATGGTTTTGCGGGAAAAACATACAGGTGTACCACAGAAGCAATGCCCATCTGTACTGGACAATTGCACAAGCATGTCAAATTTATATTTTACGGTGATTAAGAAACAACCCTTGCATTACAGAAATGAGGAAACATTAGCTAATCTTCCATAAAAATGCGGAGTTCCCAATAGGGATTAAACGAAATGTAAATAAAAACCGAGAATTACCCAAGAATAATTGGTAAATGTAAAAGCACCAACATAGTTAATGAACATCCGAAAATATATATATGTATAGTTGTATACACACACAGACATCCAGCTCTAAGAAAAATTACCTCAATACAAATAATAAAGTCCTGAATGCTTGATTCAAGCTGCAAGGCTTGAGCAATTGGGCTTTTGAAGATACCAAGACTACAAAAAAGGGCAATAGCCACACCTTGCCACCAAGTCAAAAATACGATTGACTTGAATGTCAAAAATTTGTACAGTGGATTGATATGAGACAACTCATTCTTTGTAATGGCATAGAATTGAACCAAGCAATACAATGCCCATGACTGAGTGAAATTTAAAACCACAGCCAAGTATGGGTACCTAGAAAGAGAAGAGAAAGGTGAAGTAACAAATACATATAGATATAGTGTATTTCTCAGAAACTATGTATGCTAAAGTCTCAAATCAGTGAGATGATAATGAATCTGAAAAAATCATACACAAATCCACTCTTAAAGCTAATGAATAGCACAAGCAAATAGATACATACTGAAAATATTTCTCTGAATTTGTGTAAAAAGAATAAGGCATTTATAACAAAACATTGCAGTAATTGCGACTTTTGAGGCAGTATCTATTAAGTAAGAATAAGTTTTCCTTACCCACAGTTCCATTTGAATTCTCCTTCACAGTAGACATTGAAAGCTTGAAGAATTACTGCTGCAATAGCAGTGAATGCTTTTATTAACATCTGCCAACAAAAATTCACGTGTTCTCCATAATTTACTCCATTCAAAAAATAAAAATTGACAGCTTACAATGGCATCATATCAAAGCTGTTGGTCGAAGTGCACACTTACATATTGAACAATCCCAAACTTTATAACTTCATAAACCCATCGATCGAGTTTCCATGGCTTGAAAATGAAATTCATCGGAAAAGGATGATTTATAATTCCCCTCTCATGACCATCTTCTAGTAGTGGTACCTTTGAACTTATACGTCCTTCCCTTTCCATAAATTCTAGAGTTCTCTCTTCCCCACCTTTTGCAAAATACATATATTGAGAAATTAAAAGAGAGTTCTTGGAAGTAAAGAAACTTTTAGGAAATTTTTTTTTTTAAAAAAAAAAAAAAAAAAGTAAGTGAATATATGAAGCTTGACAATTTCTACTTTGCTCAACCAACATGGCAGTTGTGAAAAAGTAAATAAAAACTTACAAAAGAAAATGTAAAAGCAATACCTAAACAGGCAACAAGATATCTTCCAAAGCAGTACATAGCAAAGGACTCATATCCGTCACGTAATATCTCGATGTAGACACTGATTGACGGATTCAGCAGGGACACAAACTGAACGAGAAATCCACAGTAGCATACAGATTAATGAATGTTACAGATATTCTTCGAAAGAGGATACTATGCATACTTCTAAGTTCTAACTGGTTCTTCAACTAAATTTGCACCATAATCGATCCATGCAGGGAAGAAATTTTCAACAGATAATAGTATAACAAATCAAAATTATATCATACAACATCATTTTGTACAAGGACAAACCAAACCATGTGAATTGATATGCTGAACCATAGATAATATCGAATTTCAGAACAGCAAGAAAGCATAAGCAAAAAGAGAGAGAATACCAGGAATAGAACAAAAATAATAAAATAAAATAAACAGACGCCCCGAACAAATGAAGCAAAAAATGGCTTCCTGAGATCATTTACAGCAGCCAAAAGCTAAACTAGTCCTGTCATCATAATATTGTTCCAACTTCCAAGCATTACTGGCCATGCAGGGCTTCAAAACATAAAGTTTTAATCCTATTCTTCTCAGCACGAACAGTTTGGCATTTGAACTCTATTTACATTAGAACTGACAACTATGCCAAATGCATCAGATTATTGAAATTGAAGGTTGCTATCTTTGTGATAAGCATGGTAGATATGCAAGTCAATACCAAGTCAATTTTAGTCCAAAACCGGAGGAATTTTCAGCCGCAACCAGGGGCAGATCCAGAAATTTTTGTAAGGGGGCAATGTATGTATTACTATACTAAAAAATAGAAATGTAACTGTAAGAGGTAAAGTTTAGTTAAAAATTAGTCTTCATACATGTTTTTAGTGAAAATAAAATTAGGGTTTCAAAATTTTGACTCAAGTAAAGATGTCACTTAAGAATAAAATTGGCATTTAAAAAAAAAAAAAAGCTCATATTAGTTCATGATGGGTGTAACATTCAATTTGGAGAGATTATGAAGTTGTTTCCCACTGTTTCTCCCTTTTTATGTATCACATCCCTTTAGATATTACTACATATTAGATATCTTTTCACTTGAAATTAGTATCTTAAACGAGCATGGTTAACTTATTCCATTTATTGGTTCTTTTTTGTTCCTTTCTTTTTCTATCTCAATCAAAAAGGAAAGCACATGCATGCAGTTCTCAACATCTTTCAGTTTATTTGAAACTATTAACTGAAGTACTTATTATTATTGGCTAAAGTTGAGAACCAAAATAAATATGCAGATCTAAACACGCTTGAATCAACTTTAAAACAATTTCTGATCTAAAATAACCCATTTATCAGCCCAATCACAGGTAACCATGCTTTTTCTTGTGTTGGCATTCAAACCTTCTAAAAACACCTCAAGTTTTGCCAACATATTAGACAAACACTAGGAAATAGGAATCCAATCTCCACATCAATATCAATATATCATCATTTTCCACAATCCACTAATCCTTCTAACATATGCTTCTTTAAGGGCTATGCAATTTGAAAAGCTCATCATAGAGCCAAAAACACATAAACATGGAAATGAATTTACATTTGAAATAAATAAATAAATAAACAAATTAACCCCCATTTCGAGTCAAACTAAACTCACAGATTCAATAGCATAGCACGGCACCATCAATATTACTCCAATCAAAAACTTTTGCTCCTGCCAACACAATTACAAAACAATCACTTCTAAAGGAAAAAAACAAAACAAACAAATAAACAGAATAACACCCAAAAACACACAGTCTTTTGCAAAACACAATTGACCTCGGGGTTCTTGTAAGCAGAGAGGTGCTCAAGCAGGAGGTAAATAGACAGGGCGAGAGAGAGAATAGTGAAGAATCCTCCGATCAGAGTTGCCCATATAGGAGTCGAGTAGCTGCTTAGCAAGCTCTGCCCGACCCAATCGGAAGCCCAATACTCGGCTGACGATGATAACAGTGAGGTCATCCACCGCATCAGTGAAGAATTGGGGATCGTTTGCTAGGGCTTCGATTATGATCAGCTGAGTTCATAGGAGTTCGAAACTTTGAATTCTGCTCCGATAACTTTCGCAAAACAAAAATTTGAAAAAATAAATGTTGGGGAAGTTCAGATGATGACGGAACTGACAGGGCGATAGATTTCGTCTTGGACAGTCAAAATGTTTGAAGTTGAACTTTTTCCATTTTTCGTGATTATCTACTCTATTTCAAAAATAAATAAATAAAATTATATATTACAGAATAATTACTACAAGAAACCTTTTCTATAATGTTGTCCTGAAAAGATTACCATCTTTTTTTTGTGATGAAGAATCGCAGTTATTAAATAAGAATGCGCGTTTGATAAATTTTAAGGGCTATGTAAACTGTACTAAGAATATTTGTGCAACATATTTAATTGATAAAACATTAACAATAATTAAACGGGGAAAGGGTCAAATAGACCCTTAAACTATAGGTAAAAGAGCAATTAGGCCCTTCAACTTTGAAAAGGTGCAATTAGGCCCTTCAACTTGTTGTTTTGAGTTAAATAAATCCAATAGCAGGCTTTTCACCTGGAATAACCGGTCAAAAAATTCCGGCGATATTTCCGACCATATTTCCGGCGACAACAAATTTAAAAAAAAAAAAAAAAAAAAAACAACTTGCCGGTCGGTTGTCTTCTCCGGTGGAGAAGGCGACCAGATCAGGTCGCCTTCTCCATTGGAGAGGACGACCAGTCTGGTCGTCCTCTCCAGTGGAGAAGGCGACCAGATCTGGCCGCCCTCTCCAGTGGAGAGGACAACCAGTCCGGTCGCCTTCTCCACTGGAGAAGGCGGCCAGATCTGGTCGTCCTCTCCACTCCTTTCCAAGGGAGAGGACTGTGGAGAGGACGACCAGATCTGGCCGCCCTCTCAAGTGGAGAAGGCGACCTGATCTGGTCGCCTTCTCCACCGGAGAAGACAACCGAACGGTTGTCTTCTCCGGCAAGTTTTTTTTTTTTTTTTTTTTTTTGTCGCCGGAAACAAGGTCGGGAATTTCGCCGGAATTTTTTAACCGGTTATTCCAGGTGAAAAACCTGCTATTGGGTTTATTTGACTCAAAATAATAAGTTGAAGGGCCTAATTGCACCTTGTCAAAGTTAAAGGGCCTAATTGCTCTTTTGCCTATAGTTTAAGGGTCTATTTGACCCTTTTCCCTAATTAAACATGTGATTTTCTAGTACGAAAAAGTTATTATTTATTATAATTTGAATGTATGTTACACTTTTTTAAAGTACATTAAATTATATAAAAATTTCTTTATTAAAATATTTGTACATAATTTTATTACTCTGTATAATTAATAAATAATAAATGATGAATAAGTAAATTGTGATTCCCGATAAGTGCCATAATTATTTGTAAATATATTTAAAATTTATAAATCAGTTACCTTAGCGTTTGCAAAGTTACAATGTGATATACGGATATCTAACTTGTGTACCAATTACTATGTAGTGTGATGACACCTCTATTAATATGTTACCACTTCAAATAGGTGATCACATGATCAAACTTCGGTGATGGGAGCATTGATTCTTTGAGTTAAAAGATTTTGCTAAAGTATATAACAGATATTACCTTGTAAAGAATTGTGAGTATTTCAAAAAAAAAAAAAAAACTTGTTATCTACGTAAGTGAGGATTATATATTATATAATGATAATGATAATGTCCAAGTTCTATCTATTATAATAATGATCAAAATAAGTTATAACAAATATTATTTACTATATTTTTATAGTAATATACTATTAATAATTTTTGGTAGTGTAATCTGGCACTTAACTGCCGCACTATATTTTTATACTAATAATCTTTCTTTTTTCATTAATGATCTTATTCAACCAGTCTCACCATATAATTAGGTAATCAAAAATATTTTAGCCAACTAGTGCCCTTTGTATTTTATTAAGAACTATGAATTGAATACATTTATTTTTTTCATCAAGTTGTTATAAAACAAATATTATTAAGAAAAACATTTAAAATAGCTTTTCTTATTGCCTACAACGTTTACTATCCTTACCATAGTGATACTAATTCAGATCCGATTCCGTAAAATTTGATTAAAATAGTTTTATTGAAACAAAACATCTTCTAATGGTCTAATAAATAATTCTTTAATTTAACAAATAGTCAACTAAAACATGTGATGTGTTTTCAAAAAAAAAAAAAAAAAAAAAAAAAAAAAAAAAAAAAAAAAAAAAAACATGTGATGTCAAACGAGAGTATGCATAACATTAACCCAGAGAAATAAAGGATACTGCACTTAATTTTATTTTGTTTATAAATGTTGGTTGAATCTTAAGGTTTAAGAAAAATGTGGGTTTGGTTGATAATGAAATTACGAAAGGTCAGTACGAGTTCATGAAACATGAAGCAATAAGAAAAAATAAATAAATTATTACTCCGTATTAAATTCTTACCCCAAAAGGCTGAATCCCCAACCCTAAGGGCCCCCCACACTCTAACCCGACAGAGCATGTGGGAGGATGTAAATCACGGTGACTCAATAGGTTACTAAGCAGGGCCAAATGTCGATGCGCACAAAGAATCTGCCCACTTTGAACATAAATTATTACTCCGTATTAAATTCTGAATTTAGAGTTTGGTGCACCGACGCAACCAATCATATAGTGTGGAGAACTGGAAAAGGGAAAATGCAGAGAAAAAACAAAAATGCCATTGGCCCATTATTAAAGAATCTGACTTGTGCTTTCCATGTGATTGTAAACCAAGAAAATAAGGATTTCTAGAATCACCTGATGCTCAAAATCCACTAACTCAATCAGTTATCTGTCCTAACTCAATCAGTTATCTGTCCGTTTAACGGTCCAGGTCCACCGAGAGGTACAGAAGCTGGCCTAAAGGGAATCGTCACTTGTGGGAATTGAACCCGGGTTATCCCAAAATTCAACCCCACAAAGAGAGTTCATTTGCCACTTGAGCTACCCTGTTGAGTTTCAGCTAACAACTATTTAATTTGCCAATCACCCCCAAAATCATTCTAAAATTTATCATTGTTAGGCAGAATTTGTCAGTCTTTAGAGGGGGGAATCATCAGCCGGCTGGAACAGTTGATGGAATAAGGATTTCACCTATTTTATGCTGAGGAATTATCCCTCAGTCCAAAATAAAGGCAACTAAAACATTAACCATATGAGAACAAAATCAATGATATCATCAAGCTTGATCATATCAATCAAGGAGTTTTAGAACAAAGCATGAGGGAAAAGTGAAAACCTCGTTATTTGTTCACAAGGTTGTTCCCTGATTCTCTCTGCCTTAGCCATCATTGTATGTTGAAAAGCCTGCAAAATGGATGCCAAGAGATGCAGAACTTTAAGGGATCAAGAAAAAGGCAATGAAGACAGACTGAGTGCATTACCAGATTTCATTCTTCTTCTCATACTATCACTTTTGCCTACCAGAGATGCCATCAAGACAAGCACCCTCTCAAGAAGGTGGGACCGGTTATGGACCTCTGTGTCTACTCTGAAATTCCATCTACCATCAGAACAGAAGACGCTAAAGGATTTCATAACTTCTGTACACCACACCCTTCTTCTACATGAAAGTCAACGCATCTCTAAGTTCTCTATCAGATTCTACTACAAGGAAAAGTTTGCTTCTAATGTTGATGCATGGATCCGCTTTGCAATAAGGAAAAGTGTGAAAGTGCTTCATTTAGATTTCACAGACAGGTGTACCTATACTCTTGGACGAGATGTTCCCTATGCGATGCCTCGTCATTTCTTCAACAATGAAACGTTCACCAAGCTGAAGTTGAACTTCTGTTCTTTCAAGATGCATGGAGTACAACTTTCCTGGAAATCACTCAGAAAGCTATCTCTGAGGCAAATTGTACTAAGTGACGACATGGTTAATGGTATTCTAGCTGGATGCCCCATACTAGAATGTTTGATTCTTGAGCAATGTTCCAGCTTGACTTTCCTGAGCATCCATTCTGCAAAACTGAAAAGCTTGACGCTATGTAATATGCAAAATGAGATTAAAATTTATGCATCTCATTTGTTGTCACTAACACTTTCAGGCTACATGCACAAAGCTGAACATTCCATTGTAGATTTATCAAGTCTGGAGTACGCCAAGATTGATTTTAATTTCATGTTTTTCGCTTTCGGGGGTGAATGCGAAGTTGAGTACTTTTGCAGGAAATTAAGAAACATCATTAGAAATGTGTGTCATGTAAAGACTCTAGCAGTATGTCAATCGTGTGTCCAGGTAAATCTCATCTGATTTTAAACAACTTATGTATTTTGCTCTTTAACTAATTGTTTTGCCATGTGTAAAGGTGTTAACAGCTTGTGAGGTTTATAGCATTCAAATTCCCATATTGAAGTGCAAGTCTTTGACACTGGAAACAAGTTTCCGTAAACATGAACTCATTGGGATAGCCAGTTTACTACAGAACTCACCTGATTTGGAAAACCTAACAATTATAGCCAGTAACTTGTATGGGTTTTGGGTATGTTCTGTCCCCACTTTCCTCCCTTTGATTGTGTTTTTCATTATTTAAGATAAACTTCCTTAGTTTAGAATTTACTCGTGTTCTTTCAGTGTGAAAGTGATCTAACAAGAAAACATCCCGTTGATGAGCAAAGATTTTGGGATTCACAGACTGATGCTTTCTCTTCTTCACTTCACCATTTGAGGACTGTTAGATTGTACAGTTTTATGAGCTGGGGTGTTGAGTCAGGCTGTGATATCATGGATATGAGCTTAGGGAAATTGCAGAAGAAAATTGCAAGGGAATTAAACCTGGTGAAGTTTTTATTAACAAATTTTACAGTCATAGAGAGGGTGGATTTTCACATCAAGAAGGACCAGAACTCCAAAATTACCAAATTGAGAGAGAGAATACATACTGTTTCCCAAGCTATATTGGCATGCCCAAAAGCTTCATCCCTTGTGGAAGTGGTCTTCTGGTAGGGCCTACCTATGTATTTGTATGATGCAAGAATGTAACGTTAATTTGTTTCCCCCACCAAGATATAAAATTACGCTCCTATATAACAGATACTTCTTGAACCCACCATTTGACAATTTTACCTACAAATCTGCACCATAGTTTTTGCATGGATAGTCATCTTGGAATCATATATGGTTTAGATTTTCTAAAAGAGCTTGAGCTCTTACCATTTTGATCTGAGTTACTTGTTTCTATCAGAAAACTAACAAGGCTAAACAAATCCCAAACAGAATTTAACGGAATTTGTCAACTATCACCACAGTATCATAAATAGAAAAGAAAAAGGTAGTGCACAAGTCTTTAACAGCTATGCCTGAAAGGGTATTAATCAAATAGTAAAAAATATGACACCAGCTTCAATTTTTGTGACACATACAAGAAAAGCGTGTATTTTAAGATAAGTTAAAAGAATAATGAAGAAGCGTTTGATTAAGGCAAGCTAGTAGAAGAAATGGTAATGGTTTTACCTTTTCCATATAAGTCTCATCAAATATTTGTAAGGATGGCATGTTTGACATGTGCTCATACTGAATCTTGATGTACAACCCAACTGCTACCAGGAGCTGTTCTAACGCCCCTCTCTTTCATTTCTCTTCTTAGTTTCTGTTCTTCCTCGTACCGACCCTTGCTAGCATAAATTCTTGCTAATGCAACAAAGTTAGCAGGATTATGAGATTCTATTTCAAATAACGCTTTTGCAGCAACTTCTGCTAGCTCTACTTCTCCATATGTTCGGCAAGCTGTCAGAAGTGCTCCCCAAGCTTTTGCAGTCACCTTTACAGGCATTTGCTTGATAACATCATACGCCTCGTATAATTTGCCTGCCCTACTCAAGACATCCACTAAGCAAGCGTAATGATCACTAGTTGCTTCCACACCATAATGATCTTGCATGCGAGAAAAATGCATTCTTGCTTCATCAGCTAAACCTGCGTGGCTACAAGCTTTCAACACCACAAGAAAAGTGATCCCATCTGGCTTTATGTTTGCCATTTCCATTTGATCAAAAATTTCGAGTGCAATTCTCGCCTCTCCGTGGAGTGCATAGGCTGAAATCAAGCTACTCCATGCAACTACATCCTTTTCTCTCATACTCCAAAACACCGCACGTGCATTGCCAAGGCAACCACACCGGCCATAGGCCTCCACTAGTCCACTCCTCAATTGCGGGTGTGGATCAATGTCATTCCTTATTGAAAAACCATGAATTTCTTTGGTCAAATTCAATGCCGCTATTCCCACAGAAGCACGTAATAATGCAAGAACTGTAATCAAAGTCGGTTTCAGAGCCATCCTCTGCATCTTTCTATAAATCGCTATGGCCTTAGAAAACCCCTCCTCCGTGTCCAAAAGCCCAGCTATAATGCAGTTGAAAGTCGACGCATTTGGCAAAATATCCATAACCCGGAACAACTCCAACGCAGCTGGCATATTCCCAGCATGGGTGTAAAGCGAAATCATTGAGTTCCAAACAACTATATTTCTCACGGGAACCTCATCAAACAGGTGGTGGGCTTGGGCAACCGAGACGCATTTCCCGTACATGTCCACAAGCGCGCACGCTACGAACGGGTTGGATATGAAATTCACTTTGTGCAGGTGGGCATGAATGGCAGCGCCCAGGGAGGGGCGGCGGAGGGCGGCGCATGACTTGAGGACTAGCGGAAAGACGAAAGGGTCGAGGGGAAGGGTGGCACGGATATGGCGGAAGAGTGAAAGTGCCTTCTCGTGGCGGCCTTCATTCACATGAGAAGTCAGAAGCTTTGTGTAAGAAAGTAAACGCAAGTAGTTGGAAGAGTAGGAGCCCATCGTTCATGGACATGAACGTCCTATGCCTGAATCAACATTTTCATGTCCATGAAAGTGTTAACGGTAAGATCTGAAGATTGAGACTACATAGAACATAGTATAAGTAATCTATTCTTTTTGTTCCAGAAAATTGTCTTCCGTCCTATATTGAAATGTCTTAAAAAATTATTATTCTTGTATATACAATCACAGAGTTAATTCCAGCAATGGTCCTCCGACTATATTGATTTTCCAAAATTAGTCCTTGACTTTTAATTTGGACACTTTAGGTCCCTTGACTTTCAATTTCTTTCCAATAGAGGTCCTTTCGTCAGAATACGGTTAATTGAATTTTAAATGAAGGGGTAAACTCATCATTTCACCTGCCTATGTATTATTCTTAGTATTTCTCCATTGTATACGCGATATATATGAAGATAATCTTAGTCGAAACCCTAAAATGTTCCTCGTCGTTCCCCATTTGCTGACTACTCATGTGTGCGTTCCTCTATTATTGAGATGTTTACAAGGTATAACAGCGAAATACAAAGGGAGAAATACGAAGAATAATACATAGGCATGTGAAAGGACGAGTTTACCCCTTCATTTAAAGTCTAATGAACCGTATTCTAACGAAAGGACCTCAATTGGAAATAAATTGAAAGTCAAGGGACCTAAAGTGTCCAAATTAAAAGTCGGGGACTAATTTTGGAAAATCAGTATAGTCGGAGGACTATTGCTGGAATTAACTCTACAATCACATCTATAACTTCATCACGAAACACATTGATAGATTCCAAAGATATCGATAAAACTGAAATTAAATCTTTTTTTTTCTTTTTTCTTTTTTTTTTTTTTTTGTGTTAGCTCCACTCGAAGCAGATGTTAACTAACTATTCTGAATATGACTCCTCTAGCAACTGCCAAGAGAAGCTCCAACAACTCATCCAAGGGTCTTCAAGGACCGTAGTGCCACCATCCTTTGTCTGGTCAAGATTTGTAAAGAAATCTGTACATTTGTTACCTTTCATCATAAAATGTTTAAAAACCAAGTATTCAAAACTCGAGGCTAAGAACTTAAAATCCGAGATGAGGGTAATGACATGATCACTAGTGCCATAATCCTCACTCATCACTTTAACCACAACTTTATAATCTAGTTCCATCGCTAATCTGCAAAATCTCTTCTCCCTACCGAGCCGTAGACCCTCCCTTAAGCCACACAACTCAGCAAGGAAGCTATGTAACTCCAATGTTGACCACAAATCCAATAACCCAGTTCCCTCTAGAATACCGAAAAAGAACACCTGACCTGACGACCGGTACTGGCAAGCTTAGTTATGACTTTCTTAACCCCATATGTATTCAGCTTAAACCACCCTTCAATAGGTGGTGTCCAACCCACCCAAATGGACTTATTACCACCAATTCTCAAGCTCCTTTTGACAATAAGCAATAGTTTAGATTTATGGATTCTAATTTTAAACGATTTAAACACGATATATGAACATGTGATAAGGTCAATTGTTACTTGAATATACATATATACTGCAAGTTGCATTGTATAATGATAAATTAATATGATTTTATTATTAAATATATGAACTCTCATGTATATGTGTTTTGTCAAAAGTTTTAGGTCAATGGACTCCCTATATATCGGTATGTACTTGTAGAGGGAGATGTCGTTTAGTTTTTAGAGTAAATACCCAAAATAGTCCATCGACTATAGCTAAATTCACAAATTGGTCATTGACTTTCAATTTTAACCAATTAAGTTCTTAACTTTGCAATTTTAACACGATTTGGTCCTCCGTCTATTTGACCGTTTTTTGACTGTGATTTTTGATGATATATATGTAATTTCATGGTCCATCGTCGATTTTTTAAGGTTCCGGTTGCATTTTCAGACCGCATTGTTACATTTGAATCCACCGCCGAAAGCAATCTACCAAATCCTGTCGCATTTCTTCATCTTCCCTTTGGATTCAATGTAGTTGAGTTCGTACCAGAGTGAAGAAGACAACGTGTTTCCGAACCGGTGCAGCGTCATCCTGGAGGCCTCCATGTGCTCCGGTGAGAGCTGCGGGTTCTTCTGGAGATCGTCGATAACGGTGCGAGCGCCGGCGTTAATGCAGAAATGTTCGAAGGACCAAATCGTGTTAAAATTGCAAAGTTAAGGACTTAATTGGTTAAAATTAAAAATCGAGAATCAATTTGTGAATTTAGCTATAATTGAGGGACCTTTTTAGATATTTACTCTAGTTTTTATAGAACTAATGTAAGAACACATGCCACCGATCTCGTCAATGAGCAACACGTGGCGCACACCTAAACATTGGATGGCCAGGTTAGTCGCTCACTCGATTTATGATGACCTTGTATTTAAACTAAGTCATTATATTTTAAAATGAAAAATAAAAATTAGCTATACGTATAATGCTTCTTTTTATCCAATGACATTCATTTATTTTTGAGTTATACTATATGAACTCTCAAATTATACTCTCTCATTTGTACTTCCTGATGTGGCAAGCTAGAATTGGTTATTTTTAACATGCGGGTCCACAGAAAAATGTCTACATCAAGAACATGTGAGAGGAAGTATAAAATTGGAGTAGCCCAAATATTTTCCTTTGTTTTTAAGGGCAGAAGGCAACCACCGTATTGCCTTAAGCTCCTCCTTCCATCCTTACTGGAGACGAGGCTTGGCTCAGAGAGTCAGAGACGAGTTCCGTTTCAATGGACCCAAAAACATCGTGTTCTTAGGTTCATAAGTGTTAATGTAGTAGATGGGATATTGGTAGTGGTGCATACATGATTGAAAACCCAAAAAAAAGAGTGAAAATTTGTAATTTTTTTAACAACAAAAATTTTACTTAAAAATGACGCGTTTTGGACTGTAGTCCACACAATAATTAGCTATGAATTTATACTTTGTCATTTTGATTCATGATCCATAATGCTATATGGACTCTGGTGGCCTAGTCCATGATATAACAATTGTTATGCCATGGACCCGAGTCCACCTTACAATGTGGATCCAGGTCTAAAACGACACAGCTTTGCGCATCTAAACTAAAGGTGTTGTTAGTGGCACCGTTTCCTCAAACAATGATTATTTATTTATTTATTTATTTTTGTGAATATAGAGCTCAAAAATTGTGAATATAGATTCAAAAATTGTGTTATACGGTTGATATAATTGTGAATATAGAGTTTAAAAAGTGCAAATATAGAGTTATGTAATTGTGAATTTTGAGTTATGTAATTGTGAATGTTGAGTTATGAAATTGTGATTATAGAGTTCAAAAATTGTGTTATATGTTGGTACCGTTGGTAGAAAAACAAATAATAATAAAAAATAAGATTATTATTTTCTGGAAATATAAGGGAAGGAAAGATGGAGAAAATTGGCTAGTGTTTGGTGTTGGGTTTTTGCAAGAGTCAAGTGATCACTCTTTCCTTAAAACCTTATTTGCCACCTCCAAAGATGCTAGGAGCTTTGTGGCCTAGGCTTCGAAGGATAAAACTTGCTATGATTCAATGTTTGAGCATTCAAACAAGGAATCCGGCGAGCAAGACAAGATTTTGAACACAGTAGGCTTAGAAAGAGAAGGAGTAGAAGCATAAATTTTGAGGCTTGAAAAACTCTAAGTTTCGTGTAGAGTGCTTGTGCTCTTGTGTGTAAAATCTGCTTCTTACTACCTCTCTTATATAGGGATGGAGGAGCTAATAGCCTTTATTATGGCAATTAAAACTGACATTAAAGCTGACTTCCAACAGCTATTACAGCAGGCCACTACCTAAGAATTGAATTCAGAATTCAAAATTGGAGTTAATAGAAAATTAATTCCGTAACAGATGAATTAAATCCCCATAACAGTAAGAACTTTCGGGTTCCAGACCGTTGGCGTACAAGGTTCGGCCTCAACCACATGTTTGCTGCCCCCAGGTGCCGGCGCACACGAGCTCGGGCTTGAATCAAGCATTTTTCAATCTCGTCTAGTTGGAATTTGATTTGCACCCCCTCCTCCCCCCGCGCGAGAGAACCTCTATGCTATACAATTCTACAAGCTTCAAAAGAACTTTGTATATAAGGGGGGCAAATCATTTTTCCTAACCAATGTGGGACAAAAGCTCACTTTTTCCCTTCATTTTCCAACTCAAATGGGTCTACTTTGAGAATTAATATCTCATTCACCCATTATCCGTTTTGAGCATACAATATATCGATTTCTTCGTCTCACTACGAAGAATCCGAATCCACTTTAACCCGACCCAAATCGGAAGTGGACCCCACTGATAATTGTACCACAAAATAGCCACTTAACATGCCATTTTAAGCTATTTTTTCTAACATTATACAGTTGATTTACTTGTGAAAATTGAGTTATATAATTGTGAATATAGAATTCAAAAATTTTGATTTGAATATTTTTATTTTTATTTTTAATTCAGACAGCGTCATTTTGGACCCAGGTCCACAACATAATTTATCAATGATATAAATTGCATTGTGCTTGTGCCCAACTTGATGGGCTAGGCTAATTGGCCCATTTCAACTATATCACATCGGATCTCTATTTGTTCAATAGTTATGTTTTGGAACCATGTCCACCTTGTAAGATGGACACAGTTCCAATACGACATCGTTTGGAAATTTTAGAGTAATAGTATCGTTAGTGACACTGTTTTCCTCCACTAATCAAATTAAAAAAAAAATTGTCAAAACACCTCAACGACATAAAAAATAGAGTCCTATAATTGTGAGTATGAAATTCAAAAATTATGAACACAGAGTTCTATAATTATGAACATATAATAATTGTGAATATCGAGTTCAAAAATTATGAACATATAATAATTGTGAATATCGAGTTCAAAAATTATGAACATAGAGTTCTATAATTATGAACAAAGAGTTTTGTAATTGTGAATATAGAGTTCAATAATTGTGAATATGGAGTTCACAAATTATGAACATAGAGTTCAGTAGTTATGCACATATACTTCCTGAAGACAAATACCGTTAACAACGAAAGAAAGCAATTTTTTTTTTTAAATTGACACCGCGTCATTTGCCACCAAAACGACGCCATTTTGAAACGGTGTTCACCTTGCAAGGTGGACACGCCGACACGGTTCCACCACATAATTTGCCCTATTTGTTAACCCGTTTCTTTCCTATCAGGCCCAAGACATCGACATTAGGGTTTTAGAAGCAGCTCCTTCCCCTCCTCTGCTGCTATATATACGTGACGGTAAAACCCTAAGTAGAAGGCTTGCAGCTCGGCACACTCTGAGCATCTCTGCAAACATGTATCCGTTTCTTCCCATCGCTAATGAAGCGTGGGCTTTAGTAATATAGGTGGCCAACCGTAGATTCGGTCCGCCGGAAAATGAAAACCTCTCCTTTCTGGTGCTATTTTTCTGAAAAAATCGAATCTTTACGCCACTCTTTTCCCGTCGATTTGCGCTATCTGTAGGGAGCAAATATGTTAGTCAGATGCATATCGTTAGCGTGGAGCTGAAATATTTATCTCTCTCGCTTTCTCCTATCAGTAAGTGTTTTTGAATAGTTTTTTTTTTAAATTTTTTTTTTTAATGGTTGTTTGCACGTAGCCTCCCGGGCAATTCTGAGATACAGTGTGAAGAACGAGCCCCAAATGCTCGTGCCAAAAAGACGTCGCTGTCTGTGTTGCAGTCTAGCCATTGTACCACTTTCTATCCATAGCTTTTCTGTGTCAATTCGACGGCTACATTTTTCTATCTTGTTCAATCTAATCGTTTCTGTGCATGTTGCTGGAAATCTACTACGCATCCTAGATTGCATTTACATATAATTTTAATGGTTTGGCTATGATTAAATTGTTTTATCCGCGCTTCAGAGAGCAATCTATGAAGTATACGGTAAATATGGTTGAATTTATTAATATGAGCCAAGAAATATGTTTTTTTTTTCTGTTGATTTATTTACTTGCTTGGTGAGATGCAATGAGGATAAGAAATCAGCTTTTAACGCCAGTTCTGCTTCTGAATATCATTGATTGAAAGAGCTGTTTATTTTTCTGAGCATCATACTGTTTCTTTTATCTATTTTTTTTAAATGTATTTGTTCAACATGGAGCTTATGTCTGTATGCTTTTTAGATTTGTAATTATTATTGTTTCTCCAGGAATTCTATTGGGATGGTGTAGTTTCATCAAACACAATTAATTGCTGGCATGTGAGAAATTGTTGAGTGTTTCCTAAGTTTAGAAGTCGGTGATGAATTTTTATCTTGCTGGATAGTATTTGAGATGCATTGGTCTCAAGGCCCTGTATTTCAGGGAGAACCTCTTGGGGGTAATGCATTTGTTATGAAATAATTTTGTTATTCTGAGGCTTCTTGATTTGTTTAGGGTTGTAATTTTTGTTTTGGTTTGTTTGGAGTATTTGGCAGTGATGATATAAATCCATGTAGTATGAGGTGTAGTGGATCCAGGTCCCTGCTCTGCAGGGGGAACCTCCTGGTGAAACTACATTGCAAATGATTGTAATGGATTTTTCTGAGTCCAACTAATTGTTATCTTTTCTTATTGTTTATGTTTTTTCTTGTCTTGTTTACTTGTGATTTGTGTTGGAGTTCTGTGGAAATAAGGAAGATGATGATTGTTATTTGTCGCCCCAGTCTTAGTTGTGTCCAATGATGCAACATGGTGATTGACATGTCATTTCTGATTCCATTTTCCTGTTTTTTTGGTTGCATTTGAGTTTTGGTTTTGTTAATTACTTCTAGTTAGAAAATTATATGCAGATATGCAAGGAGGTGTGATGATTCTTATCCATCTAAATCTGTATGTTTCAGTGATGATTTCATAACATGCACTACCATCTGATCTCTGTTGCATATCTCATGTTTTTAGTGTTGTATTCATGAATTTGGTAATGCAATCGATGATGCTATTTACCCATATCTTCTGATTTATTGTGATTGTCATTTAAGTTATCACCATCTTTCGACTGAGGTTGCAAATGAAGTTTAGCTATTTCAATTTCTTCAAATTTTCATTCTTTCATTTCTCTAATCTAAAGCCTACATTAATTTTTAATATTTAAGTGGTTTTATTTGAAATTGATCAGAGTGTTTGTTTTGCCTGTGGTATCTAATGTCCAGTCTGTTTTTGTTGCTGGATGTTTCGTTTTGAGGGCAGAAATATAAAGCAGATCTTTGCGACACAGATAGCTTCATTTGTAATAAGCTTTCTGTTACACTATCCCTGCTTACATTTAAAATAATTTGATTCCTATATTTTATTGAAAACTCAATTATGTGTTTTTTTTTTTGAATTTATAAATACTCCTTTTTAGTTTTTTACTATGAAGTTTCATTATATATTGAATTTAGAGTTGCAGATGATGATGTTTTTGAATCATACTCCTTCTGGAGAAAGATGAAATTGTGTTGAGGAAATCAGAATCTCTGATGCATTTGTTAAATTTTTATTCAACTTCTTTTTCTCTACTCCTTTTTATGTTGTGTTATTTTTTGCTGTATAGTGTTATGCCTTTTGCCTATGATGGCATTAAATATACTTTGAGTATCTCACTTTGAAAAGAACCTAAACCTGAGGTATAAAGGTGTAATTCACTAATTTTTTTTAGAGTTGTGGATTTGTATTATTGTTTTTCTCAGTTCTGGTGAATGGAGTTTGTGCATATGATGATAAACAGACAGGGACATCAGCACTCTATGGAGGATGTTGATTTGTCAGATGGGAATCTCTCTGATGCACAGTTTAATCATATCTTTTAAAACACTCTGCTTGTTTGGATTAGTGTTTTGGAGAAAGAATTTTCTTTGTCCAAAATGCCTTCCATTAAAAAAAATTAATTGTTTTAGTATTAATTTCTTTGTCCAAAATGCCTTCCATTAACAAAGGCTTCATTTTTGTTGTCCCTCCTATCTTCCCCTATTTTGTTTTTAATGTGGGATCTAACGATCTTACATATCAATTTACGGAAGGAAGTAACTATTCTCCTTTTTTTTTTGTTTTGATCTTATAATTATTATTGTTATTATATTATATATTATATATTATATATATTATATGATTGTGATGTGACTTGTTTTGTCTCCCTCACACATTTTGAACTGTTTGCCTATGATGCATTTCTAATGTAAGTATTATCAGATGAAGGATGATGATATCTAAAATTGTCACTACCTCTGAGGCAAGCACACCAATGTATTTTTCCAACCCAAGGCCTTTAAATCTTCTTGCTTTGCTTCTTTTTCATTTAACTTTCTTTTTTGAATGTTGGGCAATAGAGAAGTTATGATATGATATGATTAATATATATATATATATATATATATATATATATATATATTTTACGTGATAAACAATGATCTAGTAGGCGAGCCCAGGAAGAAGATTCTCGAAGGCTACAAGGAGGCCCCTGGGGGATGCTGATGAGAGCCTGTAGCCTTGGTGCGCTTGGTAATGATTGAAGACTACAAAAACAAGGATTTGGCCCACACTTTTTGGTCAATGAACACCCAAGAAGAACAAGAGGATGATTGTTATCGTAGACAGCATTTCTTTGAGGATGAAATGATGTGTATCAGGTTAAATATAATGTGTGAACTTTGTGTTCCCAAACCATGGGGTGGTACGAGTTTCAGGAGAATTCGCGATTTTAACATTGCTTTATTGGGAAATCAGGCTTGGAGGCTTGTCCAATTCCCCAATTCCTTACTTTCTAAACTCTATAAGGCAAAATATTACCCCTCTGCTGCTTTTTTGGAAGCAAAACTTGGGAGTAACCCTTCATTCATTTGGCGTAGTATTTTGGAAGCTCAAACTGTTTTAAAGCAGGGATATAGATGGAGACCTATGTTTGGAAAGAACCTTGGCTACCTAATGATGATTTACGCTTCATTCAAACACCTATGCCTGACTCCCTTCATGATTTGCATGTGGATTCACTCTTCAATATTTCAAAGACTGCTTGGGTTCTGGATATTCTTAATGCTCTTTTTATCTCTGATGTGAATCTCATATGGAATATTCCTATTGAAGAAGTCAAGCATCCTGACAGAATTATTTGGGCTGAAAATGAGAAGGGCTTGTATACTGGTAAGAGCTGTTTCAGGAAACTTCCAGGACACTTGCATGTTGATCAAATTCCATTTTGGACTAAGGTTTGGAAGATGAGGCTCCCACCGAGAATTAAATTGTTTTTTGGCAGCTTTGTTTGGGCACTCTTCCTTCAGTGGATCTTTTAAGATCAAGAAGAGTGCAGATTCACCCAACTTGTCAGATCTGTGGTGGTGATGACGAATCTGGCTTTCATTTATTTGTCAAATGCTGCCGGCTATAAGTTGTTGGAATCACATTGGCAGTATAATTCACCAAGGCTGCTCCAGTTTGATGGATTGGTTGGAATCTAACTTCCGAAATCTCTCTACTAATGAATTATGCTTAATGATCTCTATTTGCTGGAAACTCTGGGAAGCAAGGAATGTTAAAATTTGGAATCATATTGTTACTCCCATGCAGGTTATTATTAATGGGGCACAGACCTTTCTCTATGAATGGTGCAAGTTAATCCTATTTCCTCATATCAGCAATAGCTCAGACTCTATCACCAAATGGGCTCTATCCAATCAAAAAAAGAATTTGGAGAATTAGGTTGATTGATTTCTGGATTTTGATTAATCGGAATATAAAAAGGGTCTTTTTCTTGTTTATCAATTGGATCAATTAATTGATCGTTATTAGTCCCAATTGGAGTCTTTTGATTACTGCTGGGATTGATCTCTTCTTCGGGATTGATCTCTTCTTCGGGATTGATCTCTTCCTCTTCTTCTTTATCAATTGCATAAAATATTTCATCCTTATTAGTCCCAATTGGAGTCTCTATCACCAAATGGGCGAAACCCCCGGATGGTTGGCTCAAACTCAATGTTGATGCATCTCTTGACTCCAACAACTCTAAGATGGGATTTGGCTTTGTCTTTCGTGATTCCAATGGCAAGTTCAGGGCAGCAGGTATGATCCCATGCCATGGCAGGGCTTATGCAGACCAGATGTGGCGGAGGCAATAGCGGTTCGTGAAGCTCACTTGGGACGAAGCAACACAACCTGGATCAAGTTCAAGTTGAATGTGACTGCATGAAAGTTATTAAAGGCATCCAGCCCCACTCTGCATTTTCCTATTTTGATCTTATTTTGAATGACATTCTCTATCTTGTTAAACGATCTGTGAATATATGGTCGTCCACTCACTTGCTCGGGAGGCCTTATTCAAGTCTGATCGTTCGGAATGTTTCCTTGTTCCTTTTCCCTTTGTTGTTCAGAACTTGGAGCTAGACTCCTTTTAATATAATATTATCGTTTTTCTTTTCAAAAAATGATAATTTTAAATGATAAAGTTTAATTTGTGAATAATGTAATTTTCGAAATGAACTATTTGACTTATTTGTATATAAACTTTTTGGTATTTTGTTTCAGCCTTACAAGTTGTTATCTTAAACATAGTGTAAAAAATTGTTGAATAACTATAAATGATAATGTTTAGTTTGTGAACAATGTAATTTTAAATGAACACTATTTATGAACATTGTAATTTTAAATGAACACTATTTGGTCATTATCACTATAAATGATAATGTTTAATTTGTGAGCAATGTAATTTTAAATGAACACTATTTGTGAACAATGTAATTTTAATAGTCACTAAAACTGTGCATTGCATGGCCTTATAAGCAAAAAATCAAACAACTGAGGTTGTTCTAACAACTAGTTTTTATGGTTTTTTTTTTTTTGAGTTAATTTAATTTTGTATTCTAGGTTTATAGTTGTCATTTTACTATTATTTTTTCTTTCTTATAACATATTCTATTAGTTCTAATATTATTGTAGTATCACTATTTTTTGTCATCCGTCAACACATGTTTAAATGCCGTCAAATACGATTAAATCAAAGTGGATTGACCCACTATTTAAAAAATATCTAATTCATGACTAGAATAGTACATATTCTTAAATTGCAATTTCGACCTCCACAATGCTTCTACAAGACACATAAATCTAGGACAAAAAGTGATTATGCAAGAATAATAGTAGGACTAATTCTAAAAAAGAAAAGGACTATAGTAACATGCTAATTTTAAATTAGGACCAAAAATGAAATAAATTCTTTATTTATTTATGTAGTTTTTTTGAAAGCATTTATTTATGTAGTTAAACATAACAAAACAGTGAAATTAGGAGAGATTATTTCGATGGGTTACCCTTCTTTAATGGTGAGAGTGAAAGAAGGGTAAGATCTCAGAATGCGGTGGTGTAGACCGTAGACTCGTATAAGCCGTATTCCAAGGGGCTGGACCGAATAAAACTGCTACATGTCGTCAAGGAAGAAGACATAATTATCCAATAAATAAATAAACAAAAAATGCCGTTTACTGGGAAATTCGGGGAGTTTTCTTTCAGACACTCTTGAGTGGCAGGTGAGAATTGAGAGCGTTGAAAGGCTGAGAGAAGAAGAAGATGGGTGCTTTCTCATTTTTGAGCAGAGTTCTGCATACCAAGCCTTCTAACTACTCCAAGATTCTTGTTCTTGTCTCTGTCAGGTTCTCTTTCATCCTTCTTTTTTTTTTCGTTTTTATTTTTTTTCCCCATTAATTTTGTTGAAAAGGTTGCTTTTTGGCTAGATCTCTCCTGGGTTCTTGGAATTCCCACTTTTTTTTTTTTTTTTTTTGGCTTATTTTTTCTTCAATTTTCCTGACAATTTGTAATCAGTGGACCGCATTTTGTCATTTTTAGCTTATCTTGAGTTTCTTATAGTTTCTGCGGGAATTCAGATTTCTTTCCTTTTTTTTTGTTTTGTTCCTAGAGTATGTATGAGAGAAATTCTTTGAGCTCAGGTTGATGGTCTTCAGCTTGAACCCACCTCTCTTTCTCTCTCTCTATTCACCTCCTGGAAAGCTGCTTTTTTATCCTAGAAAGAAGTTTAGAAATGAAGAAATTTCACATATTCTATGTGGTCAAAGTGGCTATTATGCCGGGTAGGGCCTATTTTCTTTTCCCGTCAGCTATGAACAACTTAGCCTATTTTACTATGTATGATTCTTTGCCCGTTAGAGTCACCAGACAAGAATCTTTGCCGGTTAGAGTCACACAATTTATTATTTTTGAGCACTACTGACTCTGTTAGGGAGAGCCACAGTTATGTCGTTTGATCACACGTCTTTGGCATATAATCCCTTAAGTTAATCAAGTTTCTATTGTTTATATGAAACTTGTGTTTGGCCTTGATTTTTAACCCTAATGTGTTTTTTGCAGTAGTGGAGGTCTGATTGCATATGCAGAATCCCATTCAAACAACGAAACGAAAATTGTGGAACAAAGTCAGCCAGAACCGAAGAGAAAAAGAGTGGTGGTGCTTGGAACAGGATGGGCTAGCATTAGTTTCCTACAAGATTTGGATGTTTCATCCTATGATGTTCAAGTGGTCTCCCCGCGAAATTATTTTGCATTTACTCCATTGTTACCTAGTGTGACATGTGGAACAGTCGAGGCACGAAGCATAGTTGAGCCTATAAGGAACATATTAAAGAAGGTAAGCAAATTATAAGATGGAAGTTCGTTTCGTTCCTAACTTCCTATTCCAAAAACACCGTATAGAGTAGAGCATTAACTTGTAACGCCCTTGGCAGGGAAATGGAAAAATTCATTTTTGGGAAGCAGAATGCTTGAAGATTGATGCAAAGGAAAAGAAACTACACTGTCGTTCTAATATTGATGAAAATTTAGTCGGGAATAATGATTTCTCACTAGATTATGACTATCTGATTGTAGCAGTTGGAGCAAGAGTGAACACTTTTAACACCCCCGGTGTCTTGGAGTATTGCCACTTTCTAAAGGTAGAGTTCTCATTTCATAAAGAAATATTAAATATATGCACGTGAGAGCACTTGCAGAATAGATGCATCGTAACCTGGAGGGTGTGGTTGAGTGGAAGGGACCCATCCATCCTTAACCAAAGGTCAAGGGTTCGATCCTTGACTTTGGGTATGGAGCAGACTTAAATCTCCAGACCAGCTGTCCCACGCAAAAGAGGGGCCTACATAGTTCTTTTTTGAGATAACTAAAATATTTTTGTGAACTCCTATGTTTTTTAAGCAAAAAGAAAATACTCTGCTACACAGGAAGTAGAAGATGCTCAAAGAATTCGGCGATCTGTAATTGATTGTTTTGAAAAGGCAGTCCTTCCAGGGCTAAGTGAAGAAGAGCGGAGAACCAACCTCCATTTTGTCATTGTAGGGGGCGGGCCAACTGGAATAGAATTTGCTGCAGAGTTGCATGACTTTGTTCATGAAGATTTAGTGAGAATTTACCCAGAAGTGAAAGATCTAGCGAAAATAACTGTTATCCAATCTGGAGATCATATTTTAAACACGTAAGATTTATCATTCTACCTTTGTATTTTAATCCGTTTGCTGTATATATGCAATGTTGCTTCTATGATTGGGCGAAATTGTTTGATAAAAACTCATGTTTCAGCTGGTTTAGAATTAGTTGTGCATCACATTCTCAAACCAATCATGCCTTAACTTTGTGTCTTGGCAGGTTTGATGAAAGAATTAGTACTTTTGCTGAGCGGAAATTTCAAAGAGATGGAATCGAGGTTTTGACAGGATGCCGAGTCGTGAGTGTTACTGATGAGTTCATTAACATGAAAGTTAAAGCCACGGGAGAAAACGTTAAAGTGCCACATGGAATGGTTGTGTGGTCGACTGGGGTTGGTACTCGCCCGGTCGTGACTGACTTTATGGAACAAATTGGTCAGGTACCTTCGTTTTATATTCCGTTTGCTTAGATCAACAATGCTTTGTTACGGGTATTTTTTATTTTTTTATTTTTAAATATATATCCAGACTGATTCTTATATTTCTTATGCAGACCAACAGGCGCGCTCTTGCAACAGATGAATGGTTAAGAGTAAAAGGCTGTGAGGGTGTCTATGCTCTTGGTGATTGTGCAACTGTAGATCAACGTAAAATAATGGTACGTAACATTTAAAATTTAAACTATTCATGGAAAATTTTACCCGTTGTCCTTGTGAGCATATAGCCATTAATGTGCAATCCAACTATCAGCTTAAGTTTTTAGTTGAGATGGAGCACATGCTTCAATTTGGTACAGTCTGTAAGGCTAGTCAATAAAGTTGAAGGATTATATGCACACCTGATTTCTCTTTTATACTAGGCATATGGTTACATTAATTTTCCAAAAATCCCAAACGCTACCTGCCTTTTGCTTCTCTTTCATACTTCTGCAAAACATTTTGTGGTTCAGGAAGATATTACGAGCATTTTCAAAGCAGCAGATAAAGATAATTCTGGCACCTTAACTGTTGACGAATTTGAAGACGTTATTGAAGATATCATCATTAGTTACCCCCAAGTTGAACTGTATGTGAAGAGCAAGCATCTGCTCGAAGTGGTAGATTTGCTAAGAGATTACGAGGGAAACAAACAAGGTGAGATAGATATTGAGGGGTTTAAGTTGGCCCTCTCTCATGTAGATTCTCAGACGAAGAGTCTTCCTGCGACTGCTCAGGTGTCTCGTTTTTCCCCTTTCTTTGTGCTTTTTACCATCTCTTCCTTCTCCGTTTCTTTGTATATTGCTCGAGTTTATAGTTATATTTGACTTGCTAGGTTGCTGCACAACAAGGTGCATATCTGTCTAGATGCTTTAACCGTTGGGAACAGTGTAAACGTAATCCAGAAGGCCCTCGTCATTTCAAGGGTTCGGGACGCCATGAATTCCGCCCTTTCAGGTATGCTTTATTTGTTTTTGTGAAAACTAAACTCTTGAGCCAAAGATTCATTATCCTTACAAGGGCCCCAGTCAAGTTGGTTAAGCTGTTGACTTGGTAACCACAAGATTACAAGTTCGACTGGTCGACTCCTAGCGGGAGCGGCCTATTGGCGTTCTTGGTTTGTGCTAGTTATCTCCTTGTGATCCTTTGTTGGGTAAGCCGCTAGGGCACAAGGGTTGTCAGCTTTGGGTAACTTAAGCTGGTTTATCTCCTTATGATCCTTTGTCGGCTAAGATCACAAGGCGGGGTAGTGGCTGCGGATTTCCCTCGTCACTCAAAAAATATGACATCAACTCTTTCCATTAGCTGATGAAGACATTCGAATAAATTGCACTCCAGTTATAGGCATCTCGGGCAATTCGCTCCCTTAGGCGGGGATCAAGCAGCAGCAGAGCTTCCTGGAGACTGGGTTTCCATGGGTCGAAGCACGCAGTGGCTATGGTATTCTGTATATGCAAGGTGATCATCGAGAGCCTCTTTGATGAGATCATCATGCCTGTTAAGTTAATATCTCTAATTCATTTGCCTTGATGCTGTGTTTCCTTTCAGCAAGCAAGTGAGCTGGCGCACGAGAATCCTTGTTGTGGCTGATTGGACAAGACGATATATCTTTGGAAGGGATTCGAGCCGTATTTGATGCTTCCTTGTTGTGGTTTATGTGTGTTTCTCTTCTGTGTGTATTCTGTTTCTTTCTGGTTCTTTAAACCCAAAATGACAGTGACATCATGAATATATTAATTCAAATTGCTATTCTCAACCTTGTTACTTTTCGATGAAAGTAGTCAACATAATCAGTTGGAAACAAAGTATAATGCTAAAGAAATAGGGTATGGTTATCGCTTAGAGTGAAAAAGATTATGAATTTTTCAAGGGATTTATAACCCCTAAATGAAAAGCAGAAAAAAGAGGAGAAACTTGAAGCAGAAAAACTGGAAATAGAATATGCATTGTGTGCAGGGAGTTACACTTATTCAAACTCACTCACCATACAACTATAGAGCCAGAAGCTCAAAAATGACTGGGAAAAGCACAAGAATGCTTGCTAAACACATAAGAAAAAATTTGAAAAGCAGAGTTGATATTTGAGAGATGGCAGTTTGGGTGCCTTTTCCATGTTCTGATTTGCAGAAACTCAAAGCTTCATCCTTCATCTGCAAAACTCAAAGCTTGACAGTTTAACACTTAAGGATCTTCATTTGCAGAACTCAAAGCTTCTTCTTCTTCCTCTTCATCTGCAAAACTCAAAGCTTGACACACTACTGCAGGCTCCACAACATCATCTTCTTCATCCTTGCTGAAAAATGATTTCTTTCCTACCAATTCAGCCACCCTTTTTGCAGGTCCAGAGTCCCTGGGACTCTCTTTCAGGCATCGAGCGATCCTGATTCTTGGAAGCATATCAGGCACCACAGAAGTGTTGCTTCCTGGGGATTTCTCAGACTCTGTCTCCTCTCTGTGCAACACAATCTCATCTGGTATTTCCCATTTCTTTTTCGCCCGGGTTTCAGTCCCCAGATTCTTGATCTCTGCTTGAGCTGCACCCGATTTGCCAATCGATAGTGATCGTTTCTTGTCACATCTCTTACCATCATCCTTTTCGTTTTCTGGGAAAGACCTCTTTCTCATTGATGAGGACACAGCTGTGTTCTGATTATAGCGGCTCGCCACGATCCTCCCTTGCTTTAGTGGCTTCTTGGTGGAAGCAAGAACAGACTTTTCACCATCTCTGAATAATTTCTTGGGCTGGACTGAACTCCGAACCACTTCATCTTTCTTCACAGTTTTCTTGGATTGAATTGTGGTAATTGCCTGCCTAGGAGGAAGAGTTTTCGCCATGGGTTTTCTTGATTTGGGACTGAGACTTCTCCTCTCCTTACTCTGATGATTCTCCTCATCGATTTCTTGGAGCTTCCAAAAACACGATTTTCGCCGGTTCTGTATGGATTGAATCGGAGTAATCATCCCTTGCTTGCACAATTGCGGCGACTTGGATGCAGAAAAGATCTCCGACGGCCCCATGCTCAGCCCTCTCCTTATTCCGGCGGCAATCTCCGACGGCCCCAAACTAAGCCCTCTTCTCTGAGGTTTGGATTTCGCGCTCACTGATAAACTCTCTTCAATCTTTTTCTTCTCGTCGGCGTTCTTAGTACTCTGTTTGGGCTCCATAAACTTCGCCGTCACCACCCTTCCTCGCTTTTCGACATTCTTCACGCACTTCTCAGCCTTCTCCATTCTCAGGGCCTTCAATTTTGAAGATAACCGGCTGATCTCCATCTCAACTTCCTCAATCTCCTTTTCGATCTTCTTCTCATCCCGAATCTCCTCTCCTTCAGTGTCATTCTTGGAAGCCAAACCCGGTTTCAGATTTACAACGCCGGACAAATTTTCCGGCGCTCCATTTGGGTGAATTGGCTTGAAGACGGGTCTCGGAGAGTCGGCACAAACAGTCGGATTTTCAAGAAGAGGGATCTGATTCTCCTTACCAGACACAGATTCAAACGATTCTGAGTTCTTTAGCAAAAGGGGATTCAGAGGAGGCCAAGAACGCTCCAGATCCTCGGAATCTCCATGATCGAACGCTGCATTGTTCCACACCTGAAGATCTGAGGGGTTTAACCCTTGTGGGTGCTGCAAAACACTCATTTTTCTTCGATGGGTAGTGAAGATTTCGTCGGAAGGATATAATCAATGGATTCTTTCTTCGTTGCTTGAGTTTGAGAGAGAGATATGAGAAATTTGGTATACATTTGTTTTAACATTTTGTGTGGGTTTTTGTATTTTCAAGTTTTCGACCGTTGGAAATGAAAATTAAACGTTGGGGGAATCCGCTCCATCGCGACCGTTGGTCAGTAAATGGCTCCGATAGACGCTCCGATTATGATTAAAAAGTCAAAAATAAAAATAACAGCCTATACTTAATCACCAATCAAATCTAAATCTAAGTTCCTAAATATATACAGAGGATGATATGAGAACACTTGTTTAAGTGAGAATAAATCGTGTGCATCCATTTAATTTAGATTATTAAAAAATATTAAATGGATGCGCGCGCACACACACACACATATATATATATATATATAAGAGATCAAATGCGAATGAATTGTTTTGTAAAACATAGGGTTAAATCTTAATTTAGTCCAAATCAACCATTCGAAGGAAGATTTAAAAAAAAAAAAAAAAATTGTTGTAGCATTGTGTGTGTGTTTTAATATTTTTTGTCTTTGGGTGCGTTATTTTCCTATGAGTGCATATGTTTGTCTTTTTGAATGCATATTTATTTTATTATCTTTTCAAAAGGTGTGTGTATTATTCTCCTTTTTCAAGTGCATATGTTTTTCGAATGCATAGTTCTTCTTCAAGTGCATATTGTTCATTATATTCATTTAATAGCTCATGGATTGAATTGTATCAAAATATCCATTTCTTGGCAAATTATATATGCTAATTAGTATTTAATTAGTGCCATTTAACAAAATTTTAAAGAAAGCTTTAGGTTTATATCAGGTGCATAACTTTAAACTTTAGAGTGCATAATTTTGCATCTTGAGTACATAACTTTAAAACTTCAGGTGCATAACTTTAAACTTTCGGGTGCATAACTTTGAAACTTTATGTGTATAGCTTTGATTATCAGGTGCATAACTTTAAGACTTTATGTGCATAATTTTGAACCTTGAAGTGCATAACTTTAAAAATCTTTATATATATAATAAAACAGAATCTAGACACAAAATTTTCCCTTCAAAGTGTGAATGCATTTTGATAGAAACAATAAGATTAGCATGTGTGAATGCATTAATTGTGTGGGTAGATGTATTTATGTGTATTTATATTTTATAAATTATATTTTATTATTATAACTCTATCTCTATCTCTATATATATATTAAAGCATAATGAAGTACGAAAAAAAGTTTATTGTGTTCAAATTTATCCGTAAAGTTTTATATTTAATATAATTTGTGTATATATTCATTTAAACCTCAATTATAATTAATTTGACTCCACATATATAAAGAGGAAAAATTAGATATAAAATAAATATAGTTCTTACATAAATAATATTTTTCAAATGAATAAATTTTTGGTGTAGATTTTTGACAAATATTGCATGTTATTTTATTTACAAGTTTTATTTAAATACGTTAGTTATATAATTAAAGTAGTTATTTTAAATTCAAATTCCTTTTTAAAAAAATCAAATTTAAATAATAATACAAGTAACAATAAACTTTAAAATCAACATAATAATAGTATAATTAAACTTTTAAAAATATTATATGTTACATTGTATAGTTATACTTACATTTTTAATAAAACTAATTCTGAGCTCAAGAACTCAAGTACGTTTTTCTGTTTTCACAATCATTACTTTTTTTTGCTAATTCAGATGATGTCAAAATTTTAATTAGTAAATTTGTTAAGTTAATAATAATTCGTGCATCGCACGAGACAATTACTAGTTAAGGTACATAACTTTAAACTTACGTGTGCATAACTTTGAACTTATGATACAAATGATCATCAAATGTTGTGTATAACGAGCTTGAAAAGCATAATTTGTTCTTGAAGTTCAAACCATAACTTTGAACTTATGATACAAATGATCATCAAATGTTGTGTATAACGAGCTTGAAAAGCATAATTTGTTCTTGAAGTTCAAACCAAAGATAGAATTGAAGAAACATATTGTATATAATCATGGATTCTTTAGTGACGTAAAAATAAAAATATAAAAAATACTCCGTATTATGTTTAACTAGTGGATTCAAGTCATTCAAAGGGCACTCAATCTATCTGCAATTGTTAATTTTTCGATAGGATGTTCATGTGAGGGTACAAAATATGAAACAGGCTCATGGTCTTCATTCAACATAAAACAAACTCATGCAAAAATCCAAAGAATTAATCTCAAACACATCTCATTCAAACTCAAATCCAGGAACCTTTTTTTTTTTTTTTTTTTTTTTTTTTTCATTTTGGGTGGCTGATCTAGATTAGGTCAATGACTCATATCTCACCTTTTTATTTATTTATTTATTTATTTGTTGTTGTTGTTGTTTTGTTGTTGTTGTTGTTGTTGTTATTATTATTATTATAATATAATATCATTATTATCAGGGAGCTCTCTTGCACCTGATCTCTTCCCTATACACAAACACAAAAGTTTCATATATATATATATATATATATATATATATATATATATATATATTAGTGTGTGTGCGTGTGTGTTAAACTTGTTGGTCGGCCCGCAGCCCGCGCGGGTTAACCCGCGTGGGTTGCGAGTCAATTCTGGCTCGCCCTGCTATGCCCGCATTTTTACGAGCCTATTTTTTCATGACCCTAACCCGCCCCACCGCGGGGCGGGTGCGGGCCAACCTGCGTGTTTTGACCCACTTTGACACTACTATGTGACGAGTTTCACCAAGGAAGGTGTAAGCAATAATCAAATTCATAACTTTCTATTATGAGGATTGTACTTTATTCACTCAATCACCCATTTTGATTTCTTTGCTCCATTTTTCCTTGATAAGAGTAGTGTACACAATGTATAATTGATTGATATATTAATGGATAGTCCTAATAATATAAAGTAATAAATTATTATAACATTTTGAATAAATGAAAATTATTTTATTAATACTATACAAGGAGGGGTTAAACTACTCATACCTTATCGGCTTATCTTAATACCTTATCTTATCTAATGTATGTGGTTCAAAATTATATGCTAATGTAGTCAAAATTTAAAATTATAATGTCATTACTAATTGACTATTGTATATGAATATTTTTGTGAATCAAACAATGCTAAACTTCATGTTTGATTTAGAGTGAATAGGATTGTATGAGAGCGAGTGCAACTTTTTGTACGTGCTGGGTTTTTTTTTTCCCTCCTGATCTTAAAAAATGAACTAATTTTATTTTGTACTTAAAATACAAGTATGTCTTCAAGACTTCAACAATTATTTATCAATATATGTTATTAAATAATTGTAAAAAAAAAAAAAAATCAGCGATTGAACCATCCAATTCGCACGTTTTACATAAAAACTTACTATGCAACTAACTTTAATTTTCTTCCTCTTTGTTTAAGTCATTCATATGACTTTCGACCGGCAAAATCTTTTACTAAAATAATAAAACAGATACGCTTACGAGGATGCTACCATTGATTGTTTACCAAAATAATATATTCCCAGGATTAATAAGGGAGCAAGAAATGATTGAGCTGCTTTCATTCGACAGGAGATTATACTCTGACTCACAAAAATCCACATAAAAAAATGCAATAATACAAATATACTTATTATACATCATTGACTTATATATTATACTTAGGGGTCGTTTTGTTCACGGAATATCATATTACCTTAGGAAATTTTAGATTGCTGGGAATGTTAGATTACTGTGTTTGGTTAAAATTGGGGTATGTAATATAATCATGTTTGGTTTAGAGTTATCTTTTATACATACTATAATATTCTTAACATATTTTCATATATTTTAATAAATTTAAAAATTAAAATAAATAAATAAGATAATGGTATCATATATAATTACATGATTTTAAAATATTAACTAAAATCTTGAACTTGAGAAACAAAATTATTTTATATGCTAACATAACGTAATAAAAATAAAATATATATATATATATATATATATATATATATATATATATATATATATATAAACTAACATAACCAAGGTTATCTTACATTACCTAAGATTTTGAAGGGAATCACATTCCCTTCAAAATTCTATGTGGAGGGAATGTGACATTCCTTAGGAATGTTAGATTCCCTAAGATAATATGAACCAAACACCGGAATGTGAGTTTTGGAATGTCAAGTTCCCTTGGTTATGTTATATAACCTGAACCAAACGCCCCTTATTATAATTAATTTTGTCAGGTTGATCTCGTGATCCATGTTTTTTTTTAATCTTTCAATTAAGTTGTATATTATCCCAAGATCAGCTACTTATACTAAATTTGCATCAAGTTCCATATAATTTGCTTAAGTCGTATGAAATTGATTAATTTGCGCGCAATGAGTATAAAGAACAATAACAAGTGTTTCAAAATACATGAAATGCTACATTATTTATTGTATAAAATTAAGTATAAATAGTATGGTTTAATTGTTTTATTCTGTCATCAAGATCCAATTGAGGACATAGATAGTTAGATATTGGTCGGTTTAATTTAACTTCATGTAAGAGCTACTTATTACTATTAATTTTCTCAATTTAAACTGGTCGGTGAGTAATCTAAACTAGTTTATTTCTTTGTGATCCTTTGCAAACTAAGATCACGAGACTGATTTCACCTAAAGTAAATTTTCAAATACCGATTATAGACTTCTCTGTAAGTTAAAGTTACGTTCCCCATGCCAACAACATCAAGGAGGACAAATTTACATGGTATAAAATGGCTAAAAAATTTGGAAAAGAAAAATATGCAAATTTTAATTCATAATAAACTTCTGAGACCTTTATTGAAGAGAGAAGCAAAAGAATCCATTTTAGGGTTTGGGAGAGTCAACCCAATCTCGATGCCGCCAATAATGTCTCTGCTTTCACAAAGGGACACTGCATGTGTTCTATCAATTGAGATTTCTTCTATTTTCTTGGGTCTGCCCCACCCGAAGTCCAGCCCGTATAGGTCCACTTTTGGGGACCCGGTCACCATTACGTGGGGCCCGACCCGGATAACACGCTCC